CTTTTGGTTAACTTAAATGTCATTTGGTGTCGAAACGGGCTGCAGTAATGAGTAAAAAAGGGAGAGTATTTTTCTGAATCTTATCGTTGCTAATATTATGTCGTTGATTCTCGCTTATTTTGTGCTTTATCCTTGAATGTTTGACTTTTGTTTTTAGCTCCATTGTGTGAATCTTATTCCGTTTGTGAAAATAATTTTGATGTACAGTTTTGCACACAAAGAAAAAATTTCAATTGATCTTGACATGTCATTCCAATTTTCGTTCCTCTTTCGAATTTTCGCTCTTCCCTTGGCTTCTTTCCTAGGTTTCAAATAAACATGGCGGCAACCTTCGGCCGTCGCTGCACCGACTCTATTCAAATCCGCCACATTAATGTATTTTGACAATGCACATTAATTATTTTGATCTGATACATCGTGCCCTCTGGAGACATGCACACAATAGGGAACGAAACATTGTATACGTCTCCACAGGGCAATTTCTATAGATGAATACGTCTCCACAAGGTTTTCACGAAATAGAATATATTGATTTTACTCAAAAACTAAGAATTTCCAAGGTATGTTGATGTGTCGCAAATGGTACAGTTTTAGAAAAGGGATATTAAGTCCGAATTTCAGCCCAGGAAATTAATTCTGGTTAAAATAAGAGCATTTTGAAACTACACTTTCAAACTCGAAAACTTTAGTACACGAGAACAAAGAAATGTCTCCACAAGGATACAATTTCAGTATGTGTGTACAATTTTCGTTATTAAAGGGTATTTAATTGCCTATTTGGGTTTTATGCTCATGCAAATATCCATATTTATGAGCAAAATGTGTGATATCATTTCAGGCAGAAACCTCAATGTTACAGCTATTTCAGTACCAAAAGTTGCGATAATATTTTGCTGTTGAAAATATGTTTTTTTCTTCGGTGATTCGTTGTGTACATGGCAGTAAAGCCAATGAGCAAACGTTTCTCACAAATGTTTCAATAAACACATTTTTGGTTCACAATTTTCAACAGAAAACCCCTACACTGAACAGTGTCTTCCTGAAATGACATCACAGCAACAGCGCCCTCCGTCGTCCGGAAAAGCATGGATTTAAAATATATATATATATATACGAAGAAGTGCACTTTCAATAAAAATTAACCGAAAGGGAATGTCGGATAGTTTTCATGTATTTAAAAGTAGAAAATGTATTCCTACGAAAAAAATCATCTTATGGACCCTTTAAAACCTGTACCTTGTTTGTACTCGTTTCCTCCATTCACCACGCTGACTAACTTCCTGTAGAAGTGGCCTGAGTGTTTGGACTCCGAACCGAGTAATGCAAACGCGTTTGGGTCGGCCGCACGACCCGCGCCAAAGTGACACACATCGTGCGTCTCATGGGCCCCACCGATCCGATTTAATTAATTGACCCAGTTTTCACACCACCGCCACAGAAAAGGTGAGCAGAAAAAAAAGGGGAAGAAACGTGTGGGTGTATGCATCATCAACGTTTGGGATTTAAACAATATAGTCAATTGAAGAGCTTATTAATTGTGTTTTCCCAATTGAGGTTCTGAAAAGTGGTAAACTAGAATGCACATGGGACGTGGAGAGTTGATTAAATCATGTCTAGGTTTGTCCAAAATAACCACCATAAAAACACGTTCTAATCCAAAAAAAAGTGATCAGATACCGAGTCCGGACCACACGCGGATCTTATGTGGGCGTGGCCGCATCCACTTGCGGGGAAGGGGGTTAAAGTGAAAAGGATAATCCTTGAACTAATGTAACGAATTAACTTTCATTTTTTTCTTATTCCTGCTCGAAATTGAAGCCGATTTACATCAAGTATTTGATACGTATGCATTACTAATGAGAGTGCATCACGTGACCGTTATTACCCCTGATCGGTGAGCTTAGATATCTCACCTGGATCCATTCAAATTCCTGAAAGACCTCCTTTCTTGCTCGGACTTCAAGCGACCTTTGATAACAGCTTAGGCTCTAGGATTTATTCTCCATCTTCATAATAATAGTTAGAATTAAAACAATATGCCTCAATTCTTGAGTATGGTCAATGCTTATATAGTGTTGTTTTAGAACACCGTTTATAAGCCTTGAACACGGGTGATGGGAAGTTTGGCAAAATTATCACTTCTTGATGTTTTATTCTTTAAATTTTCGAGGAGTTTAACAAAATGAAATGTTTTCCATTGCTGTTAGCATTAAGTTACGACTCGGAAGTTTGTCGCATGGAGATGAAGATTAATTATTTTCGACCCAGCACTGCGCATCCGAAATTCAATACATATGGAACTTGATAGTCATCAAGCCGATTTTATTTTATTTTTCTTTACTGCGAGTGTAATTTCAATTCCAATCGCTGTTCGAGGAGATGCCCGGGCTTGTAGGTCGAGACTGCTCTTGTGGGACCGTACCGGCGGTCTCATCACGCGGCCTCATCAGCGGTTAAACATTTCCTACCTGGGTACACGGCGCAGTGCAAACACCGAAGGTAAATCATTTATTTCTGGCAGGGATGTAACCATGGTGACGGTCATGCGCTCTTCCGCGTAGCGCAATGGCGCGATGCATACCGTTTTCTTGTGTTCATGCTTGCAAGTACAAATAGTCCTATGGATGTAAATGAACATGCGTTGCTATTTCTGAGCAGCTTTTTTTTTCTTCAAGGTTTATTTATCAAAGAAATTTACTGGAGCGGGGTTTGAACCTGCGACCTCCGGATTGCCGTTCCGGTGCTCTACAAACTGAGCTATCAAGCCCTATCTTGATGGTGCCCCAATTTGTCAATGTCCTTGCTCAAGGGGTGCGGCTAGTCAGAAGCCACAAACCATTTTAACCCATGTAGCCAGGGATCGCGCCCAAAGTCACAATGCTAGCAACATTAGCAATGCTGCAAACCCAGGAAAGATGCCGTTTTTATTTTGTATTTTTTTTTTTTTTTTTTTTATTTATTATTTTTTAAAACATAAACTGGATGTATTTCTTTCTGTCATACATATCATTTCGATCTACCATTTTACATCTCATACTTGCACTTCTCACCCACATTTCTCCGAAGAAAATCTATGCCGCGGTCATAGACACCGTGTTATCCTATGCGCTTTTAGCCTCGGGCTACAGCCGACCTAACCAGGTCCCCAGATTTTGTTATCCCCTTCAGAAAAAAATGAATTCTAATGAGACATGCTCTGCGCGGGCCCATATCGCTCAGTCATTCTTCAACACACAGTCGAATCATTTGATTCGAAAAGATAAGCCATATCGTGTTTCGGGATCACGAACTGCCGCGCTACGCACACACACACACGCTTTAATTAATATGCGCGTATGGTTACAGATAATTATTTGTTCATGCTAATTAGGAAAGGGAGAAATTGATTGATTTGCTTAAAGAGCAAAACGCTACCGTTGCTTTCTTTTCTTTGCGTGAAAGATTTACCGTTTAATGCATATTCAATTTTGAGAAAAGAGGTTTTCTTTAACTTTCAAACATCACTAACAGTTATCATATTAGATGTCAAATTAGAATGAACCAAGACCATAAATGTTCTCTTTTCATGGTGTGGGTTATAAAGAAAAGGCCATATAACGGTTTGGCACTAGGAGCCTCGCTTTTGGGTACCAATTTCAAAAGCGTCCGCAATAAACGATACTTTTCGATTCAAGCACGCAGTAAAAATAAAAGAAAAGGGTACGTGACCCAGGTGCATATAGATGATTAGGTACATAACTGCTTTGGGTACCAATTTCAAATGCGTCCGCAATAAACGATTCTTTTGGATTCAGGCACGCAGTAAAAAGAAAAAAAAAAGAAAACGTGACCCAGGTGCATAGATGATTAGGTACATAAAAGCTTTTGGATACCAATTTCAAATGCGTCCGCAATAAACGATTGTTTTGGATTCAAGCACGCAGTCAAAATAAAAGAAAAGGGTATAGCCGCAGGTGCATATAAATGATTAGGTACATAAAAGCTTTGCAATCATCATAATTACAAAAGTGCACTACTTTTGACATTCGCAAGCTATTTATCTATATCTGGAAATGATATTATCTAACAGGCCTTCATTTTACCTTTTGCGAAATGCTAGCTAATCTTGTTAAATTCATCAATCATGTAAATGGATGATAAGAGCCTCCACTTCATCACACAATAATTCGAGGTATATTCAGCCGATATGATGCAAATGCATGTTGCCAAGGAAACTAAGGCTTCCATTCATTAGGAAATCCACCAAATGGATGTAACCATCGAAACAATTCTTGTTATTGCATATTTCATTAATATATAGTGGAGCATATTTTCCATTTTCATAAATTCATAAGCAAACTAATTGCATAAATATCTTGTCAAACAACGTTGTGTGTTTTTTTTTCTCAAAATAACATGGAAACATTTTTGGCACAAGTAGTCGGGAGAATTTGTTTGGTATCACAATTTATGGTTGAAATTATGATTGGAGGTTTCTAAAAAATATATCACTGGTAAATATTTTTCTAACAGATTTATAATGCTCACTGCAAAAAGGGGTACATTTCAAATGAATAAACAAATATTGTTCACCCGATCAAATGGTATCAATAATAATTAATTTTCTGCACAAATTTAATCGTGAGACATTATTGGAAGCCATGTACTGCCCACCCGATTGTTTGATATTGTTTCTAAAAGAATATCAGTGGAAACAATTTTCCCACAAATATTAATGATCTCTGTAAGAGTTCCATTCACTTATTCATTAACTGATTCATGTATTGTCCACACTCATATTACTCATTTTGGTACGGAAATAAATGCCAGTATGAATTGAATATTCAATTGGAAAAAAAGGCATACATGTTATTCAACTTAAAAAATGAAATTTGTTAACTATATTTGTGTTGTAAACAACAAAAACGAAAACGACAGATAGCGGGGTAGCATGTAATTATTCGCTTCCAGCACCAAATCCGAGTGATGAGCAGAAAATGAAGAGAAAAATCGGGGCTTACCTTAGTCGGATAGCTCGACAAATCAAGTCAGACGTCGCGGGAAATAACACACACGGCCACAGCAGCTCGGCATGCACTAACCCTTGTGGGGTTGTTTCCCTTTTATACTATGACCATTATGCCTCTAGATTGGCGAGAGCACAGCCATACGTTCATGGGAGAAACCACTCGCGGAATGAGGCAAGGAGATGGAGGGGCATAGACAGGAGGAGAATTCCCCCGTGATGCAGTGCGGAGAGAGGAGAGAGAGACGATCGATTAGAAAATGCTCGGTGACACTAAGACGGCAACATCCACAGTGGTCGGCCTTTAAAGGTGCGCGCACGTCTTACCTCACCCGTCTCGTGTCACGTTTTTGCCAACGTGATTTTTACATAAGGCTTAATTCTCCAAAAATATCTTTATTTATTCTTGTCTGTTAACTAATCTGGGCTCGAGTAAGACTTCACGTGCGGTGCTGTTTTCAGGCACGAAAGGTGAGGTCGGACGTCGGGAAACCATAAAGCATTTTTCTTTCGCCACTTTGAAATGCGGCTAACCTCTTTAATGGCACCGACGCCGAGGCCCAGTATGCAATGTTATTCCGTTGAGGATCGATTGCAGCGGTTAGTTACAGAGTGTTGTGACGTCATGACCAAGATGGCGTCGGCGAACCTTCCCGGGCTTTTTCATTCTCTGGCTACAATAACACACGGTTCTAGGGGTCGTGGTTGTGGGCGCTCCCATATACGCATGTGTGTTAGAAGTACAGGACATGTGACCTGTGACGTCATGTCTCCTAAGGTCGTGGGTCTAGCATACGTGTGTGAGCTTAGGTAGTTAATTAATTACATACGGTGTATCGATTTCTGCCTGGGCAGTATGATTATGTTATTCGTCTACGGTCATATTAATAAGGATGTTTACGATGTGCATCATCATAACGGTGGGGTATACATAGACGTGTGAAATTATGAATAAAAGCCCAAACAAGACAAATGTTAAAACAGCGCCCCTTGAACGTACTAGGCCTAACTTTTACTTACGAAACACGTGTCATTACATCCACGATTCTGCTGTCTGATAATTCGGTTTGAATATTTCGGGTATTTCGATCAAATGAACAACAAAAATCTGTACAAGAACAAGCAGTTGATGTTTTGTGAATCTCGCCCCACCGTTTATTTATTTATTATAATACATTTCTTTACCCAGAGTATCCCCAACAGTTTAAAAACTGTTTTCCACTGTGGCCTTTCAAAGGCTTCATACATTCTTATTATTGAATACAGTGAAGCAATGTAACATTCACAAGGCAAAACTGCATTGCTGAAACAGACTACGAACATTAACACGTTCAATACAAGTACTTTAATTTGGAAATTTCCACAAAAAGAAAGCTATATACCCAACTCCATATGTTCAACATTCAAATGCAAGGCATGAACTGGTGATTACGGGATAGGTGAAAATAAAAATCCAGCGAAACGTTTTGGGAAATTAAAACACGAAGGAGAATCCCAATCTGTTGCCTAGGCCCCTATATCAAAACTGAATTAGTCACGACTGCGTTCGAAAACAAATGTTTCCTACCTCTATGAACAAACCAACTCTGCTTTTATCGAAACAGTCAAGAATAAAGAGGTGCCAACACAAGCCACACACAATGCAAAACAAAATGGTACAATTATTACTACAATGTGGCGAAAAACCAATATTAACCTGCTATTATGAATTTTTAATTGGCTGTTATTTCTAGGAATTGTTAGCCGGTTCATTTCTCGTGGGGGCCATCCACCGTTCAATTAGGCACGACTTCCAATATTAGCCTTCTCTAAACGATGGATCATTTAAGTGTGTACACGTTTGACTCGGCAGGAATCTTAATGAGTGAGACACACAGCGATTTGACTCACCAAGGCCGCAACGCTAATGAACCGGCGTTGCCCCCGCTATGTTACGCGCTGATGGTGGTTTCAAATTGTGCTGACGTTGTCGTTGTGGATGACTTTATAGTGTGCAGGGCTTAATTGCCCATGTTGCAAGTATACAAATTATGGCCAAGCTGAAAAATAGTTATGGTTGCTGTACCAAAAAGCTACGAATTCTGATATACCCCAAAGCTAAATTGCCGATGTTGCAAGTATTATTGGCCAGGTTGAAAATAATTGATGTACCCAAAAGCTGAACATTTTCATGTACCCTAATAAAGCAACCATCTGTTATATTATTTCCACTGAATTTTAAAAGGCTTAAAGGCAAATGGAGGGAGGAACATATTCTAACCCTCCCTCTCTCAGTGACAATATGAGAGAGATACCATATCTGTCAATATATATCAGGTGACAGGTTATAACAGGTCTGAAACTGGGTTCATATTGGTACAATTCACAGGCTGTGGTAGTTTGGTTAACTGAGGATACCATGCCTTGACTGACATTGATAGATGTGGTGGGTCAGCGCTGGTGAGTGCCTGGCAATGATGGATTTAGCTCAGTAACAATGAAGGCACCAAAGGTTCACTCATGCATAACCCAGCAAAAAAAAGGCATTGACTCTAAGATGGCTGCTACGCAAGTTGTAGCAGTATTCAGGGTCACCCTATCTATCAAACACCTGCAACAGGTTTGGACAGTTATGTGGTTTAATCCATACGGGTTGTGGCAGTTGGTGACCAGCCTGTGCATATGTTATGGGAGAAGAAGAGCATCGATTTGTTGATGGTTTGTGACAGTTCTATGACTCCTATCAGTAGGAGGGTTTAACAACGATTTCCAATACTTGAGGGAAAAAAACATCATGTGGGTCTGTGCCCGTGGAGATGCAATGTTACATCTCAAAATATGATTTCCAATAAAAAAAACAAAAAACAACTGAGTTGTACTGAATTCAATGATTTCAAAATTTCATGATTTTAAGACTTGGTACAAAAGCAAGGCAACAATGGCTAGTACACAATACACATCAGGCTACATTGCGATACAAAATAGAAGTTAAAACAGAAAAAAAATACTTCTTTGCCCAGTCTTCGTACAAACAATAATCAAAGTATTTACAACTATTACAGCTGTGTTGATACTTGTGGTTTTAGTTACAAAAACCACAGCAATTTCAGACTTTTCAGCAGGCCATTTACAACCGATACATGTACAACTGATTCTTGGTTGTGATTGATAAAGATCCTTCTAGGATTGTACCAAGATCTGACCATCTAGCTTTAGTATGCGGCAGTTTGCAGCAAACTGTATATTCCAGGAACAACTGATAAAAATATAAAATACGATTTTTATTATCTCTTCATATTTACATGCAATAATCATGAAATGTACAATTATTACAGTTGATGAGAACTAGTTCTATACGTGTATTCACACGAGGCTTTGCCTCACCATCTACGCGTGGGAGAAGTCTTTGCCGCCTGTGTCGCCCGCTTCGCGGCTGAGAGGTGGCTTCGCCCACAGGCCCCACTTAATGTTCACACTACATGTTTTTTACAACTGCTACACTGTGCATTTGTCAGCGTCAAGTTACTGGAATACAGATACAAAATTCCTGACTTCAAGACAGTTATCTATTATGGTTATCAACCTTTTTAAAGCATATTCATGGGCCAAATAACCCGGATTTGAACCAATTCCATCACTGTTGATAGAGCCCCATGGCTACAATGTGCAAGGTGCAGAAAACTATCTAATAAAGAAATCATTTTGCTTGGGCAGATCTTAAGAAGTGTTTTCACAGAATTTGATTATGAGACTCATCAAAATTGTGCACAGGAAATCTGAGTAAGGTTGAGCCGAATTCAAGTCAGTTGATGCAGCTGGGGTTCGAACCTGACAAGGCCAAGGGACTTTCTGTTTGGGCCGGGGAGACATTAAGGGGACATTAAGGCTGACTTTCAGTTTATGAGGGTGATTGAATTGGCTTGGAGTCAGTACAAGATCTTCAAATGTATGAGAAGGTAGTACATGAAAGAAACACAGCAGCAGAAACAGAAAGACACATTAGGAGTTGATAGGCAGAATGTGTTCAGCCAGAGGGTGGTAGATGACTGGGACTCACTCCCCCAGGCGAAACACAAACCAGCAGAGAGAGACAGAGGCATGTTGAAAAAAAAAGAAAGATCCACTCATAGCGGATAGGCAGAATGTGGTCAGTCAATGGGTGGTAGATGAATGGAACTCACTCCCCCAGGATAAACGCAAACCAGCAGAGACATACAGGGGCATGCTCAAGGGCAGAACCCCTCATGGCTGATTGGCAGAATGTGTTCAGACAGAGGGTGGTAGATGACTAGAACTTACTCCCACCTGGAGAATGAAGTGCCAACAGAGACAGACACAAGCATGTTCAAGAAATATCCATCACAGGTGGCAAGCAGAATGTGTTCAGCCAGACGTTGATAGATGACTGGGACTCACTCCCCCAGGGAAACACAAACCAGCAGAGATAGACAGAGGCATGTTCAAGGGAAAGATCTCCTCACAGCTGATAGGCAGAATGTGTTCAATCAGGAGGTGGTAGATCACTCCCCAGGGAAAATGTAAACTAGCAGAGATAGACAGAGGCATGTTCGAGTAAAGATTACCGTTTCTGAGGTTCAGCCTCTGATGGTGCAGAAGCTGCTAAACCTCCATGTACAATTATTCTGCTGTACCACCCAGGTTATTATTAGAAAGATCCAATTCAACAAAGTTGGGAAGATCCCCAAGTGACTCAGCAACATGTTTGATGTCCTGTCCATTCAATGAGCAGTCACCCAAGAACAACTTTGTAAGGGTCCTCAACTGCTTTACCTCCATGCACCATGTTTCCGTAGTACCACCCAGGTCATTACGAGAAAGATCCAATTCAACCAAGTTGCGTTGGTCCTTGAGTGACTCAGCAACATGTTTGACGTCCTCTCCGTTTAGTGAGCAACCACCCAAGCCAAGCTTTTTAAGGGCCTTCCAGTGCTTTACTTGCTTGCACCATGATTCTGCTGTACCACCTAGGTTATTATTAGAAATATCCAGTTCAACTAGCACTAAGTTTGGAAGATCCCTGAGTGGCTCAGGACCATGTCTCATGTCCCGTCCATGGCGTGAGCGACCGCCCCAGCCCATCTTTGTGAGGGTCCTCCAGTGCTTTGCATCCATGCACCATGAATCTGCTGAACCACCCAGGTTATAACCTGAAACATCCCATTCATGTACTGCTCTCTTTGGACGATCCTTGAGTGGCTCGACAACATGTTTGATGTCCTGACCATTCAACGAGCAGCCAACCAAAACCAGCTTTGTAAGAGCCTTCAGCTGCTTGACCTGCTTGCACCATGATTCTGCTGTACCACCCAGGTCATTACCAGAAAGATCCAATTCAACTAACTTCGCTAGATCCTTGAGCGACTCAGCAATTTTTGCAAAGTGTTTACCTGTCAACGAGCACCCATACAAACCAACACTGCGAAGATTTGTCATCGAACTCATGGTAGGAGCTAGATTCATGGCACACCATGTCAAGTTACACTGGAGGACAACCAATTTGTTAACTTTAGCGAGGTGAGTACTGCCACTCTTTTTTTTAATTGGCTGGCCAGCGAGACATTTCAGGAAGTATGTGAATGATTCCAAACCATCGCTGTCAAGCCCCTCGATGATAATTTGATCAGCAATGAATGAATGTATGAGTACGTCAGGAGGTAAACGTTCGGACTGGCCTTCACAGAAACAGTGAAGTGCCAACCGACCCATCTCTGATTTCAATGACCACTTCTCTCGACAACTCCCGTGAAGTGCCTTCAGAATCACATTTGTACATGCCTCGTTTTCCCTACAACAGAAGCGCAGCAGATACTCAAACTTCTTTGGCCCCTCTGACACAACTTGATTCAGAATCTTGCGAAATTTCTCTTTATGTTCTTCTAGCAAGCTTTGCCAGTACATAGCAGCAGAGAATTCATTATAGATAAACTCAAGACTGTCGTGAGTCGCTGGTTTCCCAAGGACTCTCTGTCTGGTCAGAATACCTGCCTTCAGGGCCATGTCTAGCACCCCCGCCTTAAAGTCACTTTGCTTAAAAGACAGTAACTGACCTGGGGCAAGAACACCTTGCAAAGAAATCTTGCCAATGTCAACCAAGACTCTGGATACTTCTTCTTCTGACACATCTTCTTTTCTTTTGAAGATGAATGCCACTCCCTTATGAAACAAGCTCGACACTGTTTCTACAAGAGTGCCATCGTCTCTCCATAGTAGGCACAGCGCCAGAAGCAGCAACGGACTCTCAGCCATACCAGACAGAAGGTCTGAGGATTTAATCCTATCAATAAGCCCCTTGGCCTTATCAGGTTCATGTGAGAAAAATTTGTTCACATACTCAGGGACACTTTTGTTATTGAAACCCAGGACCTCCACATGCGTGAATGGTTCCTGAACCAGATCCCATGATACCAGTCGGTCATAATGCGAGGGGCGGGTGCTTACAAGTACAGTGCAACCCCTCAATGTCATTCGATTCAGGATATTCAGTATGGAACCAAATTTGGATTCACACAGGGAGGTAGTCTTGAACTCATCAAAGCCATCTAGCAAGATGAGGACTTTCATAGGACTGTGCTTGATAAACGTGTCCAGGCGGCCTTTATCAACACACGTGTCTTCGGCCAAGAGCTGGTTAAAGACCGCAGTAACATGACCTGAGGTCTCGTCCAGTGAGTGCATTTTCAACTTAAAGACAAGTTTGTACCTCTGCAGTACCCGACTAGAACCGACTGCCCAATCGTATGCTATTTTGTCAAAGAGTGTGGTTTTTCCACTACCCGCCAACCCTGTTAAAATAGCTATTGGGTTCAGGTGATACGCTCTCGACAGAAGGAGTATTATATCTTCATAGGACGCCAACATGAATTCATTTTCGCCCTTACCAGTTTTTAACTGCAACTTTGTGAAGATGTCCAAGATGTGTTTCATGTCATCACCCACCCATGGGAGCAACTGAACGTAGCTGCCAGTGGTCATGTACAGTGACCTCAATGACTTTTCGCAGCTGTCGGCAGCATCTTGGCCCGGACTGTCAAACTTGACCTTTTTGGACGAGCTGTGTTCTAAGACATTGCAATGAATATGAAATTGATTAATGAGGAGAATTTGTCTTTTAAGAATCAGGGTTTCTTCCCTACCAAGATTTTGTTGTGTATCTATTACAAGACCCACTGTAATTTTAAGAGATATAGTTTATGTAGACAAAGTAAAATTGATGAACAACATCATCGGAAATTTGTAAATTTTTAACTTGTTTTTACTTTTGGACTGAAAGTTTTTTTTTACGAATGAGAATAAATACGTACTTGGCTGGTGTTAAACAAGTACATTTCAAACCGGCAAGGGGCCTGCTTGCCGATAACGACCCTCTTCATTGGCTCGGACCATTATCGGTGACCAGACCCTAGCCAGCTTTAAACGTACTTGTTCAAGACCGGCCAAGCACATATTTATTTCTTTTAATAATCTTCTTAATAGTTACCTTGTGTTTGGGATGCCGTTTGTTGTGTGGTCGGCTGCTGTGGTGTACTTTGTGGATTCTCTGATTTGTCAGCAGGTGGATGCTGTGGCGTACTTTGTGGATTCTCTGATTGGTCAGCAGGTGGATGCTGTGGCGTACTTTGTGGATTCTCTGATTGGTCAGCAGGTGGATACTGTGATGTACTTGGTGGATTCTCTGATTGGTCAGCAGGTGGATGCTGTGATGAACTTGGTGGATTCGCTGATTGGTCAGCAGGTGGATGCTGTGATGAACTTGGTGGATTCGCTGATTGGTCAGCAGGTGGATACTGCGATGTACTTGGTGGTTTCTCTGATACATTTATGTTAACTGATGGCTGACCGGATTGGTCTGGATTGTCTTCAATCAAATCAAACAAGGGAAGCACAATTAATTACTCGTGGAAACGGGAATATCCACTTAAAGGGAATGTACAACATTTGCTTTTGCTTCAATTTTCAAAAATAAATGGATTTGGAGGATTAGGATGTTATAGCAAATATTGTTAAAAAGACTTGTTTCACGTTTTGGGCTTGTAGATGCTGGAAAAACCAAGAAAACCATTCATGTTCTTGTAGTCTGGTTCCCTGACCCCACTTAAGATGAAATGGAGAATTTATAGACTTTGGGGAATTGTAAGGTCAGAGAATCAGTCTAGCAGGCTTGTACCCTTTTACAGGTGTGTAATCAATTGCAAAGAGTTTTTGCAGTTTTTGCACCAAAGAGCTTGCCAGCAGTTCTCCAACGCTGGTCGACCGACCAGCGTTGGAAAAATATAATTTTTCTTGAACATGTCAGCACACCAGGAGCCACGATTTTGCAGGAATCTTTAGACTGTTATTCCCTAACAATCCATTATGGTATTTTGTGACAATCTCATCATTTCGTTTTGTGATGTTTGCAAATGTTGTATCTTCCCTTTAAGCCACTAACCATATGGGCCTAATGCTTAATTGTTTGGTACAGTTACATGTATTAATCTACCTCTGGATGTGTTGATAGTGACGGTGTAACCTGTGGGGTTGATAGTGGGAACATTTCCAGAGCCCGATATCTGTTGCATGTGCTGCAGCATTTGTTGGACGACTGCAACCGGAACCGTGCCTGGAACTGATCAAAAAGGAAAACACACGATGCCAGAACAGCTCCAATAGACGAACTCTGACAGTAAAAATAGGCCTACTGATTGGTTTCACCTAACTGCCTCACTTCCAAGGTTTAGAGCTGCGACTGGTATCATGTCTGAAAAATGGGGGGAAATTGTTGTCTGGATACTAGGCCAAGTAAACAAATGAACCAGTTCCCCTCCTGCCCAATTCCTTTTCTCACCTCCCCCCCCCCTTTGTTTGTAAGTTTTACTTTTTGATGATACTCATACATTTGCACTGTATGGAAAAACTGTACGGGGTTTATTTGTCATTATTTCCTTCGGTATTTTTAATAAACCTGTTATTATTTGTTTAAAAAAAAGGGAAAAAATCTAACCAAATTAGCTCACTTGGTTTTGCAAAAAGGTATCAGGAATGCACCAGAAACCACCAGAGAGCATCTAAAGTAGCCAGAGCTTCCAGGGCACTTAAGCGGGGCCTGGACCCCGGCCGTAAGGGACCTCGCGCTACCTCGTTCACTCCCACTTTCTCAAATCCTGGCTAAAACGCTGATCATACATTCGCAATATCATTTGCAATACACTTGTCTTGTAGATTATGCAGTTCAAAATCTGTTAGGAAAGGCGATGGCTCCAGTCCTTTGGAAACAAAGTATCAGTAAGAGCAGAGAGGGGGAAAAAATGCCCGCATCCTGCTTTATTCTAAAAGTGAAGACGAGAAACTACTCAATTTTTATTTGGCCTATACTTGCACACTGTCTGGTTTTGAAACAACAAGTGTTATTGCGTACCTGTTGTCCCGCCCTGACTGTCCGTCGTTACCACATCCACCTGTATCCTTCGATGTTCTTCTGTTGTCGTCGCATCTTCTTGACTCGTTGTAGTTTGTCTCGCTTCTCGTTCATCCATCTGATGGAAACAAATTTTGAGTAATAAGAAATCATTGCAAAGGTACAAAGGCACTAGGAGACTCTTTGGTGTAAGGCCAAGTAAAAAAAACCATGTTTAGCGTCCTGCCTTTTTGAAAAAAAGGAAGGAGGCGACCCTTTTTTTTTTAATTGCTGCCTGACCCATTTTCCAAAACGACCGACCGGGCTATTTTTCAAGATGGCCGCCAACCTTTTTTTAAATGGCCGCCACTCAATGGACTCAGGAAATGACATGCTTTATATGTGCTAGATGCAACAGACAAAGCAGCCAAAATGATGTCACTGTTTAAAATTTATCATTTTTTTCAGCGTTGTTTTTTATTTCAATAAAAAAAAGAAAAAAAAGGAGGCGGCATCCAAAAGCGAGGTGGGGCACCAGGCAGGGACACTCAACATTTTTTTTTATTTGGCCTGAATTCTTCAAATCAATTTAGTTGATTGGACTGCGATTCGTAACTTATTGTCTTGTCCTTCATCTTTTCATTTCTTTTCAATTTTGGGTAGACTAGCCATTTATATTTTTAAATATTTTATTTTTTATCGAAATTTTATCAAACCTGCCCTCAGATGAGAGCCCAAAAACCAGGGAGTTGATCCTTGGGTATATTTACTCAATTCTACCGTTTTTAAAGCCACCGTTTTTAAAGCCAAATGGTCACCATTTTCAAAAGAAGTTGTCAGTACTATTTATGCTAATGGCTCGCATAGTAATTCTCACTTGAATAGTGCACTGCACCCATTATGTGCGTAAATTACACAAAATACAAGACATTGAACATGCTTAACTAAACCAAAAAGGACAGTTAGTCTTGTAGACAAATGTAGACAAATAGACTAATTAGAATTTATACCCAGTTACCGAGTCAGTAGTTTGGCCTTATATTTTTGTTGCCATAATAGGATATTGTGTAGTTTAGAACACCTTTCCAGTAAGAGAACAAAATCCACTTTCTAGTTCTGTATAATTCACCAAAATAGCTGGCAACGTCATGGGGCAGGATTAATGTGGTGTCGATGTTTGAGCGAAATTATGCGGTAAATCAGAATATTAAATCCATGGCTTCAAGTTCAACCATGCTTCAAGTTCAACATGTTCAGTGCCAGCTTTACATCATCGGTGCACCATGACATGACAACAAAATCACTAATCAGATGATGAAAAAAACACTGTCGAAAAAAAGAGCACTTGGGCTCATTAGAGCAATTGCTAAGATTGCTAATAATACATTTTGAATTATGAGTAAAAAAGAAAATGGTGTCCTATTTTTTCTCCTAAGGCAGTGGCTATTGTTACGGCAGCCGTAACGCATTTCCCATTTTCTATCGTTACGGTAGACTGCAACCTGGCAACTTTTATAAAAAAACATGACAAGAAAATATAAAATTAGAAGGAAAAAAGTGAATTTGAACTTTATGAAATTCGGACTTTATTTCCCTTTTAAAAAAAATCCTCCAAAGCCTCAGGTTAGAAAAGGAAAAAAATTCGAGTGCAAAACTGAGATTCGAACACGCAACCTCGCGGTGCAAAATCCTACCCTCTATCGACTGAGCTGGCGCACTGCTCGATAAAACGTGGGGAAACAAATAATTATATACCTGCGTGCGTATCAAAACAATATCGTAGAGGGCGCTAAACAACGAGTGCCGTAACGATAGCCACTTCGTTCTCCTAACATGCCTAAGTTCGATAAACCCACAATCATGACAATGTCAATGAGTGATTAAAAACACCCTAAAATATCAACGAGTTAAGATCTAAAAAGTATCAGATTTAACACGAGACTTCGTTTAACCATATTTACCATTTTATCGTCATAAATAATGGTAAAATGCGATAAATGATCAAATCACCAACCTTTATTTCGATGGGCGGACGCTTAAACTGAAATCTACAATCTACAATCTACATGTATTTCCTGGTAGTCACGTCCGTCTCGTCTATAGAGGGCGGTGTCACGTTCAGCATATTAAATTACAGAAACGTAAAATGCGAGTTTTTGACAACCGGAAACATTTGTAAAAAAATTGTGCGACATAACTGTAATGTTGCTAGTTCCTAGTCAAGATCCCTAGAGGATGTTTCAGGAGGAAACCAACCAAGTACCAAGTTGCGCAACGTGAAATATTAAATTGCGCAACTCGCAAGTCGCATGACTTGACTAAACACAAAGTTTCTTGACCTCCGTAGCGCGCGTACGTCAGAGGGCGGTGTTCAATAAAGCAGCTACTGTGACTGTCAGAATATGGGCGGGGTCAAAAGTGGGGGCTACCTGTATTGTGCGTTGGCTTGTGACATTTCAAATATAATCTCTTCGTCTCTCACACATTACAAGTTTTACATCCATTCACAACTTTTTGCTTTCAAATATTTAACGATGAAAAAGAAATGAGCCATAATGTTTAGGCCAAGAACAAAAAAGTTAACATGTTCCTGGTGCGGACTTTGAAAAGCGGCAATTTCTTTTGTTATTTTTTTTTTAATAAACATGGCTACCACGACATATTTGAGATGATTTTATGTTGCTGTTTAAGCTTATATGGTGTAATCTAGAATGTAGTATGGTCAACTTGTCAAGCCAATTGCCAAATTCACACACAATACTATGCAAGAATGACAAATGAATAGTAAAATTTAACATAAATAAGCAACAAATTCACAATGTTCGAGTATATTCTTACATTTAACACAGCCCCAAATACAGTGTAAATGCCTACCACTTTACATTTAGAGAACGCTTGGTTCACCCACTGTTGACCGTTAATATTTACAAATAAAAAATTGGCCACTCCTTTCTCATTGTAAATTAGCATATAAACTTCTGATTGGATGGGCTTTCCAGGAGCCTCGGTTCAAAAACTGTTTTTCCTGTTGATCAATAAACTTTTTCTCAGTCAATCTCTAAACCTCACTTGATCTATCTTCCGAGTAAATAAAGCTCACTCAAAGCTTATGAAAAAAATCTGAATAGCATGATAAAATCTCGACAACAAAGGGTTCAGTTAGGCACAAGATTGAGACAGTGGCCTCACATAGGTCATACCAATTGCCATATGGTTGTGTAACGCCCATTATGGTTTATCTGTTAAGTAAGAATTCAGGTTCGTGTGAAGGTATAAAAAATAATATAAACAAGGCAAATAATATCAAAAATACAAGTTTTAATTTCCCGACAAAACTAACTATGCGAGTATTCACAGCATTCTAACGACCACTAGGCCTGGGCGAGTAGTGGATTTTTTTACTCGAGTACTCGCAAAGAAATTACTCGTAGATTCCCTGCTTGCAGGGGACGTATTAAGCCATGAATCCTAAACCCTAAATTGCTACTCGCGAGTACCTGCTTCTACTCACACCAGGACGAGTACTCGAGTAAATGAAACACCGCGAGCAGAATGAGAAGCATAAATTACTCCTGAGTACTCGAGTAATCAAGTAACTCCCCCAGCGGTAAAGACCACCATCTGTCAAATCTTACCAGTCGCCTCCGACGTAACTCCTCATCGTCCAAACGTCCAGCTAGGACCTTGTGACCTTTGACCCAAATTCTGGTTAGGTCACTGAGGTCAGGTTACTGTCACTAATGAATATTCATTGCATTCACGTAACCCCTATCAGTCATATCTTGTAGGTCACCTACGACGCAACTCCCTGTTGTCCAATACCTTGTGACCTTTGACCCGAACCCTGGGCTAGGTCACTCAGGTCAAGTTACTGTCACTAATGAATAGTCACTACTAATGAATATTCATAGCATTCGCACGACCCCCCCTATCTGTCAAGTCTTGCCAGTCGCCTCCGCCGCAACTCGTCATCGTCCAAACGTCCAGGACCTTGCGACCTTTGACCCGAATCCTGGGCTAGGTCACCAAGGTCAGGGTACAATCGTGGACCGTTAGGCCGCTCCTCATATGGGGGTGCACTGGGCGTGGGTGGATATGCACTGGTGCTTGGACCTGGGTGGGCAGGCATGGGGGGCGCAGGAGGGTGCCCAGTGCCACCTGTAAAGAAATTTGGGGGAAAAAACGACAAAATTTTGTAACTAGAGTTACGATTCTCACACTTAAGAGCGAAAACTGGTCAAATGTTACAATGCTGTTTAGGCTTAGAGGAACACAGAAGTGTCTTCAGTTTTGCAATAAGCAGTAAGCATGGCACATAGAGCCCAATAAGACCACATGGAATTATTTTTAAAAAATTGGGGAGCATAAATTGTTCGGAAAGTGTACAAATACACAGCATGAGTATTTGAACATGGGAAATAGTGCAAACATGCCGTGCATTTTGTTTAGCCACCGAAGGCACGGTTATGACCGGAGTTTCGACCGACCTGTTTGGAGACTAGCTCTGATGGCTTCCTGCATTTGTTCCTCCTCGCTCATTCCCCCTGCGTACTCATAGCCCCTGGGTTGATCAGGGCCCGTAGCTCCGCCCCTACCGGTCGTGCCTGCTCTGTAGTTATACGTGGCACGACCGGGTCTGCCTGCACCTTGATAACCTAACAAACATTTTAGAAGAAATTTTTAATTTTGGAAGAAAGTTAATTTCAATCTGATTAAAACAAAATGTCTTGAAAAATTCTCCATCGACTGGGCTGTAGCTGCCAAAGGGAGTTTACGGTAAACGTTGAAATAATAAAGCTAAAATCCTATGGTGCTTTACAGTGCCAATGGGGGGTGTGGCCAAGTGGTTAGGGTTTGTGACTCATGATCCGAGGGTCAGAGGTTCGCATCCAGCTGCTGGCCATAGTTGTGTCCTTGGGTAAGCCACTTTACCCCACTTGCCTCTCTCCACCCAGGAGTGTAAATGGGTACCGGCATTAGCTGGGGAGTAACCTGGGATGGACTTGCATCCCGTTCAGGGGAACAGAAATATTCTCAGTTGTTTCATGCTACTGAAACCGGAGATAAACGCCGACCTGATGGGCCACATTGGCTCGTGACAGACTTACTTACTTCACAGTGACCTGAAAAGGTGACACAGAGACGCATTAGAAAGTAAAAAAAAATTGGCTGATGGAATTGTACCAGTAAAAAACTCACCCTGTCTCGGTGTCAAGATGGAAGGAACGATATCTAGTATTGATTTCAGCGGCCCCTTGACGAAAGCCAGACCGACTAGGATCCCTGCTAGGTGACCCGTGAAAGACGCCCTGGGAACGAGGAGCTGGATGAGAACGAGCTCCGCCCAGCAGGCGTAGCGGGACGGCACGGGGAAACCCATGACATACTGGGTACCGGCCGGGGTATAATGGGTGGTCAACACCTTCAAGGCGAAAATGACCCCTAGAAAAAAAACACAAGACAATTATCACCCGTTACATATTTCAACTGAAAAAAAGATCACGTCATTGGAGAAAAGAAGCTTGCTCAGGGAAACCACCACAAGGGGCAGGAATTGCCGACAAGAATTACTGAGAGTTTATACTTAAGTGGGACTCAAACCCTAAACCTCTTACTAACGAAGGATTGATTCTTAAAAAAGGAAAATTCTGAAAAATATTTTCCACTTTTTACTTTTGTTGGGAAAAATACTTTCACGTAGAGGTAAAGGATATTTGTTTGAGGAACTTGAAAGGAAGTTTTGGGAAATTCAAATTACTGATCCTGATCAAGTTTTGTCTTACCTGAAAACCCTGCAGCGCAGGAGACGATGTAAGAATCATCGTCCAGTACCTCGGCGAGTGCCATGTTGAGCCCTATCATTGTAGCGTTAGTCAGCAAGGAAAACACCGCGATAAGGTACATGAAATAGAAAGTGCCGAACCGCCGCTCCAGTGACAGACCTAAAACCACACATAGTGGAAGGAAAATAAAATGGATTAAAAAATTTGATGAAATGGAAGTACTTATTGTCATGCGTACTCTGTGCCATGAGGCATCCCCCCCCCCCCCACAATTTGCCCATTATTTTTAAAAGGAGACAAAACTGCAAATACGTTACAAGCACTCCTAGCGATAATACTCTCCCCCCCCCCCCCACGGGCCTTTTTGATGGCAAAAATCGCGTGTCCGTCGGCAACAATCATTTGTCTGTTGGCAACTATGCTGCCACGAACAGCGCCATCTATTGCCTGACAGTGTTGAAAATCGTCCGCTTTGAAAATTGCCTCCAATAGTAAGATCCAACCCCCATCCCCCCCCCCCCCCTACCACTTGTTAATTTTGTGGTGGCCTCAGACTGGAAATTTCCTGGCTAGCGAACAAAAACAAATCAGCCACTTTGTCAGAGAAATTGCCCCCCCCCCCCCTCCCTGCGGACCCAAAACTTGGATATGTTAAGTGAGTGGTTAGACTCACCCTTCCAGAGAAACGAGACCATGTTGAAGTAGAGATGCCAATCGTCCAGATGGAACCATGCAGCCAAGGCAAGCCGTGGCCAATCACCCTGGTACCAAACGCTGTACGTACTCGCGCAGATGTTCTTGATTGTCGGAGAGCGGAAATACATCCGAATATATGGATCGAGGACCTGATTAAAAACAGAATACACAAATGAAGCCAAAAGTATATGAAAATGACTTCAACTTCATTGTATTATGTTATTATCATTACTATTTTTACTTTATTCATCTGCAACATGAGACTCAAAAAGCTGACTCATACTGGTGAAGAGAGCCGGGCAGTGCTGTTGTATAGGATTACTCTGTAATGACAATTTTATGTTTTAAATATGTTAACTTGGCCTAAAACCTATTTGAGACGATGCAATGATAATAAGAAAAATCATTCCCCCCCCCCCCCAATTTTTTTTTTGCAGGGTCATACCTTCAGGTAAATGGCGACATTGATGGCGATGGTCCCTAGGGTGGTGGGCGGGATGCGATCCAAGCCAACGCGCATCAACTGGCCAATCAGGAGGAGTAATCCAAGCCCCTCCCTACGCCGATGTCGCATCATATCGCTGGCAGTAAAAGTCTCTTTAAATGAATATATAACTGTGACTCAGAGAGGCGATCAGGCGATGCTGAAACGAAAAAGATGAAATTCTATAACAGAATATTATTAAAATGTCCACATCAGATCCTGTAAAACTAAAAGAGGAAAGAACATTGCATCCTGATGTCACTTTTTTCATCATATATCATCTCAATGATGGTCAGTCATTGCAAAAATTATGATAAGACATGATCTTGGACTCGGACTGATAAACGTTTCCAGTTTTCTTAAGAAATACTTTGAAAATGTTCTTGACTCTCCATATTTCATGCACACAACCATGACAACTTAATTACAAAACAACCGCTGTGGTGTGGCGTCCATCATGTCTGGATACTAATGATATTCTTTCCAAACTATATTTGCCATATATCTTACCTCCACTTTTCTTTTAAAATTAGTCAAATCAACGATGCTACTAGGTAGGATAAACCAACCAGCACTATCGGCCCGGCGTCAGGAAACTCCAGTTTTTGATGACAGCTGAAAGCTTTCCCACACAAATTCAACAGCCACCTTGCGCCAGCCACGACAGCTACGTCAACAGCATTGCATCAGTCACTCACGTTTATCACACGTGTCCTTAATTTTGACAATGTCATAAAAAAGCCGGGAACAAATAAATTAAGTGCTTAAAAAAGGTAAAAAGTGAGACAATGTCCATAAACTCAAACTTACTCGCCGTACTGCTAGCTGACGAGAGAGGGCGCTTTGCAGCATTTATGTACACGTGTGTATTTCAGGTTTTGAAGTCAACAGCTAGCTGCATTGCGCAGAGGGCGCCAGCTAGCTAATGCTTGGGTTTGACTCACGATATTTCTTCATATAAAATGACATCATGTAATTATCGTGTACCTAAGTGTGAAAAAAAAGGACGCCAATTAGAAACAACCACGTATCTCTAGTCAGTTGGATACGAAATTACGGGAAATTCCAAAATAGAAAAGGAAGCAAAATAGTTACTGTACAAGCAGAAGACGTGCGGTTTGATTGGTCAAAAGTTATAAGGGCAAATTAAGGCGCCCAGGTTTCTCACATATAGGGGGCGAGTGGGTGGAGGGAGCGCCCAATTTCTGTTCAACACGTTAACCATGGTCACCTATGCAGGACCGGCATATATCCAGTGGGGGCAACTATGTGGGGAGGCGCCGATTTTTTATGGGCCCCAGACAATAAACTGTAAGTCAACAACCCCGACAGGCCAACAACCCCCACCCTTATTCAATAAAATATTTGGGCTTGACACTTTTTACACAAGACTGTCTGGTGGCTTGTCCCCAAGTCTATGGTTCATTCGCAATGGGCGTTTCCCAGCCCCCCCCCCCCCATGACCCCTTGGGTGTTGCGTAACGCACTTTGACTTTCTGGTAGATAACATTTGGACAAAAGAAATCTCAAAGACACCGCAGTTCATTTCTTTTTAAAACTTAAAGTTTATTGTCTGTTTATTGAATTTCTGTATTCCAACTGTTTGTATACTTTCCCCACGGCAATCAAAGACCTAATGGCCACAAAGTTGGGTCTGAAAATTGAGATCAAAACTCATGCTGCAACATGGAGGTCTTGTAAGTAGTTATGTAATTTTCTCCACATTTTGTGAAATTTCTGCAAGAAAAGGAATCCATACTAGCCATATGGAAAGTTGATAGCTTAAACTTAAAATAACAAATTTAACCGCAAAAATGAATCTTAAAAAGCAACACAAATATCGTTCCTTTTGTCTGTTGCTGTCAGTTGGTGAATATTATTTTTTTACGTGGACGTTGTTGATAACAACTTTCTACAGAGACAATATGAACCTGTTAACTATTTACACACAAAATTATATGAAAATCTCAAATCAATAAAGAGCATTCAATCTTTTAAAACTCAATTTTCCAAATGCAATATCGTCGATAAGTTCCCACTGTGCTATCTAAAATGTACACAACAGCCAATTTTCCACAACTTCAAAATGTTCGCAGTAGATAATTTTGGTGCATGTATGTACACCATCCAAAGTGTTAGAATTTAAACTTTGTTGGTATATTTTAAGTGGAAAACAGATGATGAGCATTTGTGATGCGATCAAGCTACACGAGTCGTTTGTCGGGAATTTTCATTTGGAGATACAGGCCAAAATAGGGCGACTTCATCACATCACTTCATCACATCTCTTGGTGTTCCGACTTTCATATTTTTTTTAACTAAAGATGGTATTAGCATGTGGTTTTCACAGCAGTAACGCTGAGATTGTGCTCTTTTCAAATCTGTAATAAAAAAAATTGACCGGGGTCGATTAACGACTCATTTAGCTTGATCGCATCACATCTGTGAGTTGAAAATCTCCAAAAAAATAACGTGGGACTGGAAGGGACGAAAGAGATTGGAGCCCTGATGATATTCTCTATGATTGGTGAGTCTTGTTTTTTGGCGATTTGGTATGATATTTTGTTGCATGCTAGCCGTCACTTGTTGAGAGTTCCTTGCTGTTTTGGAGTGTAGGAGGGGGCAGGGCCCGATTGTGGGAACTCATCTCAGATGCTGACAGACATCAGGCTTAGCTTTTGAATGACATCTCATTCAGACCTTCTAGACCCTGAAGACAAAAGAAAAGATACAACGATCAAGAACTCATTATTCAAAATGCAACTTCTGGTACTGGTAAAAAAAGAGACGATTTAGAGTAATCAAGTCGAATGTCAAATTGCTATTTTAAGTTTACTTTCAAACTTCTAACAACAATTACAAAAACAAATTGATCCCATATTTCTTGTGGACTTGAAAGTAATCCATGGCATAAGTCCAGTACATGTGGAATTCTCAAGGGCAATTTGGCTAGAAACCCTGCTAACAGCGAGAACAAACAATGCTTGTCCGAGTGAGTGCTTCAAGACAAACAGCCTCAGAGCCTCTGGCAGGGTTAGGTTTTTAATAACAAAATTTATGCATTTTAAAAGTGAAAAAGACTTAAGTGTATGCCAATTTAATACTTTGATAGTGGTTTGGTGTTATCAAAAACTTCTTCTACTTCTACAATTTGATTCTTTCTTGGCAAAGTCCCCACATGTGGACATCACGCAAAGGTTGCATCACGCCTAGTTCTTAGCTACAGGAATGTTTTTCCTGGCCAAAACTTTTAAACCATCGCTGTACCTTTGCAATGTATGCCTTTCCAGTGACCATCTGATCTCGTCTATACAACCTGTATTCAAATGGGTGTCGTACTTGTCTCCTCAACTGGATCGGGGAAAAAAAGAAAAAAAGATGAACATTGGAAGTTAACCCTAACTCCCTAGGCCTTTTTGCTAGGATGTAGCCTCGATCCTGCAAAATCCTCCAATTGGCCTCATGGAAAAATAGCATATAGCCTCAATCCTGCAAATTCCTCCGCTATTTCTTGAATATGGTCCATGGAGGGGTGACCACTGCCTGAATCCTGCACAATCCTCTGGCTATGACTGTCAATAGGCTGAGGCAGAGGCAGTGACATCCTGGAGCAGTGCGGAGGATGTCAAGTATAATCAAGGACTAAATTTATGCACGGCTGAGCATAAACAACACAAGGTCCGGCCCAAGACCTTGACACAGTGCGTACTCCGAAATCAGCAACCCACTTTTGCCATGTAACCTCAATCCTGCAAATTCCTCCAATTTGCAAAAAGGATTTTGGAGGATTCAGGGCGGTTAGGGTTAAATTAAGGAAAGATGTAATCCTGACACCACACGGGTGTTTTATGTACAAAATGGGATTCATAGTAGGCCATATTCACAGTAGGTCTATCTAAATGAGCAAACACAAGTCAGCGGCTTAAGTTATCGCAATAGTCATAGACCGTCTTGTTTTCGACATCAGGATCTTTGGCTCTGGGAACTGAACTATCAACTGAATGGTTCTTGGACTTTAACCTATTCCCCTTTTTAAAAAATCTTAAGAATTAAAGAAAACTATTAATATTATAAGAAAAAGAAACGAACAAAATATCTCTGCAATCACGGATTCAATCCTGGTACCTTGGGCAGAAACAGGTCAACTCATATGCATGCCGACTCGTACACATGCTGACTCGTACCGAACCAACTCGTACACGTACCAATTCGTGCACGGGCCAACTCGTACATGAACCAACTCGTACACGGTGCCGATACAACTTCCAGATGGTAATTATTAAGGAATATGAGTGGTGGCCCAGTATGGAATTTTTTCCAAATCGCGTTACGGCTGCCGTAACAATAGCCGTAACTCGGGTACGAATTGTCAATTTTGCAAAAATAAACAGCACAAACCTTTCCACCATTCCCCAACTTCTGACAGGTGTAATTTATTCCTCCGACAGCTGCAATGCAGCCCACCATCAGGCCTAGACCTGGGAGAATCTCATACCACATGGTGAAGTCAGGATATCGTGAAAATTCACGGCCTTTCCATGAAATTTTGTCCCGGTTTCGGAACAGCACACCACAGACTTGTTCCAGTCTCAATCATCAACCTCGTATTAATTATAGTGTGGTGCTCAATTTACGACGTCATGAATGGCATCGCATAAAACGTTAAGCGTCTGGGATTCTGACCTTTGAAATTTCCCCTGGGGACGTTTGAACCTGAAATTATTTACTGAAACTTAATCATTTTCCAGTGTATTAATTATTTATCTTCATTGACGGTGACAAAAACAGCTAAACAAAAGCATATATTGAACTTTTGTTGGAATGCTAAAGCACTCGTTATCAATATTTACACAAGGAACAAAAATTACTCATACATCTAAAATAGAAATTGCCAGAATTCGACGCATGCGCAGTAAGTCCATTCATTCTATAAACAGAAGGGGGTCGACATGGTAAGTACTTACTCCCAATTTCCCCCGAATTTACCACTTTAAATAAAGCTAATTGACTTATAGACATTCTTATATGTACCATGACTAACTCATTATCACCTTGGTTTACCACAGAATAAGTTGAAGTCGTCACAAAAGGACAAAGTCCGGCAGTTTATTTCGTTCACCAAGACGGGGGAGAAGACGGCTATTTACTGCCTGTCACAACACGACTGGAAGCTGGAACACGCATTCGACAGTTACTTCACAAATCCCGATTTTTACTTCAGAGAACCCAAGCCAGCAGTTGACAAGAAGGCGTTAGACAAATTGTACAACAACTATAAAGGTGACTGCCAAATAATAGCGATTGTGAAACCAAGAAACGCTATTTTTATTTCAGCAACAAACAAGGATGACCTAGCCTAGTCCGAGTAACTTGGACCCAACTTATCGCCTTTTAGTTTTTTAACATTTGGACATGGTCTGGCAACACTATCGCCAGACCATGTCCAAATGTTAAAAAAGGCGATAAGTTGGGTCCAAGTTACTCGGACTAGACCTAGCCTAGGTCACAGACAGGACGGACAGGGTCAGGGTCACCACTTTTTTAACATTGTAAAATTTAGTTCAGTCATGTCAGTTTTAAATGGCATAAATGGCAAAGAATATATTCCGAATTTGCAAATGCGACAATAAATGTAATGAGGCTCTACTTATTAGGAGTCATGAAAATGTTTCAAGTATTTTCTAATTGGAAAGTCATGTTCATGATGTTCCTCGTTCCAAAATCGATGTTTACTTTTCCAGCATATTTGTGATAGACCTTGTACGTAGCAGCCATCTGAGAGGGCAATCAATGCCTCTGTTTTGCTGGGATATACATGAATAATGAGTTCAAATTTCAACCTTTATTCATTTTTAATGTTGGCAATGTATTTCTTTGTTTTCGGTTCCGCAGATCCACATGATGAGGATAAGATTCTGGCCGAGGGCGTGGCCAAGTTCTGCGATGACCTGAAGCTCGACCCCACCAGTCGCACGGTGCTGGTCATTGCCTGGAAATTCAAGGCCGCAACGCAGTGCGAATTCACAAAGAGAGAGTTTATTGATGGCATGACATATTTAGGGTAAAACATCAAAAACTGAGGGTTGTATTTGGGTATGCTTCCAGTAACCATGGTCATTTTCTCTTTCATTTTCATGAATTTGTTTTGTGGTTTTTCATTTTTTTCCCCCTTCTTCACAGGTGTGATTCAATTGATAAACTTAAATCCAAGCTTCCCTCGGTCGAGAGCGACTTGCGAGATTCTGCCAAGTTTAAAGATTTTTACCAGTTTACCTTCAATTTTGCTAAAAACCCGGGACAAAAGAGTCTTGGTAAGTTGTGTTTTTTTTTCAGTGTTTTATTTTCAAGAGATTTGAGTTATTGTTTAATTCATAAAATGTGATCCGTTGTATTTTTGTGTCATATCATATTTAATGCTGTCGGTTGTTCCTCTACAAAATGATCTTAAGTTTTAATTATTACTTGTTTTTTTTAATCCTCTACTAGATCTAGAAATGGCAATTGCTTACTGGAACATAGTACTCGAAGGCAAGTTTCAATTTCTAGACCTGTGGTGCAAGTTTCTCACGGTGAGTATTGCTTATTTCATTTTCAATGAGCTGAAAGTGGAGCTAGCCCCACACATTTTCAGGGCTAGAATTGGCCTGGCCAGAGGCGAAGCTAAGTTGCGCCCAAACGACAACTATTTTGGGTGGAGCTAGCTCCAGAGATAGCCCTCCATCTGAACAAACGACCCCATAGTCGTCACTTTTTGTTAATCCTGAGTGACCGCAAACTTTCTACTTCAGCAACCTAACTCAAACTTTTCTTGATCTTTATTGTTTTCATTTGGCATTTCCATTTCCCAAAACAGGAGCACCACAAAAAGTCGATACCCAGGGACACGTGGAATCTTCTGTTGGACTTTAGTAATATGATCTCAGACGACATGAGCAATTATGACGAAGAAGGTATTAACTCAGAAATGTTGTTTTCTTTTATAATAGTTTTCGCCCCAGTTGATGTGTTGGTTTTATAATCCTAACTTTTTGCATCTTGGAGATTGGTCATTCTATAAATTTGGGGTCCATTTTTTCCTGTCCCAGTTACATCTGACATCTGTGATTTTATAATTCTGATGCACTCCTTAATGCAGTCGTCCTCCAAGAGTGTTTATGAATAGCAAATTACCTACCCAACAAGTGAAAAATTGTTTGACGTTACTCCTAATGGTACTTGGATGGCAAATTACAGGACAAATGTCACACTTTGACACTGAATTTACAAAATGACCCAGATGTAATTTTTTGAAAAAAAATTGTGTTTCGCGCTTCATTTGTGTAATTTTAAGAGACAATGTAAATGAATGTATTTCTGAAAAAGTCATTTGAAATTGAGTGCCTGTTTGAGTATCTTTTTTTATTTGTAATATTTATAAAAAAAATTTTTTCAACCTTTCTAGGGGCGTGGCCGGTCCTGATAGATGACTTCGTAGAGTACGCAAGATCCACGTCACAAAACAGAAGTACGGCTGTCTGACGTCCCGCCCCCATCACTGTATCCATAGCAACCACCCGCCAACCTCTCATCACTATGTAAATATATGCATTATTATCCATACTCCATTGTAGTGTATCCCCAACAGGGGTTGTTGTGTAAATCCAAAAAATAAACCTGGATAACATTGCAAGAGGATGGTAGCCAGGCTACATTTGTGGATTTAGATACTTGGAAATCCAGTACGATAGCCTGGAAACCATACTTTTTGAAAGTAATCCGAAGTTGCCTGGATTTATTCACAACTCCTTCTGCCATAATTTTATCTTTTGCTGAAAACACTTCAGTAGACTAAACATGAAATAAGAAATCAAATCTAAGACTTTGTTTCGTCTCCGACGAATATTTCAGTTCATTCAGTGTTTTTTTTTTAGCTTCCCAAGATTTAAAGGTTATTTCTTCTGTTGTTTTTCTCTTTAAAATACTGAATTATGATACTGATATTTATGATTTTTAATGTAATTATTTAATAAATGGGAGTTTTCTTTCCTGTTCGAAGATTGCTGTACTTGGTTTGTTAAAGACAAAAGTAGACCCCAAAAGACTTGTGGCTTCTTCTGTTTTGTTGGAGTGGTACCCTGACTTGCCCGCATGGTGATAAATTAAATTACAGTAATAGTCAGTTACATTGGCAGTTACTTAGCCGTGTTTAAATTGGTCATTTCTGTCTACGGCTTTTGCTGTTAAGCACATTGGGCCTAGGCAGAAAACAAATGCTGAAGGCCAAATAAAAAAATGTCTAGCTCTTCAAAATCCTGATCAAGTGTCATAAAAAAACTTTGTTAAACTTACTTAAGGGCGTCTTTTGCCGTTCCCCCTTTATGTACATTTAGGACCTTAACTATTACTTTTCAGGTTGAGAAACAGAATTTTCAAAACATTTATTTGAACAGGAATGCCCCAAAAAACAGTTTATTAGAGGCTTGTAGCCGTGTGGTCAATTTTAGAAGGGCAAAGAATTCTGTCCGTCAGTGAATGACATGTCTAGAAATGGCTAATGCGAGAGTAAGAAATCACACAAGATGTTAGGAACATTTGTTGCCCAACATTTTTAGTTTAAAAATTAACAGCAAAATTCTCCCTTCTACCCAAAAAAACCAAAACCAACAACTTGGGAGAAAAGATATTGCAATTGATTCAGGGCATTTTTATGGGATTTCACTTTTTGATGGAAATAAAATGAACTGGTCTTAGGAAATTGCATACCTGCGTTGTTGAATCTGAGCTAAGGCCAAAAAAAAAAAGGCTCCGGTTTCTGGTATGGAGCTTGTCCAAAAAGTGGTGCGGCGACGCAGCTTTTTTTTTTTTTTACCCAACTTTTTTGCTTCAAATGTCGGCTGATGACTGCAAATGGTGCCCGACTAAACTTAGTGCAAATATATGGGAGTCCAGAGAGGCCACATAAAGCTTATTCTCGATCATAACCCCATCTAAAAACACATTGAAATTGCGCAGCAGCAGAATTCCAGTCAAACCAGTGAGTTTGGCGGTTTTGAAACATCATCTTTTATTGAAAAAAAAACTTTTTCGTTTTGCCGACGCGCATGGCTACGGCGACGCGCGCGCATACCAGAAACCGGAGACTTTTTTTTTTTTGGCCTAAAGGCTTCAGTTTCATGATAGACATTAATGATTACTGAAAGGCTGTGACTGACAGAATCCAAGGTCCTATCGAGTTGCATTAAAGACGGGCCTTCATAGCCAGAGCTGTTGCATTTGATTCAAACATTCATTGCTGTACAACTCTGAAGCCACAGTGGAAACTTACCCCACGTTTTTAGAAATGGCGTGATATTCTGTGCCAGCCTGAGCTATGACGTGTGTACAGATTTGTTAAAAAAAAAAGAGATGGTTATATTAAAACAATCTTCCTGCAATCATGTAAATAAATCTTTAAAGTCCAGGAAATCGTCATTATCGTGGCGTTGGGGGAGTTTTATAGCATAATTCACATAATATTGATCTTTAATTTTTTTCCCTGTGTACTTGTAAATGTTGAAGATTGCATGCCATGATTGCATATATGACAATACAATAGATTCTTGATGGACTTCAGGGCCCGTAAAACAATGCACAATACCACAATTGTCAGTTGTACGATATCAGATTGTTAGATAACACAATTAATTTCTCCAAATCTCTTCTCCTTCTATAGACATGGGATGTTGTTGCTTTTTCCTTTTTTTTTTAAATTGAGAATAGTCTATAACCTATAACTTGGTTGTTTGGAAGGACGAAATATCTGCTTATATACTAATAAAGTTTTCATTATTGTACAGATTACAATGTGTCCCCGGTTTACTTTTTTACTTGTGGAAAATGCGTATAAATGACATTTTTGAAAGTAGCCATGAAGAAAATAAATTACATACTATTAATAGAAAACATCGCAACACATAACGCACTCGTGTTATTTTGAACCCCTGTGAGTTTTTATTACATGTAGTTACAAATGGAAATATTAAACACGTGAACATTTACCAGGATGCGCATTAAAAAAAAAAAAAATTGTTTACAGCATTGCCAAAAATGGCTGCTTTGTTTTAATAATTTATGAGCATCAATCGCAAGATACAATTTTCAGTTTAAAGATCATTACAAATATTATTTTTGAGCACCCACGTTTATCAAAAATATTCTGCTTCAAAATACCAACACATATAAGAACTCTTGTGCTGAAAATTTACCAATTTTTTTTAATTCTAAAATACCTTTGTGGACTATTGCTACTGCAAAATCTTAAATAGTTTAACCCCAAAAATAACAAGGCATACATATTTCTAACTTTCCATCTGTTATTCATATCGTCATCTACAAATTAAAAATACAACTTAAATACACAAAACATGATAACACTTTTTTTTTTAAACAACGGTATTGATTTTAGTCCGTGTTGGCTATGGTTGAATGAAGTAAGATTTTATCGAGGATTGTAAATTTGACACGGTCTATGAATTCAACCACGTCAAAAATACTTGAGGAAATTGTGTTGTTAACTGTACATTGGATCATTGGGATTTCTTGTGCATTGAAGCAACACGACTCAAAATCTTAAATAGGGTGCAAAACGACTGTATAGTTTTGAGAATATATTTTTTTTTTTTTAAATATGGTACAATATTGTGTAATTCGCCGAAAAAATTAGAGCCATTTTTTAGGTGGTGCCACGCCCACGTGCATGCAGCATGCGATCTTAAAAGACGAGGTGGGCTTGCATTTTGGTTGAAGGTGCCTGGTGCGTGTGCGTATTACCTAAGCACAACTCGCGCAAGCCTGGTGCCACCGCAGAAAATGTAGTTAAGCCATGATTCATTCAAAGTTTTGAAAGAAGAAAATATTCTAGAATATAATATTCTGGGTCAGTAATGACAGTTGTTGATATAATGATTGTTAGCTAACATCTTTACAACCACATAAAATTACCATGGGAGTTTTGTACTGAAATCACAAAACAACTGCAGCATATTTCGTATCTAGAAATCTCATCTAATTAAGTGTGTGTCTATAAACAAATCTAAAACTAACCAGTGTGAGACAATTTAAAAAATAAAAACACTAGATACAAAAAAGCACCATGATTACAAATGAGTTGATTGTTTACAAATTTATTATCTGAGAAAAGAAAACACCCCACAAATATATATTATACAAAACATGCATTTACATCTAAAACAAATCGGCTAGCACCATCATGAATGAAAGTCATCTTGTTGAATTTTTAAGAAGTCGGAAAAATTTTGTCTTTGTTCATTTTGATTTAATTCAGGGAACAATAAAAACAAGATAAGCCTCTTCCTTGTCATTCATTAAATTGGCTTCTTGACGTAAATGTTCATGAAATATGTAACATTTGGAGTAATATACCACTTGTAGTGGTACCTGTGACCACATTGGCTTTGATGCTAAATTCATATCAGAAAGGAAGGTTTATATTTTACATTTTTGTCTTAAAAACAATGAGGCATTTCTCTTTAATACTAAAAACAAATTAGTTGGGCCAAACAGATTAAGAATATTATACATTTAAAGCAGATTCTTCTTATTACCTAAAAATAAATTGTCTTCAAATTTGTGGGAATTGGCAGACCGTAATTTGCAACGAGTCAATAAAATACACATTTTTTAAAACAAAACTGAGACTGTTGTTCGAAGGGTTCTATCTCTTCTTTGAAATTGGAAAAAGCTAAAACTTATAGATATTAAAAAAAAAAAGGGAAAAAAATATTATCTAGAGGATCTTTTGGCAGACTTGACAGCGACTGACACGGGAGCGGAGCGAGCCGGCCTTAAGCGTCTGCGACTCCTGCGGTCTGAACATGGCATCGGCGTCCACCGTGGTCAGCCAGAAGCTGTAGGTGTTGCGGTAGAAGAAGCAGCGACCCCGCCCGTTGCACTCGATGAAGGGCGTGGCCCGGAAGTCTTCCAGGCAGGAGCCGGGGCTAGCCAGGGCGGAGCCACCTCCGTCCGCACCGGCCGATGTGTACTGTCAACAAAAAAACAATGACATTATACCAGAGTGGGAGTCGAATCCGAGTCCCTGCAATTGCTGTTCCAGGGTTCTACCTACCTTTATGAATGCAGTGCTACAAATTATGTATCTAGTTGTTTTATGATTTAAGAGGAACTGACTAGGTTTAAATGGACTGAATTGGAATGAAATTAAGTTCTTCATGTATCTGGACTTTCTTTGTCATGCTAACTACTAACGGGGTTTAGAGTTTTCAGGATTTATGAATAAAAGCTCTTGTGAAATTTGAAATTCCTGAGGTTTTACCATAAAGGTGTCTTTACCAGTAAAAAATACTGCCAAACAAAAAACTTTAAGGCGTGCCTTCAGGCAAATGCAGACATCGACCATCGAGCATTATCTCCGGTTTCCTTGGCATGATACGACTGAGAATATTTCTATTCCCCTGCATGGGATGCTAGTCCATTGCAGGTTACTCCCCAGCTAATGCCGGTACCCATTAATACTCCTGGGTGGAGAGAGGCAAGTGGGGATGAAGTGGCTTGCCCATGGACACAGCACATGGCCAGCGGCTGGATTCGAACCCCTGACCCTCTGATCACGAGTCACGAACCCTTACCACTAGGAGTCACGAACCCTTACCACTAGGCCACACTCCCCCTAACCCATTACGGTACCACTGTCAAATCAACACCATCGTCACCACCCTCACTACAACCACCACGACCACATAAACACTCACCATAGCGAAGCTGAACCCGATCCACAGTGAGCGCCAGTTGCGCGGGCAGTCGGGCAGCGTGGTGTCCTGGCTGTGCACAGCGATGACCTGCGTGGGGGTCTCGCAGACAGCACAGCGGCTGATGTACGGCCTGATGCCGTTGCCTTCCACGGGCATCATGGGGATGGCCTCGGACGTGGCCAGCCAGTAGGACTTGTCGTTACGCTGGGCAAAGTTGCAGATCTCGTTGAAGTTGCAGAAGACGTAGGGCATTGTGCTGAATCTGGGCAGGCAGGAGCCAGCCAGACCTGATGCAAAGTAACACAAAGTTATACAAAGTTATACAAAGCTGTACAAAGTTATACAATGTAATACAAATTTTACAACGTCCTACACAGTAATACAATGTAATAAAGTAACAGACCGTTTACAGAAACCGCCATCTTTGTGATGAAGTGTCAAACGACATTTAACCAGTTCGCGTCGGAGGACGTTATAACACGCACTGGCTGTTTTCATACACAGGCTCGGCCAACAGGTTAAAACGTCAAGATTGCCTTGACTCGCCTCCAGGTGATGTCTAAACACGCTAATCCCTCGTGTCTTTTGTACACACACACAAAGTCCATGAAGTCTGTGGAGGCGGACCGTGTGTTGATCTTGAATTGGCCGCTGTGCACAGCCTATTGTTGTACAATTTACGCTCCAGTGCACACCTTGGAGTATTGTAACCCATAAGGTTTCGGCAAGAAACATTGTACAAATACTGTTGAAATGACTCTTACGAATCAGTATTTGTGGCATTTGGCTGTATATCAGAAGTTGGCTGGAAAGTTCTGGCAAAAATAATCCCGGCGCGAAGTGGTTAACTTGAATTATTTTCAGAACAGTCAAGCCGATAAATTATAATACACTCTTTCTGAAGTTGTCAGATGTGGTTTCAGATATTGATGGGCGGGGTTTCCAACCCCCCCCCCTTTTTCTATCGATGACTTACCAAGATCCTGATGCTGCGCTTTCTCATTGCCTTCAGTATACAGCAGGCTGTAGCCTGTCCAAAGCTGGGTCATGCCCACGTCGCACCGCGGGATGTTCCTGGACTGGCTGTGCTTCACCACGATGAAGCCCTGGGGTCGCGGCGGTGGCCCTGGCGAACCCTCCTCACCACCCACACCCTTACCGCCCTTGAAGCCTAGCCAGAGGTGAAAGGCGTTCAAACCATGAAAGGCATATCGGATCATGTGCATTTATCCTACAAAATAATCTAGCGAATTATTATCAAAACTCTTACTTGGATTAAAGATCGTACTGGTACTAAAAAAAAAGTAGTAATGTCTGTCACGAGTCAATGTGGTCCATCAGGCCAGCATTTATCTCCGGTTTCTTTGGCATGAAATGACTGAGAATATTTCCATTTTCCCTGGACGGGATTCTAGTCCATCGCAGAATACTCAATATTACACAAACAAGCGGCACCATGGATTCAAATGAACCCCAAAGTGTATGGGAATTAATGAACGGACGATAACACAGACAAAGAGAGATTTGTCATACCTTGTGGTCCCGGGTCGCCGAAGTCACCTCGCAGGCCCTGCGGCCCGAACTGACCCTTGGGCCCTATGCTACCAGGCTCACCAGGATCACCGAAATCCCCCTTCATGCCTTTTAAACCTGTTAATAATAAGAATGTGAATTTATAATTTATAATTTCCGTGATAGAATTGATAGCTTGCCCGGATAGACCTTTATCATGCCGCCACCATTTCAGTCATGTTCCCCGTATCCAATAATAGTACTGAATGATGATTATTTTTGCGCAAAAAGGAACCAGACTATTTTTCCTTCCTGCCTAACTTTGGTTACGTTGATTTGAATGGGAAAACAAAATCAAGATGGTTGCCAAATGATAATGGTCTATTGGTGCATAGGGAGTAACTAAGCACGGCAGTTTGGGGAAGTACAGGACGTAGTTGTTCAACCATTGATTCTCTGTCCAATACTCACCGACGGATCCATCCACTCCGGCGAAGCCAGGCCTTCCAGGTCGTCCACGGATACCAAAGGGTCCTGGGTCACCACTGTCACCTTTGACCCCTTTCTGGGCGTCTGGTTGATCACCAGGCTGACCTTTGGGGCCATTGAATCCAGGCAGACCTGAAAATGGCAGGTCACAATAAATGAACAAGTGATTGCTGTTACATATATACATAGCATACCCTCCCCCATCATTTCATACTTGGGCCCACCCATTATATAATGCTAGCCACGCCCACCTGGCCTGCCACGCCTTCCTAGGTAGCCTGGACAGCATATCCCCCCACTTCATTATATCTCATACTTGGACCCACCCCTTAAGATATCTCTAGCCACACCCACCTGGTCTGCCACACCCAACTGGCCTGCTACACCTTCCTTAGTGGCCAGGGGCAGATTTAACGAAACGCTAAGACACGTGTCTAAGGAAGTGTAACTCGTCTTATCTCGCGACTCGTCCTAGGATCCATTTCATCAAAATTAAGAGATGCATTTAACATGTCCTCACTTCCTTAGCAACGTAGCTGAACTCCTCTTGACTTAAGATCGGTGTCAGGGTCGTCTTATCTGATGAATAGTGTACTTTGTATAACATCTGGACATCAATAATGTCCTCTCATTAAAGACATGAGTGTCAGACTCATCGTAAGTCTTAAGACATTCATAAGACGTGCAAAATTGGCCCCTGGACAGCATACCCTCCTTTATCATTATATCTCATACTTGGGCCCACACCTACCTGGCCTGCCCTGCCTTCCTGGGTAGCCTGGGTAGCCCTTCAAACCAAAGGGACCAAGCTCTCCAACTGGACCTGGGAATCCAATATCTCCAACTCTGCCCTTGAGTCCTGGAAAATGAAGACAGTAAGAAGAAGTAAGTTTGAGACTGAGACTTTAACGCCTGACTGAACTCCAGTGACAATTCGACCCGAGAGCTCTCTGTTTCAAACAGGTGTCTGTCAACCAAAGCTTGGCAATACAATTTCTGAATTCACCATCAACTGATACAAAGAGAGCTCCCGTTTGGGAGCTTCCAAGCCAAGCAACCCTAGTTTGCTCACCTGGAACACCCGTTGGTCCTTGGATTCCTTTGGCTCCAGGCGGGCCGAGTACGGGCGGACTGCCCAGGCCGGTTAGTCCAGGCTCTCCCTTGGGTCCCTTGAGACCGCTGAACCCTGGGAAACCTGGCTGGCCCGGTTGACCGACGAAGCCTGCACACCACAAGACAAGGGACAAAAATGGTGATGGATTCCATACAAGAGTTAGCTTGGCACTACACCGGGCCCAATTACGGTAAGCAGAAAAATTGGGCTAACCATAAGTACTATTTCATGGCGCGGATGTGCTAAAAAATGTTCATGCATGGAGATTTCTATTGTTACATCACTAATTAACGCAACTTTTTCCTCTTGAGGTAAGCGTGCCTTTTCTGTGCTTCTACTGCTTATGCGCCAGCCATATTGACCTATCGCCGTTTGCGAGTTAGCCATGCCCCTTAGACAAGTCTATGGTGTTTTTGTACGCAAAATTTTGTTTGTCTGAGATTTTGCGCATTCTGCGTCCGTTTGTCATATAATTGGACAATATTTCACAAGCTGCGTTGACGCGATTCTACCGCGATAGGTCAATTGGAGGTGTGTTTTATTAATTTATTAACAATGAATGCACAGGTCTACTCGTGTGTATCCCTGTTGAACAAAACCACGCACCTCACACATGGCTGCCGTGCAAGCCGTGCAAACCATCTATTGAGCTGGAGTTTCCCCAGGTTTGGGGTAACTTTCTAATGAATATTCATCACTGACCTTTGGGACCGTCTGGGCCTCGGGGACCATCTTCTCCAGGTTCTCCTGCTGGGGCGATGAAGACGGGAAAGCCTGGAACGCCGGGCAAGCCGGGGAAACCTTTGTTGCCACGTGGACCTTGGGAAAGAAAGGGGAAAAAACGGTGGAGAGTCTTTCAAAGTTCTTCACAAATGATTTGTGGTACAGGGCCATCCATCTACTCTAGCAACCTTGCTGGTTACTTACGTCAGGCTTTCAATTTTTCCTACTTTGGACGTGGGCCAGTATCAACGAAAACTACTCCTGAAAGTATTATAAGATGCGGTACCTGCTGCTATGTACATCAGATTCGAACCGGCCAACCGATCCCGTTAGCTCGGTGGTCGAGTGGTAGGACATCTGCACTAGAAAGCAGGAGGTCGTGGTTTCGAGTCCCACCCGAGTGATTTTTTTCCACCTTTCACTCGGGAGGTAACACACTGAGTATACAGTGTTTAAAAACGTCGGTGAAGGGCAAAACCTAATTTGATTTACTCCTGAAAGCCCGCAAAAAAATCCTGTTTTTATCCTGATTTTGTCCTCCAAAGTACTGCATATGTCCTGCTGGGTTTTTTTTTTTTCGTAGTGTTTAATAATCTTCCCTTTAATAGGATCCACAATTGTGACCCTATTGTCGCGAGAGCTTATTACCTCTTTCTCCTGGGCGCCCGTCAGTACCCGCCGATCCCGGAAACCCAGAGAATCCTGAGAAACCAATCACTCCTTTGGGGCCTTGCGGACCCGGTAATCCCTGCCGTCCTTTGATGCCAGGATTTCCTGTTCATGAAAAAAAAAAAAAAACCAACAAATTTTACACGTGCAGTGAAAACAGTCGAGCAACATGAAAGTAACAGTTTTTTTTACAAAACCTAATTGTTGCTGCTTGTTGCATTACAGGGCTCTGAGCACTTTAAGAAAACAAAATTCGCCGAGTTTTCCCATGGTATTTCCCTGAAAAATTTGCTAAATTCCATGAGATTTATTTTCATTTGGACAAGGTTCAAGAGGTGGTTGCAGCAATGCAACGAAGATCAGTGCAACGTGTTGACAAGCGAGGGCCTCCCTTCTCTCCTTATAGCTGCATCCTTGCCTCGCCGTATGCAACAGAGAACCACATGTGCCTAGCTGACGCAAACCAAATCGCTGAGAATTCCCCGATTCTGTGGTGTTTTAATTCTCCAATTTTCCCTGATTTCCAGAGCACCATCCTACTTCTGTTGTATAATACTCCAAAATAATATTACAACTACGATGCATGTTAGAGTGTGGAAGCACGAAACTTATCAGGTTGGCACAGTGGTAATACTCTCCTCGCCTTCCACCACTATGGCCCGGGTTCGATTCCTGTCCTGGTCCATATGTCGATTGGGATTTCAGTCCCTACCTGATTCTGTGAGTTCTCCCCAGATTGTCCTTCTAGGGTTTTCCTCCCTCCTCTAAACTTGTAATATTCATTGTCTTCTCTACAGATTTTTTCAGGCTTGCGAGCTTACAGTGCCTCAGGCGCTTTTGAGGATTCCTTGGTTGCAATACCAGAAGTATAATAATAATAATTGTTCTTACCGTCCTCGCCGGGCATTCCTGGAAGACCTTCGACACCAAACAACCCTGGCAGACCAGGATCACCCCTCATACCTAATTCAAGTGAAGAAAATAATGAAACAATGTTTACTTCCATGGAGAAAACAACACACAACCAGCTCACAAGCTTACTCTAAGGAAGGTCCAACTATAAGTTCCATACATCATTTTGCCTCACATATACTTCTAGTAACATCACACGTTTCAAAATACCGAGTACCCCTTTGCACTCAGAAGACTCTAGTATTATTAAAATTGATGTTAACATAGGTATCCCATACATCAAATACAAAATGTTTCAAAAACAAGAGTGCACAAAACATTATGACGTTGATTCAGAATGGATTTTTCTTTTCCTGCATCTAGTCAACGATGGGCGGGATTGAACTCAATCGTGGGCGTTAGAGGGTAATCCTATATGACAGCACTGCCCGGCTCAGGGGAGACAGTCAGTCAGTTCGAGTCAGTCAGTCGGGGAGTCAGTGAATCAGTGAGAGGTACAACAAGGCCACTATAGGCCTGCCCTCTGGAGCACAAAAGTCTTCCTACAAAAAAAATGTCAAGTACAGAAAATCCTAGCGTGCAATTAGGTTGGACGAAAACTTTTGGGGTTTTCCCCTTGTAATGGGACCATGCATATTCATATAACCTTTGACCTATACCTCCCAAGGTTACTTGATTACTGTACAAGGAGCGTGGAACATGACCTACAGAACTTCACCTAATACATTGCCTGGTCTTGTCATTATTCTCTCTGTATTATCATATCACATGGTGGCAGCGGTGGGATCACATGGTGGCAGCTGTGGGATCACAGTACACCCCTACTTTGTAAAAATTGTACAGCTCCTTGAGTTTTTAGATTTTCTTTGTGAGCCTTTTTTCTCTGACTCTCCTCCTCAATCCCGATGAACATACCAGCGATTCCATCGAAGCCATCGTACCCATCGTAGCCTTGGTTGCCCGGTTCCCCGCTTGGTCCTCGGTCGCCTACTGTTCCTCTTAGTCCATTGAGTCCGCGACTTCCTAAAAAAAAAACAAAGAACAAAGAAGACAACAGTGAGCAGTCATTTTTTATCCATCCGCACCCGTACTGTTTTAAACACTGTTTTATTCACCGAGGAATCTATGGATCACTGAAAGCTTGGGCGGGTTTGGGCGGTACGGGGAGTAACATGCAGGCCACTACAGGGGTTAATGGGTTACTTGGACAATACCAATGTGGGCACGTGTGGTCTAGCAGTAGAGCACAGGATTCATGATCGTGAGGTTGTGGGTTCGAGCCCCGCTGTGGCTATATATGCATGTTGTGCCCTTGAGTAAGGCCCTTTACCTCAATTACTCCTCTCAACCCAGGTGTTAAATGAGTACCGGCATTATTCAATGCTGGGAAGGTAACAGACTCGCTGTGGAGGAGGTGTGGCGATCCCCCCATAGTTGCAGTTACTATTATTCTTCAGTTCAGTGCGTGATATCACGTACAGCTGCAAATCAGCTGAATGAAAATGTGTTCCGGATGCTGCTTTCGGGCGCAATTCAAAATATGACTCAAAATACAACTTCTGAATTGAAATCAAGACCCTTAAATATTGTTTTCTCGGAATATACAGCATTCACTGAGCTATTTTTCTTCAGCTTAGTAGTTGTTAAGCACCCGTCTTTAGATTTTAAGTGCTTTTGTTGCTTTAAACAAAAAATGCACAAATGACAAATGATGTGCCTACCTTTAAAGACACGATGAAGTTTCAATAATAATAAATACTGAGGTACAGAAAAAAGTTCAAAAGGGAAATAATATTATGCCGAAGTTTACCTTGGTCTCCCTTTTCTCCCTTGGCCCCCTTCTCACCGGTGCCCGGTTCCTTAATATCATTGGGATTGAACGACGATCCCTTGATGCCCTTTGACCCCCGGGAGCCCGGATCACCAGGGGGACCCACTTCGCCAAACAAACCGGGAGTACCTGGGACCCCGGAATCTCCTGTGGAAATAAGAACGAATCAAAAGATTAGATGAAATAAGTTGCAAATCCCACTGTCCCATTCATGTACAAATAAAAAAAAAACATAAACTTTCAGAAGAATCTAAGGCCGAGAAAAAATTGTGGTTTTTGGTAACATTCTAAATATTATCCGGGTAGGAAGGTAAGTTTTTTGGTCAATTTTGTTACGTTTTTCTGTCGGCCTTTTATACTTACTTTGTTTACTTTAGGATACCTTTATTAAATCTTATTTTATTGTTTAATTGACCAATAACACACACCAAGAACTTGGATAGGGAAGACTTTTTATTTTATTTCAAATATTGGCCGAATGTGGCAATGAGTAGTTTGAGGTCAGCAGTTTGTCCGAAACAAATCCAGGTAGATCGGGCTACCACAATTTTTAAATAAACAATAAACACACAATTTTTTTTTATGCCATATCAACTTTTATTTAGTTTTACTTATTTATTTTTTATTAAAAAAAAAAAAATCGCCATAAAGTCATGGTGTCATATGAAATTTGGACTCCTATGAAATCTGGTCTTTCTTACCTTGTATGGATCCTAAATGTCCAAATTATCCTAATTATCTTCACTTAGGAATAAACAATACAACCGAGGAGTCTGTATTTCATAGAGTCCAAATTGCGCACTACACCAAAACTTATCAGGGCATTAATTACAATTTTAGCTCACTATGTCAAACTACTTAAATCCACCTTACAACACCAAAACAGACCTCATATCTGGAATAAACATATCGATCGTGAAATGATCGGCGGCAAAGAGTGTACTGCAATACAAGGACTAATCATGGAGTTGTTTTATTGTTAGAGCGCCCTCGTGTTGTCATGCATAAGAGCACGTACCTTTCTGTCCAGCGGGCCCTTGCGGACCGCGTGGGCCAGGCCGTCCAATCAAGCCTAGGTCACCCTGAGGTAGAAAAAAAGAAAAAAATGTCAAAAAAAAAATGTGTAGGATGAGAAATTTTAAGAGATAAAATATGCAAGATTTTGAAGTCTGTCCTTGAATCAAGGACTGGTGTTTAGTGATAAAATCATTTGAAGTCATTTCTAATGCTACTAGAAAGGCAAATTTCAAAGTTTTGGGGTAACAGGGCAGGGAAAAAATGTCACACTTTGACCCTAAATTTTATAGAACGATCTTCATATGTGATGCGATCAAACTAAATGAGTCGTTTGTTCGGGCATTTTTATTTGGAGATACAGGCCAAAATAGGGCCACTTCATCACATCTCTTGGTGTTCAAACTTCCATAATATTTTAACTAAAGATGGTATCAGCATGCGGTTTTCACAGCAGTAATGCTGAGATTGTGCTCTTTTCAAATCTGTAATAAAAATTGTTATTGACCAGGGTCGACAAACGACTCATGTAGCTTGATCGCATCACATATTAAGAAAGCTCTCGGTGAATTGTCTACTAACCTCAAATCCAGTGACACCACGGAATCCTCTCAGACCACGGTAACCTTTCTCACCCGTCAGACCATCGAGACCGAGATTACCCGGCCGACCCTGCTCGCCCACTCCGCCCTTGTCACCGACCATGCCCGTGATTCCTGAGAAACCTCGGTTCCCAATGGGGCCCGGAAAGCCTGGCGATCCTGTGCAAGTCATAGGAAGCAAAATCCACTCATTTTTACCCCCCAAAAAAGTCAACAACAAAAACAATTCAAAAGTTTTTTTAATCGTTATAAAGATACAACCTTGGAAAATTCTTAACATTGTGATAATTGTGATATTTTTTTCAATGCTGCACTGCAAAACAGTACCCAGTTACTGTGTCATATACATGCATACAAGTGTGTATTTGCCTGCGATCGGGGACCACCTGTTGTCCCTCTTTTGTTTGTACTTAAAACTTTTTAGCAAGACCCCCATAAATTGGGGACCTTTGGGAATTGGGGACCCTATTGTCCTCTATTGTTCAACGTCCCCTATTGAATGCAGAAACAAACTCACACTGGTTGTTTATGGTGTAAATCGAGGATTTTCTATTGTTCCTCTTCCCTTTTGCTTTGTTTATACTCTTTTTTTGCAACAGCTCTCATTGGTTTTGTACACGTTTTCTAATCGAGGGCGTCTTCGCATTGGTTCCTGTCCTCAATTCATCGATGATGTTGCACGTGTGTGTCCTCGATTTAACCATAAACACGCACCACTGAATACTTGTGGCTAAGCACACACTTTGCACTACTTCCAATTCTAATGGTTCCAATGAGTTTCCATGCTACTGTGTGTGTAGTGGGCGTGGTTAAAGTTGAAATGACGTCACACTTAAGAACTGGATGACAAATTATAGCTGAAAATTACACCTCAATTTTTTTGTTTCTTATTAATTAATTTCAGTGCCATTTGTGGTTTTTTACTTTTTTTTTATTAAAACTTAAAATTTACAATGATTTCAAAACAAATTTCAAATACTGCTGTTTGTCTACAAAACATAATTTCTAAGGGAAACAGACTAAAAAATTGTAAAGAAAAAAATGTAACTTCAAACCAAGGATTTTTCATCAGCAACTTATAAATTTCTACCACATTAAATTCAGTTCTGTGTATTGATTATCTTATGGGTTGCCATAGTCGGAAATTCTCAATCGGGCAGGGATTCTGACCTGGTCGGCCGTCCTGGCCCAGCGGTCCTATCAGTCCGTCGGCACCGTCCTCTCCCGGCTCACCAATGTCCCCTGGCTCTCCAAAATCACCAAAGAGCCCAACTTGGCCAGTACGTCCTGGATCTCCAGTCTCGCCTAGGCAAAAACAAACCAATTACGAACGGGATTGGAAACTTGTTTGAACAGCATATAAGATAATGGGTTTACTTTAATACTGCCACAATCAGGGGGAGTGCGGCCTCATGACTCATGATCAGAGGGTCAGGGATTCAAATCCAGCTGCTGACCATGTTGTGTCCTTGGGCAAGCCACTTCACCTCTACTTGCCTCTCTCCACCCAGGAGTATAAATGGGTACCGGCATTAGCTGGGGAGTGACCTGCGATGAACTGGCATCCCATCCAGGGTGAAATGACAGACTTTACTTTACTAATAATGTCTTTCTCTCAAGTTCAAAAAGTCTGATTTCAGACAAAAGTCTGACAAATCTTTTGCCCAGTGATTTTACTTTCTTTTACTTTACTGCCATGATCAGTGTGTTCGTGATGTGCACATTGGAGCATTGACTCCACATCGCTGGTTAAAAATCTATCTAATTGGGGCTCAGAACAATCAGAAGTCAGGGTTATTGTCTAGGTCTTGCCCATTTCAACTACATTGGAACAAGCTGACAATAGCCCAAGCAGTAAATCTGGAAGCCTGCTTCGGACATGACCTAACCAGTGCCCTTGGATAGGCCGGTGGCTACAAAACACTCAATAAACCGCAAAGCCTCAGTTGTTAACACATAGCAAATAGCTTACCTATTAACCCAGGCAGCCCGTCTTTGCCGGGCAGACCCTGGGGTCCGGGCTCACCGGGTCGGCCGGAGAAACCGGGGAATCCCGCGTTGCCTTTCTGGCCTGGGTTTCCAGGGAGACCGTCCAAACCCGGATCTCCAAACTCACCTGAAAATAAAGTGAGCAAAAAGAAAGAAAAACATTTACTCATTTCTCAGTGAGTCGATATTGTTTCAATTCCGTTTTAAACTGAGGCAATTGATTACATTCTTAAAAGTTTAGAGGTAATGAAGAAAGATGCAAGATTTATTCAAAGACTTTGAAAACTGGGGGAACCTCTAACACAGGCTGGATAGCTCAGCTGGAAGAGCACCGGAACGGTGTTCCCGAAGGTTCACACCCGCTTCAGTAAATTTCTGTGTTCAGTTTGTTGTTTCATTGTAAGATCGTTTCTTCAGAGTCCCAACAACTCACACCCCGCCCCAGTTCATTTCTTTGTTCAGTTTGTGTAGTTTCATTGTAAGATCGTTTCTCCCGAGTCCCAACAACTCACCACGAGCGCCGAACAGACCGGGCCTGCCAGCACGGCCGGGGAAGCCCTTCTCACCGCGCTCACCCTGCTGACCTCGCTCGCCAGGGAACCCGTCTTCGCCGTTGTCACCGGTGCTTCCGATGCCACCAAAGACTCCCCTGTCACCCGGGGGACCCTCCGCGCCTGTAGGACCTAGCAAAGAGAGAAAGATAGGTGGTTGGGTCAAGATAAGAAGAGTGGAGTGTCGCGGCTGAGCGGTTAAGAGCACCGAACGCGAGCTCTGCTGGTGTTTCTGATCAACAGAGTCAGGGTTCCAATCCCGGTCTCGACACATGTGTCCTTAAGCAAGACACTTAACCATTCTTGCTTCATCCTTTGGGTGGGACGTAAAGCCGTAGGTCCTGTGTGTAATGCACGTAAAAGAACCCAGTAGCACTTGTCGCTAAGAGAAGGGGTTTGCCCCGGTGTTTCTGGCAGTGCTAACTTCAACCATATGAAGGCAGCATGCACTTCTAAGGAATGGATGACGTACCCATAATTCTTAAAAGCGAGAAGCAAAGTCGTTGCTCCTGCATAAAACTGGTACGTTCTTGATTATTCATCAATATGTTCCTTGTTTTTGTATTTTCCAGCCGAAATTTCATTTTCAAGATTTTATTTATTTCTACATCGTTATACAGAAACATAACATCGTGTGATGAAAATGTAAGTTCCTCCTTCAATTTGTAATGCATCAGAATAAAATGTACTTTTTTCTCTGAAAACTATGAATCTGGTTTTCTTTAATCGTCTTCTCTAAAAAGAAATCATGATTCATGAAAAAAAATGACGGCGCCTCATTTTCGATTCTGGTAGACTTAAGAGAAAAGAATAGTTATTCTCTCATGTTATCTACTCTCCAGGATCCTTGGATCACTGACACATGTCAAGACAAAGGCGGAATTCTCCTACCTTGCGGTCCACGGGGTCCGTCTCTTCCGGGCGAGCCCTGCCTGCCAGGGAAGCCGATGCCGGTGGCTCCCTTTAAGCCTCGCTCGCCCTGAGGTCCAAAGGGACCTGGGTCCCCTCGCTCACCATTCATACCTTGGAATCCTGGAAAACCGGACTGGCCTGGAAAAAAGAAAAAGTGACAAAAATCACTGCTAATCCTATTTCATAAACATCTAGCATTTTTATTGAGCATTCATTACCTCAACACGCCAGCCAGCTTGGCCTGCAAAACAATTGCAGCTTGGCCTGCAAAATGATTGCAGCTTGGCCTGCAAAATAATTGCAGCTTGGCCTGCAAAAGAATTGCAGCTTGAACTGCAAAACAATTGCAGCTTGGCCTGCAAAATAATTGCAGCTTGGCCTGCAAAATAATTGCAGCTTGGCCTGCAAAAGAATTGCAGCTTGGCCTGCAAAATTATTGCAGCTTGGCCTGCAAAATAATTGCAGCTTGGCCTGCAAAATAATTGCAGCTTGGCCTGCAAAATGACTGCAGCTTGGCCTGCAAAACAACTGCAGCTTGGCCTGCAAAATAACTGCAGCTTGGCCTGCAAAATAATTGAAAAAAACAATGCCTGGAATGGTCTCGCTAAGAATGCTTAAACTGGAAATTTAAATGATTTGGGCAAGATCTTCAGTTAAGCACCAGGCTTTTGCAACTGGGAACAGCGTGTTTCTGAGTGGATAGTCCAATTATTTCAAGTTTTGAGACGCTCTTTCACGGATAGAAACCCTGTTCCAGTGAATTTCTTTTATCAAACTTAACATGAGTATAATGCACCTAGTCAGCGTCCCAGTGTGGTTTCTTAAAATGAAAATTGTAATGGAGAAAGCAGTAACCTCTCTGAGTGATCCCTGTTTGCAACATTGCTAATGTTGCTTGCAGTGTGACTTTGGGCGTGATCCCTGGCTGCATGGCATATGGCTTCTGACTAGTTTCTGGCTTCGGACTAGCGCACCTTGAACAAAGACATTGACTTAATGGGGAGCTGCCAACATAGGGCTGGATAGCTCAGTTGGTAGAGCACCAGAATGGTAATCCGGAGTTTGCAGGTTCAAACCCCGCTCCAGACAATTTCTTTGTTCAACCTATAAATATAATGCAGCTGTCAGTTCCCCTGTGTGGTTTCTTTGAAAATGATGGGATAAAAACTTGAATCACAAGTACAAAGGACAGACAGCGCTACAAACCTGGCAGGCCGTTGAATCCGTTCGTTCCCTTGATACCCTGGGGCCCTTCGTCGCCAGGGAAGCCCGTCGGTCCGACGGAGCCCGACTGTCCGTCTTCCCCGCGGTCCCCTCGCATGCCGTCCCGTCCGGGGAAGCCCGGATTACCAGGTTCGCCCTGCCTGCCCTGCCGTCCAATCTCGCCCTGGATCCCCACTAAACCCTTGTCGCCACGCGGTCCGGGGAAGCCTAAGGGTAAATGCAATCATAAGTAAACCATGACCCAATAACAGTAAGTCTACACCTCAAAAAAATGTCATGGATTACAGTCATCAAACTTCCGAGTATTTATTGGATGAGTACATTCACTTGTTAGTGTATTCAAGTTAAAAAAACTAGAATTACCTACCCTGCAACCCCCCCCCCCAAAAAAGCAGCTATTGGTATGCTGCAGAAGAGTAGCCAAGTCCATAACAAGTCAATCACGAGTCAAATCACAAGACAAACCACAGTTAAGGTCGCAAACAACTAGGACTTCAAAACGACTAAGAAATGTGGTTCAATTAAATATCCTATAATGTGAGAATAAACAAATTGTGATTTACCGGCAGACTTGACCGACACTCTTTTACACCTAACAGCCGCTTTTTTCATTAACCAACATTTCAACACTATGAGGGCTGTTAACGTAGCTAACGCTTGGACATGTGATATGTGATGTCGGGCACACACATAATCGTACCTAGTCAGGGAGTCAGGTTGGCGTAGCGGTACTTTCCTCGCCTTCCACCGCTGTGACACGGGTTCGATTCCCGCCTTGACCAATATGTGGATTGGGTTTTCAGTCCCTACTTGATTCCACGGGTTTTCCTCAGAAATGTGCTTCTTGGGTTTTCCTTCCAAATTCTTAAACTGGAATTTCTTCACATTGTCTTCTCTTAATACTCGGCCCTATGGGAGACCAGTGGATTCCATTGAATGGGCTACCCAGTTAGAATATGAATTAGAGGTAAGGTATATTATTTGCAGCTATCCACATGTGGATTGGGCTCTACGATAATATTACCCTTCAAACTATGCCCTACTTGAAATTCCTCTTCGAACCATGAATAATATTCCCCTTCAAACCATACCATATTTCAATAAATATGCCCCGGCAAATATGACTCACCTTTTGGTCCGGGAAATGACGGAACACCAGGGAAGCCGGAGCCACCCTTCGTTCCTCTGATGCCCATATCACCGAAGGGGCCTGGGAAACCAATCTGTCCCTGGAAACCGGCAGGGCCTCTCCCTCCCTTTGCACCCTGTGGTCCTGGTTCACCCCGAGGGCCTGGGATGGGTTCTTCGATATCTACTCTCTCCGCTGCATCGAACAAACAAACAAAACGGGGAAAAATTAATCTGTTAAAGATTGACTTACCCTACACCTTCAAATCAACTTTCAGATTAAGCAAGCAAGGGGGGGGGGGGGTAGTTCCTTGTCGACAAGAGTTGCCCATGGCAAGGAAAGGGTTAAATGGAACTTAATCTTAAACATGAGCCTGATATTGTCATTTACATTTTTCCTTGTAGATTATTTATTTGGGAAGAATGCAAAATGAAACAAGGGGTCAATTGAAGTCGAACAACCAGGCACCCCATAAAACGCTGTAGAACCTTTCAAAGCCTTGAGGAAGTGGGAGTTACTGCAGGATTAATCTGCATTCTCCCCGAAAGCCAATTTTTTTTAAGATCCAAAAGCTGAGCTTATACTTCAAAGTTGTTCAGCCTGTGAAATTAACTGGTGCCAAATGTTAACGGCTACCACATGAAGAATTGGGAGTTTCAAATCTTCAAAACTTGTCTCATTTTAAAATGTTCAAAGCCTGTTGTCTTGGTTTAAAGAGCTTACCGGGTTCTCCCTTTTGTCCCTTAGGACCCAGGAATCCAAAGCGACCGTCTTCACCCATGACACCTTTAGGACCCCTTGGCCCGTCAAGTCTCTCCCCGTCGACGCCGTCTTCACCGGCAGGTCCGGGGGCACCGTCGGTTCCGCGGCCTCCTTTACGGCCTTTCTCTCCCATTTCACCCTGAGGATGGGGAACGGGAAGGGATAATAACCAAAACAAAACAAATAAAACCAATAATTTAATGCATGGAAACTCTGTCGCTGTTCATGGTGTGTATAAGACAGTTTGGTTTCTTGATGAAGTAGTCCAGGTCAGAGGTCATTTGGGGTAAACACGCTGTCTCGACCGAAGCATCTTTTAACCGCAAAATGTCCAAAAAATTAGAAATTTCCAAAATTTCGTGAGAAATATTTTCACTTTACCAAGGTTGCTGGGAAGTCAAGAGGTGGTTGCAGCAAAGCAACTCAGATACTGATAATATTCACACCGCATAACACTAAAAAGCAGATTTATGAGTGACCACTGATAAAAATAGCTGAAAACAGCTGAAAAAGGTGTAAAAAAGCTGAACTTTGGAAATCTCCTATACTTTTGTACACAGCAAGTGAGGGAAAAAGCTGAAAAAACAGCTGAAATCCAAAACAAAAAAAACCTGAAATCAGCTTTAAAGCTGAGATTTCACACCCCTGAAAAAGCCACCATAGCCAGTCAGTCAATGGACGCAACTTGGGCGCATGGCACAAGACGGACAAGCGCCAAACTGGCAGGAACATTTCCCTTCTCGGTCACTGTTAAATTCCCTTGAAATTTTCCCCAATTTTTGGGATGCTTCCCCAGAATTCCCTGAGTTTTTCCCCGAGTGGAAAAAATGGAAACTCATTTTTCAAGATTTTCCTTTATTTCGACTGGCTGAGAACCCCGATAGAACTGCACACCTCAGATGAAGTGTTTCCAAGAACTGTTTGGTCATTTTCCCACCAGTTTTTGACTTTGGTAGGGAAATCCTGTCTCTTTTGCCCACCAAATGTACCTTCTGTGTCATGTTCCGGAACTGGTTCAGATCAAATGGGCTCTGTATTCCTTGAGTTCCGGGCTCTCCGATCTGTCCTTTCAGTCCCTGCTCACCCCTCTCGCCTTTATAACCTTCAAAACCAAACATTCAAAACCACATGAACTGATAAGGAAAAGGAAACGAAGATCTCGTAATAAATTCACGTCAAAAAGATACAAAATATAATAGAACTTTTTTAATCATAAAAATCATGATTAAATTAGCAAAGACGTTTCTTTAGAGATAGCCAACATTCATAAGGGGAGAATGCAATAATTAGACAGGTGGTAACGCGAGGTTTACCTCAAGGTTTTACAAGGTCAGGGTTTTGTGGGTTACCTCGAGGTTGTACAAGGTTTAACAGGGTTTTGTGGGTTACCTCGAGGTTTTACAAGGTTTAACAGGGTTTTGTGGGTTACCTCAAGGTTTTACAAGGTTTAACAGGGTTTTGTGGGTTACCTCGAGGTTTTACAAGGTTTAACAGGGTTTTGTGGGTTACCTCAAGGTTTTACAAGGTTTAACAGGGTTTTGTGGGTTACCTCGAGGTTTTACAAGGTTTAACAGGGTTTTGTGGGTTACCTCGAGGTTTTACAAGGTTTAACAGGGTTTTGTGGGTTGCCTCGAGGTTTTACAAGGTTTAACAGGGTTTTGTGGGTTGCCTCGAGGTTTTACAATGTTTAACAGGGTTTTGTGGGTTACCTCGAGGTTTTACAAGGTTTAACAGGGTTTTGTGGGTTGCCTCGGGATAAAACCTCGAGTTACCCCTCATTTTGCATTCTTCCCTGAGGAGGTTTTCTCCCTACAAAATAGCTCATTCGTGGTTGGATTCCAACCAGGAATAAACCATTTTTTCTTAACCGTTTGAAACACTACTTTTGAAACTTATCATTCTGCTTGAAGTAATTTTCTTTTTCTTAGCTTCCTTTTTCTATCCTTTCTTTAAAGGTAGCGCTCACCGTGAGTGGCCCTTATGTAGAGCCCTGTGATGGGGATCTCTCATAAAAAAAAAAAAACTACAGTGAATAACTTTTTTCCTATTGCCAACCATTAATTCACTGATTGTTATCCTACCTCTGACGGGTATAGAACGGCCTGGTGTGCCTCTGTCGCCCGTGTCTCCCTTTAATCCTCTTGGTCCCCTCAATCCCTGAAAGGAAAAAAAAAAATGAAAATTTCAACAATTGAGTTACTGCTTCAAGGGCAGTTAATGCTACTCGGGAATGTGAATTAAATGTCATCAAACTTGCCATGACGTCAAGAAATCCGCGTTCGACTACGCAATCACGCCGAGCGTGCACAGGCCCTAAGATTGTGGTATAAACTGAAATGCTAAGCATATTGTTTACACGTATAACATTCTCCCGTTTCATTTAGACAGTGTGTTCACAACAGCAACGAGCAATCTTCGCTCAAATTACGGATGGTTGGCCTATTCTAGTCGACTAACTGGAACGGAGCACGGGCAGGTTGCATCACTGGTTGCCAGTAGCTGCACACATCATCAAGCACAACGGGGAGCTAGGACTTTTAACCGTCGTTTGACTAGAGGCAGTCGCGTGATGCTATTAGTGCGCAGGCGTAAGTTACGTCACAAATCAATCACTAGTGGACTAATGGTCCTCGCCCGAACCGGCTTAACATTTGGCAACTTTCACAGATATACGAAGTCCATTTGCAGGGATGTAATCGAAATTCTCTTCAAATTCTCACTGATTCATTATAAGTCCGCCACAAGTCATCAAGTCTCGATTGACTTGTCACTGACGGCAACTCTCAACAAAATCAGCTTGCCACTAAGCAAGCGATCAATAAGCGTGGTTGAAATCTGCTTACCACTGATGGCAATGATATGCAAGCATTCCATAAACAAGGCTGAATCTGCTTAGCATTAATGGCGTAGTTATGCACAGAGTCTACAAGCAATAATGAAATCAGCTTACCGGGAATCCTGGTTGTCCCTGCCTTCCTAAGTAGCCTGGTTCACCATTGGCACCTTTTTCTCCGGTAGGGCCTCGTTCACCATCTGGCCCAAACCGTCCGTCCGTACCGGGGAATCCAATGTCACCGGGTTGCCCCTTGAGACCCTGGGGGCACCGTGGGCAGGGCCCCGCCGGGCGACCTGGGAAGGGGGAGGGGGTGTCAAAGGGAAATAGTCAAGACAATCAAGGCGATTTCACACTCGGTCCAAAACAAACTTTGTGATGTCAAAGCTTATATCCTAATCGCCCAAGTTGAAGGCATTGCAAAAAGTGAGTTTCTTCCTAAACGTTTCATGATATTTCATGACATCTTTGTCGAAACAAGTTTTGTTGCCTGCACCTACTTTTATTTATCCTATTATATCAAAAGAAAAAAAACTAAGCCACAAAACATAAATAAATGACTGGACTCGGCCTTGTAAAGAACAAGAAGGACATGCTGATTGGTGGGAGATGGTCACATGACCCTCTGATTGTGTCGTCCTCAGTTACATGCACAACCTGCGTGAACAAGTGGCTTATTTCTGAAACTGTTTCAATTTTTTTCCCCAAATCAATAAAATCACGTTGAGATTTTGAAGGAAATGTGTAAGACGATTATAGCCACCAACTGTTGCAAAATAACATTCTCCACGGGCAGGGTTGTCGCTGAGAAGTGGACCTGCACCTGCTACCAATTAGGACCAAGTCTTACCTGGGAATCCTTTGCCTCCAGATGGACCCTGAGGGCCACTAGCACCCACTACGCCCTTAGGGCCTCTGGGTCCCGTTTCACCGATTGGACCCACGATCTCCTCTCCAAGAGGCGTGAGCCCCGGCGGACCTTTAAGGCAATCATAAACAAAGTTCAGCATTTCCATTAGGAGCACTATGTGTTTATTATGTTCCTGTGATCATCAATACCTTTTTCTCACAATAAACAATATTCCAAGTTCCTTTCTTCGAATTTTAACAATTACTCCTTATACCACTGAAATAGTCTTAAAGGCCCAAAGGATCAGTTAGATCTGTCCAAAGAGGAACGCTATATAGTAAAAACTCATTTGGCTTAAAGATTGTACTGGTATTAAACACCCCGTGAAATTATTCCGTCTGGCTTGCTGTCATTTAGAAGAAATCAAGAAATGTAGGTGATTTGCAACAATCAGTCAATTGACCGATCGTTAGAAAGAGAGAGTTTCATTGACAAAATCATGTTTAGTGTTTGAACGGTCACGCATGGTTCTCCACTGTTTTCTCAAAAAGCGTAATATCCATAGAGGTGAAACTTCAACGGGCTAGGTTTCAAACGTTCATCATTGAATTTTGAGAGGTGCTTTTAATGGAAATGAACCAAATGTATAAACAAACAAAAAAGACTGTATGTGCCTTTTAGGGTGTCCCAAAATGTCCAGATTTGCAACTTTGGCTTGAACCGTGTCGCAAGCTCTTACCCGGTCGGCCTTGAGCTCCGACGACGCCCTTACGCCCTCGTTCTCCTACTCGACCAAACGCTCCGTCCATGCCGACCGGGCCCGCCCTGGGGAATCCCGGAGCACCCTTGTCTCCCGGTTGACCCTTTTGTCCTTGCTCTCCGGGGCTGCCTTGGAAGCCTTGTTTCCCTGGGATTCCTGTAGGATGGTCGAGATTGAAAGGAAAGTAAGATCAGTCTTGGAAAAGAAAGGGGCAGAGAGGGGAAGGTTAATTCTGAAGGACAGACACCACACATCAGGTTTCCAAGAGTGAGGATCCCCCTGCGAGGTCAGTACAAATGCCCGTACCTCCCCGTTTAGTCTGGTGTACGAAAGACTTGAGGAATAATCTTGAAGATAATAATACCGGAAAAGTTATGGAGAAATTGTTCCCAAACAGACTTATTTAACATCAGACAACAATGGACAGATTTGCAGCTGGGAATTTAGGGGGAAAATGATGAAGCTCCAAACCGCACAAGATTTAGTAAAGTATTTTTCGATTTGTAATGGCATTCATGAGAAGTTAAAAAATATGAGAAAATCAGCGGATCCGAGGAAAAGTTGCATGCCTGATTTGAGATGTCTCTTTTGTAATCCCTTCTGCTCAGTCAAGTGGTGGCAGAAGTGGCTATTACAAAGTTCCCTCTACGATCCCCTGGAGTAATGTCCGTCGGGACCCGGAGGTCCTGAATTGAGATTTATGTTTTGTAATCCCTTCTAATCAGTCAAGTAGTGGCAGAAGTGGCTACCTCAAAGTTTCCTCTACGATCCCCAGGGGTGATGAACATTTTCATAGAACAAAAAGAACTTTTCCTGTTGTGCTATACCTCCCACGCCTCGATCTCCCTGCTGGCCATCGCGGCTGAGTCCCGGCCGTCCTACCGGTCCTGGGCCACCTATCTCACCAAGTCTTCCGGGCAAGCCTTCCTCTCCCGGATCACCCACGGCGCCGCGGGCTCCGGGATGACCCTGTAGGCCTGGGTCTCCGTCGGGACCTGGGGGTCCTACTGGTCCGTCACCGATTTCCTGGTTGGCAAGTTTAAACAAAACAAATTAACCCCCCAAATTGTTATGAATGGGTGAAGTGATTCATAGATGCATGGATTAGTGTGACGCGCAAATGCCTCAAAACCACAAATCTGTTAAAAACAAAGAAAAAGTTTAAACATTTTTGTCCACGGATCACATTTACAGCAAGTGATATTTCAGTAAAATGAAACCATGGCGTATCATTTACTTCAAATATTCAAAATTGGATGAATACGGACCCCTGGAATTCCTGCATCTCCCTTGAATCCGATTGGTCCATCGTCTCCAACGTCTCCACGGAATCCCTAAAGGGGGCGGGGCAAGATTAGAATGGGAGGGAAGTGAACACAAACAAAACGATATCTTAGATGTTATTAACCACTTAATGTATTAAAATCACTTTGCGCTTTACCCTAATTTGATTTTGGGGGGGGGGGGATTTTTTTTTACATTGATATTTTTCTCACAGAACAAAAGTTATTTATTACAAACAAGACATCGAACAAATAAAAATCCACTCACGCAAAATGTGGAAAACAATATTTTTTTAATTTTTAATTATCCGAAGCCCGACAGAGCTCAGGCGCATCTATTGGTACGTTAGGCACAAATGCACCTCAAAATTAGAACTTTTTTAAGAGGTTTATTTTTTTTTCAGAGAGGAGCATTTGTTGAAGTGCAACTTAACGCCGAGCTCCATAAAAAAAATAGCATATCATAAATGTATAGTCTTGAAGTGAAAGTGCGCTCACCTGGTATCCCGGTACTCCGTCCTGACCCCTAGTGCCATCAAATCCTCGGTCGCCAATGAATCCTGGGGCCCCAGGCAGACCTGTATATCCAACAGGCCCCTAAGAATCAAGGTCAAAGGTCAAGAGGTCAGATGTAAAGGTCAGGTCAACGTTCTTTCCTTAAGAGATACCAACAGGTTTGTATCTGATATAGTCATAATATTTTGTCTTGTTTACAGCTGATGTTTCATCGTTTCTCTGAATCACAGACAAAAGATTCTAAAACAAAAGCAAAATGTAACTGGATCAGTAATTGTTCTCTGAGAAATCTTCAGGAAATTTTGATAAGACCAAACATACCATTGTTATTTCAAAATCAGAAAGAAAAAAATTCCCCACCACCAGAAAAAAAATATCCACATTTTCTTAATTTCCATTTTCAGATTCAAGTCACATTAACAAATTTTTTTAAACATGATTAACAAATGCAAAATAAGGTGAGATACAAATTATGATTGACTACAAATTATGAAAAAAACATTGAAACATAAATTTCTAAACATTAACATTTTGTCCCAGTAAACTCACCCTTGGCCCAGCTATGCCCAGGACTCCCTTTTCTCCTTTCATGCCAAGGAAACCTTTCCCGCCCTGAAAGAAAAAAGTATGCCAAATCACGTCAATAAAATGAGACCTCAGCGTTAAAATGTTAACATCATAAAATAAATTCTTTGGTACAGCAGGTCCCATGAGGTCTTGTTTATGTTTGGACTAGCTACCCTAGTTGTCAGAGAAGAGCAGTGTCTTACCTTGGGCCCAGGGTCTCCCTTTGGACCCTGCATGCCAAACATGCCAACATCACCCTACAGAGAAAAAAAAAAGGAACAAGGTTAAAACATCAACTAAACATTTGCTTCAAAAGTGCAAACAAGTGTCACGTCCGAAGTTGGAAGTTGAACCCAAGCTCGGCAGTGCAGGGATGTAGTACAGTCAAGTTCATCACAAGTCCTTCATAGGGTTCTCAAGTCCCAATTCGACTCGCAAGCTATTCAAGTGAGCTTTGACAAGGGTTATTGTTTATCCACTGTTACTTGTGAGTGGACTCCTGATGGGCCTGACTACATCACTGCGGCAGTGTATGGGCTCCGTGCGTCGGCGAAAGAGGCGCCCTTTTACCTAGCAACAACGTCCCATGGGCGGGACATTTCGCTGGTTGACGCGCACCGTTCCTTGTGTGTGACGCAGGTACACCAGGAGATTTGTACTATGTAGGCCTACACGCAGTGGCCGCGCTTCCCGGCAAATGAATTACAGTCAGGCAAGATGGCGTCGGTTGGTCACCCCCAACTGTTCCGTCTTTGCCGGTGAGGGGGTACTTGTGAACGGAGCGGATAACTGACTCTGTGCATAAGTACATAGAATCCATCCAGCACGATATCGCCAATGTCTAGGTTCATACCTTTGCTCCTGTTTCACCTCTGTCGCCTTTGGTTCCGGGGGAACCTTTGATGTTCGGTGGATTACTGAACGGAGAAGCTGATCTTCCCTTGGGGCCTTGTGCACCCTGAGATCAACCAAAAATGAAACCGTGCATTATTACATTTAGTTATTACTTGGAGTAGAAGGCATGGTAACTGAGTAGTTAATTAAAAAAAAAAAAAATCATAAATGTAATTAAATAAAGTCATTTCTATTCCCATATCAAAAAAATTAACTTATGTGAGACTCAACTTTTAACAATGCTTCTGTGAAGGGAATTACAAAAAAAATTAAGTTTTTGAAATAAATTTCTGCGTGGAGAATTATCTTGACTTTAAAAAAAAAAAGCAAAACATGTCATGTATTCGTGGTCTTGTTGATGTAGAAAAACAAAAGACAACCCAATCTTCTTTATAGAGATCCGTTGTGAACATTACCATTTTGTAATGAATACTGTAAAATAAATAATAAGGGAATAAAATATGTGCTTGGCCGGCTTTAAACAAGCACATTTAGATCCAGCAAAGGGCGTGGATGTGAACATTAGCCCGAGCTAAAGGCGAAGGGTCATTATCTGCGTCCAGGCTCCTAGCCGGTTATAACGTGCTTGTTTAATACCGGCCAATTTATTCCTATTCATAAATACCTTTTTTAGTCAAATTTGTTCAGTAATTTTATTTCATATAAAACACCCCTCTTGCCATGTGTATGGTACGTGCCCTGTGCGCGTAGTGCTAAATATCTCCTTACATGGAGACTGACACGCATGCAGCGCATACTGCGTGATGCGGCACATACTGCGTGATGTGGCGCAGAACGCAGCTGTGTTTTTATCAGTGGTTTAAAACCACCCACGTTAACAGGCTTTCGACCAATAAGAATGGGTGAACTGTCTTATGAATATTAAATATGGAGTAATAAAATAAAACTGGTCTGTCTTTCTCTTACTGACAAAACAGCAAGTATTAAATCATAGAGATAAACGATTGTATTTGAAACAACTTCGGATGGAGAATTTGTGTCAGATAGGGGGAGGAGTTCCATCAGTTAATTGTGGGGGGGTGGTGTTACTTACTGGTTCTCCTTTAGGACCCTTATAACCTGGTGAGTTTGCTCCAGGGGGACCTTGGTATCCATCAAAACCACGTGAACCCTGGGAAGGAAAACAAATAGCAAAAGTTAATTCCAAATTTAGTCCTAAGCTAAGCTTAAAAACGATCTAGAGTCATTTAAAATGAGCACAAGAACGTCATCTCCGTGAACATTATGCTGCCTGTATTGGGGTGTACATCGGAACTGGGTTACCCAAGTACCCGACCGTCGATGCCAGGAACGGGTTCCGGGTGCTGGGATCAGGTACCTGTAACCAGCTTTACAAGTTACTTTGTAACTTCTCAGATACTGAAAAAGAAAGACTTTGAATGTTACTCTGTGGGAATTTTTGAAATGAAAATCACGCTGCATGGAAAAACAAATTTTACTTCTTTGGTTCAGACCAAAGGACTTACCTGGAAACCCTTAAAACCACGATCACCCTGCTGGCCTGGGTATCCATTGCGGCCTTGTTGCCCCTTGAACACAAATTAAAAAATCAGTCCAAATCATCAATCAATCAATCAATCAATTAATAAATTAAACAGTTCTTCAACCAAATGACGCGTTACGCCATTGTTTGTCCTCCGATCACGATGCATAATTCCAACACTGTACAAATTTTCACAACAGGGCACTTCAAATCTACTGTAATTTGCACTATACCAGGGAAACTTATAAAAACTCTTTTCTCATTGATTTTAAAGAAGTTGGGAGTAAAAAACTCACAAACTTGCTAAAGTGAGATTGGAACCCCTGACCTCTGGCTTACTTGTGCAGACTTCTTAACAACTCGAACACCGAGCTTGGAATGGTCAGTTGGCCAATTCAAATCCAATAAAGCAGAACGTGTGGGCGAGTGTGGCCAAGTGGTTAGGGTTTGTGACTCATGATCAGAGGGTCAGGGGTTCGAATCCAGCTGCTGGCCAGATGTTGTGTCCTCGGGCAAGCCACTTCGGCCCACTTGCCTCTCTCCACCCAGGAGTATAAATGGGTACCGGCATTAGCTGGGGAGTACCCTGCTATGGACCAGGGGAACAGCAATATCAATCGTTTCATGACAAGGAGATGGAGATGAAGGCGATACTGGCTTTTGACACTATCGGTAGTGCCGCAATCATGATCAGAGGAACAGAGGGACAAACGATTGGATTTTTTTTTTTATCAGGCTATAAAATTTAAAATCAGGTGTTAACTCGCGTAACATTATGGCACTATTGAGTCTACATGTTCCAGTTGCTAAGGTTTGTGTTTAGTATCAAACCAAGATAATGAATGGGAGGTTTGCGGAAACACCATGCGAATGATATCACTTAGTGAGTTGTATGGTTCTGAGAAGAACCACTTGGTTTTAACTTACCGGGTTACCATCTGGCCCGTCAAACCCAGGGTCACCCCGCCTGCCTTGTATGGCCGGGGTGTAAGGGGCTGGCTCACCCTTGCTTCCTTTGGGACCGTTGAAACCCTGAGGATGGAGATGACAAAAAAAGACAAATCAACCAAGAACCAAATTTCAGTTTTTCAGTTACAATATTTTTGTTTACAACTGAGCTAAATATGAAAGTATTAAACAGATAGTCTTGATCAATCATCACTAACGCAACAAGAGAAAAAAACACAGACTAGTACAATTTTGTTCAGATTTTAGCTGAACGAAGAAAAGTAATGGAAGTGGGATCGAACTTGGGGCCTTCAGCATGCCGCACCAGTGCCCCGCCAACCAGCTTTTCCAACTTACCGGTGGACCTCTAGGTCCGTAGCCACCAATTCCTGGAATTCCATCTTCTCCCTGCGAAAAAAAATATAAATAAATAAATAAAAACAAAAGGAGAAAACTAACCTCTTCCCATTAAAAAAGGATTATCATGTAAACGTTAGCACAGAGTAGTGATCGTTAGCGCAGAATTCCGTGGTTAGCAGAGCCGTGAAATTGGGTCCGGACTTGAAGTTGAAACAATGTTGTCATGTGATCTGGACTTACCTTAGGGCCATTGCATCCTGCGACACCCGGGTTCCCGTACGGACCTTTGGGTCCAGGCAGACCTGTGTAGCCGTTTAAACCTGGAAACCCCGGTACGCCCGTCATTCCCTGCAGAGCATGTAAACAAATAAATAAATAAACAAATAAAAATAAACATGATCAACAAATAAAAAAATTGATCAACAAGTCAGTTTAGCTGAATGCTCGTGCTGCATATTACCCACCTGGTCACCCTTTTAAACTCTAGGTCTGAGAGCTTCATCAGGATCGCCTCTATCAGCTTTAGGCTCTTGTACATCTGTACCAGTTCACCCCATCACCCTTCTGACCTTGAGGTCCAACAACCTAGGATTCATCACGTTTATGCCCTTACATTCCCACTAAATCACCATCAGTGCATCAACTCACCCGGTCTCCCTTTTGACCTCTAGGCCCAGCAGCCCCACGATCACCTATCGGTCTCTCTCAAATGACGTCATTTCCTACAGACCAGCCACGTGCATCGGCATTTTGAGCGTCAACTTGCATGGGCTGCGTCATATTTCGAACACATTTCAAACTATAAGCGTGCCTGTTTGGAACATTTTCAACACTGGGCAATGCGTGCTTGATTGCGTAAAGAGATGGCCGTCTTTGACAGACCCAGATATCACCTTAAGGCCCTTGTGCATCCAATAAATCACCATCAGTGCATCAACTCACCCGGTCACCCTTCTGACCTCTAGGCCCGGCAGCCCCATGATCACCTATATCACCTTAAGGCCCTTGTACATCCAATAAATCACCATCAGTGCATCAACTCACCCGGTCACCCTTCTGACCTCTAGGCCCGGCAGCCCCATGATCACCTATATCACCTTAAGGCCCTTGTACATCCAATGAATCACCATCAGTGCATCAACTCACCCGGTCACCCTTTTGACCTCTAGGTCCTGCTGCCCCAGGGTCACCTATATCACCTTAAGGCCCTTGTACATCCAATAAATCACCATTAGTGCATCAACTCACCCGGTCACCCTTCTGACCTCTAGGTCCTGCTGCCCATGATCACCTACATCACCTTAAGGCCCTTGTACATCCAATAAATCACCATCAGTGCATCAACTCACCCGGTCACCTTTTGACCTCTAGGTCCTGCAGCCCCAGGATCACCTATATCACCTTAAAGCCCTTGTACATCCAATAAATCACCATCAGTGCATCAACTCACCCGGTCACCCTTCTGACCTCTAGGCCCTGCTGCCCCAGGATCACCTATATCACCTTTGGGCCCTTGAACACCCTGATAACCTAGGATCCCTCTAGCTCCCCTGTCTCCTTCCGGTCCTATTTGTCCGGGAGTTCCCTGAAACGACACACAAAAAATTCACACCAGTTAGCTTTTAATCTCGAAAGTGTTGCACTTTCCTGTCCGTTTTATCTTGTTACTTGCCATTAAGAGTGTCATTAAGAATGACTTCAAACAAGTTTCTATTGGTCGGGTAGGTACATGTGGTGTGCTGTTCATAACTACTCTTGGAGGATGACTAAAAGGCATCATAGATGTCAGATGCAACAGGTACAGGAAAAAAGTGGACGCCAAATTTATAGAACAACCCAGCTGTACTTTTAATGAACTCTTTCTGGAAATAAATGCCAAAGTAAATTTGCCATTTGTTTTTCAAACTGGAATATTATTATTACCCATTTTCCAATTTCCAAGGGGCCTTCTGCATTTTCAAGTCCAGAAGAATTATATGTTCAAGTAAGCAGGCCCGTCGCCAAAGGGGGGGGGGGGGACTGGTGGGACCGGGCCCCCTTGGTGAGCACTTAGCCCCCCCCCCCCCCTCCAAGGGCAAAAGCACATATGTAATTTGTATTTTTTATGGTAGTGGGCCCCCTCGTTGATACTATGCCCCCCCCCCCCCCATGCTCAGGGCTGGTGACGGGCCTGCAAGTAAAGCTCCTTTAAAAAAAAAAAAATCAGAATAGAATCAAGTTTTGGTTTGGAAACAGATAGACAGACTTTCATCAGTTTGGGAACAAACAATTTTGTATGGCTGGGGGTGTTTATAAATACACCTGACAAAAGCCACACAAGTATGTCACTGTCAACTCCACTGGCTCGTGAAATTGACTTGAAACGCCCCATTCAACAAGAACTAAATGGAATTTCCTGAGGTAAGGGGCTTCTTGTTATTTGTCTTAGGGACAAATATTTGGAAATGAGTGACCCTGATGTAGTAAATAGTTATGTCCCAAGAAGGTGACAAGCCATCTTGGCTATTTCTTCATTTTCTTGTGCTGCTTGTATTTGCAGGCCTCTGACCTACATGTACCCCAAAAACTTCTAAAGAATAACGTTTTTTGTCTGTTTCTTTCTACCCAACATCAGAACAACCAAAACATAATTATTCACAGGAATATAACTGGTAGCCAAATTTCACAAAAAAAATCACGATTTCAAAGCCAGAGATTCATCAATAAGTGAACGAAATAAAGAAATTTATTTACTATACTTAACTAATACATGTACATCTACTTTATTTACTGATAAAATAATATGAAGAAAATATAAACTCATATCATCCATTGTCGCAGAGTACTGGTACATCTGGAATCTTTGTCATATCAATTGTTCCAATTAGTTCCCCTTTTCAACTCTTGATCAATTTGTCAGTGATCAAAGTTTCCAAGTGGAGCAGGTCAAAAAGATGACAAAAACTGTAAATTACTCCAGTTACAGTGACAGATTGGAGAAAGTACTCGTGTTTTGAGTGATGATGTAAACTTTTTTTTGCAGACTGTGGCATTTTTTGTCTCGGTCCTACGGGTTTGTTTAAAGATCCTTCATGCATACATGTAACTAGGAAAAAAGCCTCATTGCAATTCTCTTAAAATGCAAATTTGTCAACAACTAAGCTGGTGATAGTTCCATGGAGCCGTGGTTTTACTTGTTACATTTGTTCACATTTGCCATTCCAATTAGGCAGCATAAGGGGTGGATAGCTGGCATTTGCAAGGGGGGGGGGGTGCTGACCGACCTCAGTGCAATAACATTTGACATGGGGGGGGGTGTCTGCTAGTATGCTTGTTTTCAATATGTAGGGCAGCTTCGGAGCTTCACCCTGTGATCTTATTGTATTTACAATCATCTGATGAGCGGCAATGGGATGCCATCTCATCAGGATGCCGTAGCCGCATTCCTTAAAGAAACTGTAGCCGCGTCCTGGGCCTGGGACGAAGATGCAGAGACTTGTCTAAGTGTCTCGCTTTACAGATTTCGCCTCAGGTTTGGTCAAGACCTTTCCATGTTTTGACGATACACTTGTAACATTTGGTATTGGGTATCAAATGCAAGTTGTTTTTGCTTTCTGACCACGCCTCTTTGCACTGTTGAACTCCTTGTGCTTTCTTCTATCACTTCCAGAACGTTGTGGCCGGTCAATAGTTAGAACATATTGACTGCATGACGACTAGGCACGTCTAGTATCTGCCCAGGCAGACAGAGTTACATCAGCTCTTGGTGTTTCTGGCATGCCCTCCCAGACTCTCAAGCTCAGTGACTCTTCAGGTATTTGGCAGGGGCGCTTACTGGGGAGACTACAGGAGGGCATTGGGAAGACACCGGGATGCCACTTTGTCTGCGGTGTAAGCGATTATCATTTTGTGCTGATTTGGCACTATGATTCCTGACGCTCTAGATTGTATAATGGTCCACAAGCATGCATGGGAATTGGCTGTCCTGAATGACAAGGATTACTATTGAGGGTATCTAAAGTTCAGAGCTGTAGTCAATCACTCTCAAGTCAAATCACGAGTGAAATCTCACTTGTGATGACTGTGATGGACTTGTGAGTGTTTTTGCTACTCTTATATTATTAAGTTTGTGGCTATTTGTTAAAAACAAAACCCTGAACATGTTATCATGGAGGTAGATATTATCAACCAATCACTCTTTTTATGTTTCTTTCCACCAATTACAATGTACACATTCAACTTCTGTGAGAAGTGTTGCAGTGTTATACTTAGACGTCATTGAAATGTATTCACATTTAAGTCAAACATGGTCAAACCAAACTCTCATACATGTAGATCCATGTAAGTACATGTATAAAGTAATATGCCAAAGGTTTCTGTACAAGATGTACATGTACATTGTTTTGACCTACATGTATTAAAATAGCATTTTTCAAAGTACCAACCAAAAAAAACATACAAGTTCAAATTGCTTTACTCCTTCATCAAACTGGTTCACTGCGAAGACGTATAAAATGGACTTAACACTATACCACTACCGGCTAAGACTGGTCTCATCATAAGGCATTCTTGATGACCACAAAAAAGAAGACTTACGACTAAGTTAGCTTTGTGCTGGATATGTTATCCTTAAGTTTTTAATTGATTTTTCATTATTTTTGGTTGGTTTTATCATGGAGTGGTGTTTTATGTCACAAATTGTCTAGGAAAAAATTATATTGCACATGTATACTTATAGTGCAGCATGCATTAGTTACAGATGTAATAAGACCTCAGAGTTTGACTTTAGGCAACAGCGATTCACTGTCTTGCAATCAGCCAGACAAGTTGCAAGTAATTTAAACTTAATTACTGCATACTTTAATTTAACAAACCAACACAAAGGAGTGATGAGGGTTGAGCATATTAGTACAAGTCACTAGGGGGTTCCCTCTGATTGGTGTTTTATAGATGACACCTGTTTGACCATACATCCATGATTTATACATGGTGGTCAATCCCACCATGGGACTTCCTCAACTCAGGGGGGAGTCCAAGCAGTTGTCAGGTCATCTGGTGAGGGCCATTCAGATTAGAGTGGAGCATAACTCCCCCCAGTACAATGGAACAGTCCTATGTTCAAATTGGATAATTAAGTAGTGGATGGTTGATATACAATAGCTTTAGTTGTGATAAGTTTATTTGTGAAAATATGGCCACACTCATTCTGGATGTCTAACAGTCTTTGACAATTTATTGGTTTACCAAGTTTTAAGTGAAAACATCTTGGCAGTACATGCAGTCACATGAATAACTCGTCTCGAAGATTCAAATCCTGTTTTTAGCACAGCCATCATTTCTGTGAGCCAACAATGCTCGCAATTTATATAGTGGCCTCCGCAACCCCAACATGAATTCAATCCATAGAATTCAATCATGTTGGAGTCATGTTTCAAATGACACCAAAATGATCCTCACAAATTCTTCTCTTGCAGGGTCTACAAGTTAAAAGTCACATATCTGTCACTCAAGAATGTGGTCACGCTCCTTTTACACTGCTATAACCCGATTGCCTCGTTACTCGGGGTGAGAATATGGTCGGGGCTGTGATCCCAGTTTAATATTTCACTATTGGAATTTATAATCTTCCAAGGGAAAAATATATCAAATAGTAACACTCAGGTTTGTAATCAGAGTGTTGTCAAAGAAAAGAAATGCAACGACAAGATGCCAATATTGGTTCCCTTTATTTGCTAGTTACACTGTATTTTTATATCCATTTGGGGTTAGGAATAACTTGTTTTCTTTGAGTTTGAGGGGAAGATGTAAACAAGCTTGGGAGGGGATAGTAGGGGATAGCATTGTTCTTGTTAGGATTAAGCAACGGTAACATAAAGAAGCTCAGGAATTTCTTCATCTTGCTTACACTAGTTACAACGTAGTCATTTCTTAAAGGGAAAGTAAGCACATTCTGCATGCTCTGCCCTACAGGCACCAAATATTTGTAACGTATATATCAGGGATCTGCAGGTGTATATTATTCTATCATTATTTTCCAGGTGTTTTCAAAATCCCTCCATGTGAAAATAAATAAAGCACCGAATACTCGGAGTACTAGGCCTGTCTAGTACCAACACTTAAAAGGATTTTTTTACACTGGAAAAAGGGGGACAGTAGAGGGGGTACAGTGAGAACCCACATTTACTTTTCCTTAGCCTTCACTACAAACATACATGCCCAGTTGTCCTTTGAGTCAAAAATCAATCAAGTGACTGTTTTTAACAGTTACAAATTTTCAGCCTACATAAAGCAGGATTGACTGCCTGGGACTGTTTAACTTAAAGCAACTTGATACAACTACCAGTATGCTTTAACTCCGGCTGAGTGATAAAACACCTGTGACCGCAACTTGCCTGCTTTGTCTGTTGACCCAGTTTGTTACTTTGTTTACTACGTTTTAAAAGTGACACTTAGATATCAAACATTTACGCACATTTATGTAACGTAAGGAAAGCTTTGTTCTGATCTAGGAGCCAAACTTGTACAGTAGTGATTCCCATGAACTTTCCATTTTCATTTGTCATAATTTCTTCAGTTCGGTGAATATTCCCCAAAATTACTGTACATTCCCATCATTTAAAAAACAAATAAATTTCAGACCCTCTCAAACCAATATTCTGTCTAGAACTCAACAAAAATCTACAGGGAGACTACAGCCACGATGATGATTGAGTTTTTAGTGAACTTTACATTATTTGTATGAGATGAGATTCTATTACCTTCCCTTAAAAAAAAACCTTTTCGACTTGATACTTAATAACAAAAAACAGGCTCAGACTGAAGAAAGATTGTTATTAACAGCCAGAGGCACAGCCAGACCAGATGGCCTGTCTCTGTGTGTGGCACACCTGATTTGCAGATAATAAATGACTGGCCATTTGACCTGAACTCATTCTTATCTTGGCATATCTGGAGGGAGGGTGGGCATTTCTCTAGGCTGAAGGGTCCTGCTGTAAGGACCAGCAGGTGATGACATCATGAACGAGAAATGTTAGGGAGAACAGGTGTAGGGGGAAAGTGGTCATTGATCAGTTACTAGTGGGTTTAGACATTCACATAAATCACATTTTTTTAACTAAACTTTCTCCTTGCTAAAACATTCATTTACTGTAGGAACCATACACAAAGGGGCCATTTTGTATCCAGCTGACTGGGGCCTACCCAATGTTCCCCAATATTCCCCAATACCTATGTTCCCCAATACCTATGTTCCCCAAGATCCTTAGGGTTACAATGTAGGGTTAGGGTTAGGGTTATACTAGAGATGGCTAGGGTTAGGGTTGGGGAACACAGGTATTGGGGAACATAGGTATTGGGGAACATAGGTTTGAACCCAACTGACTGACCGACTTTTCAGTCCACATTTATGAAAAGACTTCCAGGCATTCTGAATCAAGTGAGTAGAATTTTGTGCACACTGGGACTATCACGAAGGAAAGGGGGGAGGCCGGCTTGGGATTGGAAATTGGCAAAAATGTTCATTTTTAAGGAATGAAAGGTGGCTGTCCATGACCTTTCGCAATCCCTACATCGTCATATCAACAATCTGAAAAGCGCTTACACCTTGATCACTTATCCAGAGTAGCTGGCCACTTGTGGCATTCCTCTTCACCAACAACAGTAAAGTCAATGTCTAAAGCCTGTCTACAGCATGCAGGAAACCATTGGGGAATCCTGATTTCCAACAACCTTGCATGTTCAGCATGTAGGTCGAAAGGCAACCTTGGATAAATCTAACTAGTGGAGGTCAGACTGGGAAGGTCATTGCTACGTTCTTTGAAGTACATTACCAGAACCATCTCCTTGAATGTACATGTATGTGGCTTTTGTGGTACTGATGAAAGAGCCATATCTACAAGGTTGAATATCTAAAACCGGTCATTACCAATCCATCTGTTGCTATTTTTCTCCCCCAATTTTTTTGGCTACTGAGTTCTCAGTTTCCACCTTGACTTTTTTAAATTAAACCTGAGGCCGCCACCATGGCACTTCAAAAAGGGTACTTTAACAAGGCCCGATTCCAAACTGTTTCTTGATTTCTTTTAAAGGCAAAATTTAGAAACAATTAAGTAAAATTAACTTTACTGGGTACATACGTTTGTGCACAAGGTTTTAATAAATGCTACCAACACATGAATGATATACCGGTACATGTACATGTATGACAAAAGTAAAGGGAAATGGACTCATTTTCTGTTTAGCTTTGATCTAAACAAAATTTACATTACAAACACAAGCTTTATGATATCATATCACTCAACTTTGTAAACTTTTCTTAACATATTTACCATTGGAGTTGCAATTTAGACAATGCCAAACTATCACTTATCAGGAAGCCAATTCACACGCCAACACGTGGTTGACAAATTCCTTGCAGCTTAATTTGCATTGCACTAACAACTTCCTTTGACAATTAGTTACAGTTCTTGTTTATTGCATGTGAGGAAATGAATATTACAATAATCAGCACATGTGGATAAAATCCATCATGTGCAAAAAAAAAATTAAAATGGAAAACTACCCGCAAGCAAGCACAGGAGAGTGTTTTTTTTTCTTTAAAGACATCATCATGAGAACATACTTAGGTACATTGGATAAATGTATCTCATATTATTGCTAGGAATTTTGCAAATAAAGTCACAATTTTTAAGACAGGTTGCCATGTTGGCATGACAGTTTATCTGTAGTGATATGTAAGTGTTAACTTTTGATCTCAACACCAAAAACATTTTAGATGTAGCGCCTAAAAATTCTATAGAAAGAAACTTCAGTTTTCATTGGCTAAATTGAAGAATTATCATGAACCTGCTGATGTGGACTACAGTTCTGGTCTAAAATATGTGGTAAGAAAACAAATTGGAAAGATATGATCAGCAGTTTGGATTTGATTTAAAAACGTTCTAGTCATGTTTTCAAAGGGAGATTTTCACTCCTTATGGATTGGGGGGGGGGGGCGAGAAGGTCACTGTCCCTTGCACTCCAAGCATCCTTAGCGAGGGTCAATTCACTGGCCATGAGTTAGTATCCCCCACCCATGATTTACCACCCAATACAGGGCCTGTTTTATTTCTTCCAAGGACCCTTGGGCCAACCAGAGGTGAGGTGAATCATACCCACTTAAGAACCCTCCTCACTATCCCCAAGAAAAGTTCAGTCCTGGGGTGAAGTGGGGCCAATTTCAGACTGGGTTTGGCCTTGTGATAGAGGGCTGGGCAGCTGTTGAGGCTTTGGCAGATTTCCAATATTTACAATGGACTTGGGACTGGATCTGCGGTTTCATTCATTTAAACATCCCACTAATCATCATGGGGCAGACTGTCAATCTACTGCAATGTCCCTGGTTGAAGGCAACAAGTCAACCTTCTTGCACTCTTCTTACAATCTGTCCCAAACCATTCAATCTTTAATACATGTACATGTACTGTCAAAATTCAGGAAGAAGTCTGTATACAAAGTGAGTCTATTACACATGAAGCAACTTGTACAAAGAGGAAATACCAAGCTTTATACAAGACTTTATACAGTGTTTCCAGTTTTTGTAAGTGTGAGGTGCAAAAAGGATAATCAACTGATTGGAGGAAAAGTTGCATACCTGATGATAATAATTATAATGTGGTGCTTATAGCCCTTTATACCAAAGGTCTCAAAGCGCTTCACAATTATTACCCCTGTTCATCGGGTCCTGAGACCAGTTGCTACAGCAGCTCAAGATCAGCACATTCTAGTCTCTACCTTCACAGGTACCCATTTATACTCCTGGGTGGAGAGAGGCAATGGTACTTGTAGTAAAGCGTCTTGCCCAAGAACACAAAGTAAACTAAACTTCTATCCTCAAATGACATAAAATCATGGTCCACAGCTTTTTGGATTCCATTTTACTTCTTAAGCATGAAATTTCTCAATTTAGTAAATGTCTAACTTTTATGTTCCTTAATTGTCTAGACATTCTATGCATCATGATGTTGGATTTTACATGTAGAGTTAATTTTCTTCGTCACTTCATATTTCCCACATTCTCAATATTAATGTTGTACATCATCAGATCATCTGTATGTGCACATGTCTAGACAACATACACTTACTGTAAGCCTAGACCAACCTGTACCGGTATGTGTCTATTGGCCACTATTTTTTTCCTTTTCCTGAATTTGTCTGATTGCAGTGTCCGAAGCCAAGCTTGAGTGATCTACTCTTCCGGGTATGATTCCTGCTATCAGGAAAAGCCCAGATACCGCAGGGGAAAGCTATTACAGTGTCTACTGGGCGGCTGCTTGTCAGTTATCTTCCTGCCAGACGGCTAGATTTTTTTCCCCTCTTTTTTTTCTTCAAAGCGATCACCAATGCCAAGGTGAGCAGACAATGGCGGGACTAGGCATGAATAAACACAGCCTGGTTGACAGGCTACAGTTCTATGTTTTCATTCTCGCAGTCCGTTCAGTCACTGTCTGGGTCCCTGTCAAGAACAGGTGAATGGAAAAGACAAACTTCCTTTGTTTGCGGCAACGGTGCTGTGGACACCTTCGGCCCAACTGGTGATTCCTCCATTTCACTTTCTGCGTCGTTGCATTAATTCAAGGATGTGAACATGAAGACCTCGACTTTTTTCTTCTTCTAGCTAAGACCCCACTTCTGTTTTACTTATTTTTTTTTTAAAAGTTGAGAGTAAACATTCCTACTAAATTACATGTAGTTCAAAAAGTCTGCTTAATTATTTCTTTTGAATAGACTGATCCATTCTAAACGCCACCCAATGATGTTCTGACCAATCACAGCCTTGATAAATTTGTGCACAGATGTCCGACATGCGTGCACAAAAGTCCGACATGCTACACGCTCTTATTAAGCGCGCGGCCGAAAAATGCTGTATAACATTGGAGAGGTACTAGTGTTGTTGCCCCTGTACATGCGTAGTGTGTGGGAACAGTGCCAGCGGTTGTGGATGGTTACAATTGTGACACATGGGGCGATTTCTAATCAAATTTTCAATGATCATACATCAGAGAACTGCTGCTAACAGTACACGGATATTCACTAACAAAAATAATAAATTTGCAAAAACAGGATCTGAAACTGTCTTGCATATGTTCACCGCTTTTGTAGCTGGGCAACTCCGTGAACTTTGACCCAGGTGTGGCCTATTGACATTCATGTATCAAAAGTTTCAATTCAAAATTCTGACGAAAATTACAGTTGTGACGCATTTATTGGGATGACCCAACAAACGACGTCTGATGAGCTCATCTGAACAATCCTCGGACGGTCTTTGTCTTCAACGGTCTAGACATCTATGATCCTGTAAGAAGGTTTTTTGGGTCTCTGTCTTCAAATGGGGATAAGGGATATGATATCTTTCTTGATGCTGTGCGTCAGTCTGCCACATTTCCTGTTTCTGGCCCCTCGTACAAAATGGCGTCACTCTAGACCGTGATGTCTGGAATATTTATCCGACAGACGGTATCAAGTTTGCCTAGATGATAACAATGGTAACAATACCCACATCACTGTGGGGACAAAAATGACTTGACCCCTGGATATTTAAAGTTACTCACCCTCTGTCCTTGTCTACCCTTACAGTTGCAGGCTTTACATGTTGCTCCACAGTCGGCTTTCTGTGATGAGACAGAGAACAAATAAAATTGTTAACATATTTCGCAAATATGAATATTTAACCCCTAAACCCAAAAATTCAGAGGTAGTAACTGCAGCAGATCTGTAGGGCAAAGTAAAAAAAACTTGTTTAGCATCCTGCCTTTTTGAAAAAAGGAAGAAGGCCCTTTTTTCCCCCTCCAAAATGGCCGCCCAACCCGGCTATTTTTTAAGATGGCCACCAGCTTTTTTTTTAAATAGCCGCCACTTGGACTTAGGAAATTACAAAACAATTTTACATGGACTAGATGCAACAGACAAAGAGGCAAAACTGATGTCACTGTTTATAAAATTTATCATTTTTTTTTCGGTTTAAAAAAAAAAGGAGGCAGCCTCCGAAATGGTCAAAAAGCGCCCTCTACTGTTCGTGCAAGGAGCCCGTACACAGCAGGAATCCTGCCCCAGACGAAATGTCACTGGCCAGCCTTGCAACTGAAGCCGCAATCCCATGTAAGGGAAATGAATCCGGCTTGGAATACCGACAGTCGTTATAACCCATGCCTGGCAGCCAAGGTCCAGACAAGATAACTCACAGTCCTATCATTCATTTTAAACATGTGGTTATGATATAAAAGAAATTATCACCGAGTCAAAGGATGAATGCGGAGTTAGTAACTAGACCTTTCTCAAGATAAGAATACAGTCTGTAGCAATTTATCATCCTGTTTGGGATCTCTTGGAAATATGTGACTGACATGTATAAGAAAAGCTGGAAAGGAAATATGAAACAAATTGATTTATGAAGACATCTGAAAAATAAGCTACTTTAATCATCGACTATTGCCATACTGTATGGCTAATAAATGTATCGGTGTGACTTTGTGAATGCTTACAGTACTCTAAGTCTTAATGTTTTAACAAGGAAAGGGGGAAAAAGAAGGGGAAAAAAATCAAAAACTGTGAATGCGTACAGAACAGTTCTCAAATTTGTATCTGATAGGCTTACAAAAGAAAAGGAAAAAATGTTGTAATCTGACGCCAATTTTTTTTTTTTCATATATCATCTCCATGAACTTAAAGGTCAGTTATTGCAAAAATGATGATAAGACATGAATCTGGGACTGAGATACATTTTCAATTTTGTTAGGAAATTCTTAGAAAAGTTTTGTGACTCTCCATAGACTTTGTACACAACCCCTGAAGTGGTGTCAGGTTGCAACATTTTTTTCCAAAGAAAAATTACATCCATTTCAAACTAATGAAGCCCGGGAAGGGACAGGGTGGAATTTTTTTTTGGAATTTCCTAATTCGTTCGCACGAATTAGTAATTCGTTCGCACGAATTGCTAATTCGTTCGCACGAATTCCTATTTCGTTCGCACGAATTACTATTTCGTTCGCACGAATTACTAATTCGTTCGAACGAATTAGCAATTCGTTCGAACGAATTAGTAATTCGTTCGCATGAATTCCTATTCGTAATTCGTGGGAACGAATTAGTAATTCGTGCGAACGAATTACTGGAGTTTGTAATTCGTTCGCACGAATTAGTAATTCGTGCGAACGAATTAGTAATTCGTGCGAACGAATTAGTAATTCGTGCGAACGAATTAGCAAACTCCAAAAAAAAATTCCACCCTGTCCCTTTCCGGGCTTCATACAAACTAGCATTCCAATTGTGCCAATTTATTCCTAAGATTTGAACTAAATACATAAAAAATATTCAAAGTCCGAAACAGTCAAGAACAACTACATGTACACTAGGACTAGAGAGTGCATTCAGATTGACTCCAGATCACTGCTGTAATGTAGAATTAATGCCTAAATTAACGTTTGTAAATTTGAAATGAAACCAAAATCTACACGTTCATGTATTTGGCTCGACTTATTGGCTCGACTTCTGTGGAGTTACTACAAAAATGTCTTGGTTTGGAACACCGAAATACCACTTTTAAATGGGTGTCATGCAATCACCTAATTCCCAAGTCCTAAAACTCTAACAATTTAACATTGTTTTGTATTCACGAAGATCTCCCCAATCAATGTTTTTCTCCCTTTCTAGTCCCAAAAAACTATGACTTCCACAGTAGAGACAACTTTAAAACCCGTGTGAATTTTCCGGGGTCGCGATCCTGACAAAATGGTGTCAGTTCTCTCAGTGCGCGCTACATACCAATGTCTTAGTGTTTTCTCAAGGCCACTTTTAGAAGAAGGAAAAAAACATGGCAGTTAACAAGTGCAACTGCATGGGGTATGGCGCCATCCTGAAAACCTTGTGGGTTTATTCATTGCCGTTGCCTTGACTTATTGACCTTGGCGTGCCCTGGGAACTACTCCACAGTAACACCCCAGTACAATCAGATGGCTCCAATAAATGAGGTTCGTACATGTGTGTGGACAGATATATAAATAAACTTTACAACTGTAATATTTCATTTGAAACTTAAGATTTCTGGCGTACTCGTACTCCATGTACTCGTACTCGGAGGAATCATGTAAACGTAACGGTGTTTCTCAGTATGGACACGGTGTTTTGTTTTTTGTTAAACTGAATTCGAATCAAGTAGACAGTGTGGTTTCTCATGATCAAACCCAGATATTTTTTTCTCTTTTGACTTCATCCATTTCAGTTACTTCTCTATAATTTTAAAAATATAAAAATTAATAAGAAAGAAACAAATCACAAAACACAAAAAAGTCAATCAAAATTCCCATATATCGATTCAATATTATCAATTTGTCATTGGTGTTTTAAGTTATTCAATAACCAGTAACACAAAAACAAAATCTCTTTAATACACATGCTGCGTGTGCACAGCCAGTTTATCAACGCATTATGCAATCTTATGGATCTTTAGATAAAAATGATTTGCAAAAAGGATTATAATGGCAACTTAGGAAGCCACTTTGATTTCAACAACAAGGAAACATTGTTGCAGTACTTTACTCAGTAAGTATTTCACTTAGTTTGTTTGTTACTTTATTACCTCATTTGTTTGTTCTTGCTTGCAGGTTTTGGGATCCATTCCCCAGATTTCAAATCGTAAACAATCCAACACAGGTAACATTTCTCGATTTCCTCAACCCAGGATAACACTAATGAATATTAAGCAATATTTTTTTGTACGAGTATTGAAATGCAAGCACATTATTAAGAATCAACATCTTGAAGTGACTACATGTAAATCTTACTGCACCCCCCCCCCCACACCTGAATTTAATACAGGAAACAATAAACGATGACATTAATATAACACAGAGTTGTGTAACCATTTGTGAAAGCTGATCTTCAGGACGACCATGGTTAAAGATGATCACTAGTGGCGTAATGATAGGAAGTTCGCCAATTTCCCGGGAACAAATTTGGAAATTGATGAGTGCAAGTGCACCAGGGAAAGCCCTTCTTAGCAGGAAGGTCACTCAGCCAGTTGTAGCACGCAAGAATAATTGCTGGACCGAAATGAAATTTCCTCGACACAATTTGAGTTTCCCTATTTGTTTAGTTCAACATCATGGGAGCGTATTTTTCTTTTAACGGTATAGCGTGTAATGTGCGCATTACAGTGGTTCGCCAGGAAGTTCGGATGAAACACTTAAGACAAAGATGAATCAGCTCATTCAGCTGGATTAAATTGAGCAGAAACACCAAATGTGTTTGACTTTGAGGGTAGGAATATGAGCCGACATCACTACTGTACAATAAGTGCACGGCAAAGAAGGCTGACTTTTAGTTATTAACCTAATTAGTCCCTACAACACCCTAAACCGCCCCTACCCTGAATGGCATAATTAATCCATCATAGAATCATTGCAATGTTATACAATGTAACACAATGTCATACAAATGTATCACAATGTCATACAGTGTAAAACAATGTAACACAATGTAATACAATGTAGTATAGGTGCATAAAATCCTGAAAGTTTATGACAAATGTATTAATACAATTAACAAAAGCTGCTTGTTGGGGAAAATGGTGAAGTTTATAACATAAAAAATGGGCAATGCCAAGGATATTCCTGATACTATAAATATTACAAAATCTCTGGGGGTTAGTTGGGTTTTTGATGGATACTGATTGAAGGGTTGTTCCAGTATTTGAAGACAGCTCAATTTGAGACAAGTGAGTCATTTCCCCCACAGGAAGTGAACTCCAAACTAAAGAAAACGATGTAAAATCACCCCCTCCCATAGTGTTGACTGACATTTTACAAAATGGGGGGGGGGGGGGGGAATACAGCATGTACAATATATCTCTGTGGCTGCGATAAAAAGTCAGGAAAATGAGTGCAAAATTCACAATTATTAAGAAATTTCTGAGATGGACCGAAACGTCCCTGCCCCGTGCACCCACAAATCTGTAATGTAGATCTTTGTAAAAAAAAAATAGCATTCATATTTTTTTACAAATGCAATAACTAATTTTAGTCTTCGAGATAAAATCTAACAATTTATTTTCCTGGGGATGGGGGGGGTGGTAAGCTTGGGGCGTGTTGTATTAGGTGTGGGGTGCTTTTGTTTAAAAAAAATCCTTTTTGACATAGAAAAATTAACACAAACAGTTAATTTCACTTGCCTGTGCTATACTTGATCCAACAAATGCTAGAAGTAGAACTGCGACGACTCCCCTGTGGAGAAAAAAACGACAAGAACAATTAATAATGTTAAATATTTCTTTATCTAAAGTTCTTTTCTTTTTTTCCCCCAAACTTTTCAGTTTTCAACCACTCTGAAATTTCAGTTACTCTGCCTCCTTCCAAAGCTGGCCTTATAAATGGAGTTTTTTAGTTTAAAAATCTGCAACAGAAAGGGCAAGTATATTTTTTTAACACCCCCCCCCCCAAAAAAAAAAACGAAAACTTGGGCATGCTTACTTTTTAACCACTAAACAATAAAATAGGCCTAAACAACTCATTTTGAAACATTAAAATTAATAAAACAAAGCAAAATCTAATGAAATAACCGAAGAAATGTCATTATTTCATGCATCACGTTGGTTTAACCTGAACTTCATGAACTTCTGAAGTAACTTTTTTGTTCTTTCCGGAAAATAATCAGTGCAGCTGCAGTGTGCGGTGAGACCGCGGCCATTTCAGGCAAACTGCTATGACATTTTGAGAAGGTCCCTTACACCCATACGAAACACACAGCATAAACTTCGACACCTGCTCGGTGTGGGGCGTTTTAAACATTCAAGAACCTAAACGAACGGATTTCTGGTACAAAAGTTTGTTGAAAATATATGAAAGGTTCTTACCATCTCCACATTGTTGATGTGAGGGTCCTAGGTGCAGAGTTTTGGCCGCCTAAAGTGCGGCCTAGTGCTGCAAAAACGTCCAGCCTCATGCCCTCATTTGCCGTTCTGCACGCCAAAATTCCCCCAAACGTCCACCTGAGAAATTTCTCACTCGGCCTACATGTAACCGTCACAAAACTCTCCACAACATGGAAAAAGCTCGGCGTCTGCTTGAAACCAGTCCCCAGCAAAACTCCTTCGACCCTCGGAGAAAGAATTGGGAAAATTCTGCTCCAGAAATGGACAAATTTTGAGGGAATTATTTGTCCGGGCGAGTGGAAGGGTTCTGGTGGGCCCGAGCTGGTGCGACGACTGCAGCTAGCAGACGATGCGCCGCAGCGTGGAAAAAGTGGGCGGAGCAATAGCTCAGTCAGGTTGGGAGAATTATTTTTTGATCAACACAAGCCAGACGGTGGTGTCAAGTTGTCGCATTTTCTTGATGTCGACGTCTGGAGTATTGGTAACGCCTGAAGCTAATCCAGTTTCGGTTTTAAGTTCGCAATCGTCTTGTGGGAAAAGTGACATTCTTGAATAGTGAACCAACTCACCACCGAAAGTGCAGGAGATATTTTGTTGTCCCCGTGTTCCATTCCCCAAAGACCTTTCTAATTGCTAAATTAAATTGTCTTAAATTTCATCTTGACCATTCCCACCCCGTTTGATAAATTTCCCCATTTTTCTCAAAGGCCATTTTTTTTTTCAATCACAAATTGACCATAAATTTCTTTTCCATTCATGATTCAAAACCGCTCATGTCCCCTGTTCTTTATTGATTGATATAATTGTAAAACTGTTTAATGTCATGAAAATGTTACAAGTAAAGAAGTAAAATATTTTTTCATAGGATGAAATTTGCTTCGCGGTGATGTAAATCAAAATTTGGTTTTGCCCTTCAGAAAAATATTAAAATAAAATAAGTAAAATATTTGTTCTTTTGTTTTTCAGAGAATGAGAATTTTGTTGATTCAATTTCTGTTTCCCCCTCTTCTTCTATTTTGCAAATTAATCAAGTAATGGATTTTATTTTCCGTTTTGGTTTTTTAATTGACTACTTCAATGTTTCCGGTCGAGACTTGGGATTTTCCGGTTCAAGATTCACAGCGAGGGGCAAAGATGGAAAGTCCAAACCACAAAGAAAACAAACCACGATCCAAATATAACAAATCTCGACGTCATTGGATATGGAACAGCCACCTGACCACAATGTAAACAAAACTGGATGACTAACGTCATATTTAGGGTTATTTTTAGTCGGCAAAGTCATGGTCGTATACTGTTCCCACTCCCAAAGAAGTCAGAATCGATGATGGAGGGACTGGGAACTAGTCTACGTTTGGGCTTCTCCGGCCGTGATGTCATTTTATTATAAACCTAATTAAGTTGCAGTTACACTAATAATGATCCATCGTTTTGTTTTGTTGTTGGTAAACTTTGTTGTTGTGGCTGTTGCCGCTGCTGCTGTCGAAGCTGTTGTTGACAGTTTTCGTGGGCAGTTACTATAGTTACTTCAGACTTTCAGTAGACTTCAATTTACAAAGAGTGAAACTAGGAACTAAATCGCCGAGTTTTAGAATGAAACTTGTACATAGATTTTTTAAGTGCCACTGCAGACGAACTCGAGTAAAAACTCGATCTGTTCGATTGAATGAATTACAATATTAATTGTCCAGGCCTGTCCCTATATAATTTCAGTGGGATATATGGAGTAAATTGTCAAGCTTCGGAATCAAGAAATTGCCTCAAAGTTGCTATACCTATCAGTGCAATATTAACATCCTCCTCGCGCACGAGCCTGTAGACCTTGGCCCTGTTTATGTGTCCAGTGTTTTTACTACATGTATATGAAATCCTTTAATACTTTCACGCGGAGTTAACCTTGCCAGTTGCCACGTATTTAAAATATTGATATGGCTTTGAAACAACAAAATGTCCACCGCACTAATGCCACATGCGGACCGTACCTCAGCCACAAAAATTCCCAAACCACAAGGGCCCTCGGGTTCCTCCATCTCCAGCAGCGCACCATAATGAAGTTGACCGTTCGCAGAGTTCACCGCGGGAACATCGTCTTCCAAAAAAACCCAAATGCCGAGTGTTTGGAGCTTTTTATGGGAATATTATGAGAAGATAAACTTGTTGTGGTGAAACTAAAACTGTTATTAGTAAACAACAACAACAGCAGCAGCAACGACAATTAAAAATCGACAAAACCAGTTCTGGACGACACCAATTCTCGTGCGGCGCATGCCCACCGAAGTTTGGTTGTGTCGGAAAATTAGCCCACGCCTTACTTTGAACTAACTTTGAGATCGTGAAATTGAACAATATTGGCAAGATCGAGGTTCAAACAATTATTGTTAAAAAAAACCCACAATAATCACATTTCATATAGGTTCAAGTGTCAATCAGAGCACCCCAAAACAGTAAAATGGAAGGGGATGCTCTAACCACGCAGTAAATGCATGAAATATTCTGATCTGAGTTATACCTGTATATTCGTATACGGAATGGATGATATTTTCATAGGGAAAGGCGAGAAAAATGGAGCAGAGCCATAGGCTAAACACATGTATATGGCTGGCTCATATCAGACATAATAAAGACTTAGTATCGTCGAGTTGAGTTATTGGACACCAATATTACCCTAAGTCTCCAAACATTTTGTGAGCATTAAATTTCCTTGAATTCCTGAAGCAAAAATGGAAAGGCTTAAAACATCTTGGCATGCTATGGTGTAACTCGGGTCCAATTTGTAGCAGGTTGGCGGCATGGGGGGGGGGGGAGGGGCTTATTTTCGGGAGCCTGGCACGGCCTCAATTGGTTTTAAACTTTTAAACAAAAACTTGAGCGGAGGTACATGGGGCGGGATACGGGCTAGGTGAGGGGGAGCTTCAGTGCCCCTATACAAAAAAATGGTTCAGAAAATACAAGCCCCGTTTGCAGGTGGTCCGATCTCTCAATGGAACCTTTCGACCCTTAGAAGTTTACAAATCATGCTATCGATCATAACTTATTCTTAAGATTTGGCAGCAGCAACGGAGGTTGTCTTGTATGGTTCTTGACTTGGCCCGTCTTACATCAGTTGACCTCCCATAGGCAAAACATCGCGGACCCGTCGATTCGAATTTTCTTCTCCTGCAAGGCAAACATCTAAAACCTACACTTTTTACCCGGACCTGCATGGACTAAGAAAGAATGCTTCCAGCCCCAAAAGAAGAAATCAGTTTTCCTGCAAGCAATTGAATTATTAGATTAAATATTTGACTATGTCGTGCAATTGCTATTGCGGTTTTGAGGGTTGCTCGAACGATGAACTGTTTGAATGTTGTGCCAAACGCAAGGTTTTCTAAAGCGAAACCCTCTGTTTCTCAAACTCAAATCTTAATCGTGTCCAATGTAATTCCAAGCAGTATACATCATTTAGCCTACGGTAAAGGAGTTTCCATCTGTACAGAATAAAAACTTAAAAGGAAGTTATTATATCGATGTACGATTTTCAAAATTACAATTAATTTGTTGTTTGACTATTTTTATACATGTATTGCAAAACAATGGCAGACACACGTCGTTCAAAAACAATTTTTTTGAAAGAGATTATTGAAAATTGCGAGTGTTTGGAAAGGTCTCCCCTCCAAATTCAAACACATTTTAACCGGATTAATTGCCATATATATTGAGCTTAATTCCCAAACCACATTAATTAGAGTCAGACAGTATAATGTCTGAATTTGCAGGTGTGTGCTCATTTGGGTGTGTCTACCGACCGCCAGTCCGTACCGGCCCGTCACACCAGCCTCCTGGTACAGTCAACCGGTGAAAAGCCACATCCGCACGGCGGAGACCTGAGCCACTGACCTGGTAATTCTTTGTCTGTCGGGTGCGTTGCAGTGCCAAGAAGAGATGGCACCAAAAAGAAGGGAGAACAGAAAATTAAAAACTATAAAGAAGTCATTACGAAACCATCACAAATTCCCTTTTTACAATCAGAGACATTGTCTTGTTTATACTATATAAAAACTGTCGTTCAGGATGATTTTTGGTATACATTTTCTGATGTTTCAGTTGATACATTGTAATTTGTATACAGTTCCCTGCATTTTGTTTACCCCATCACCCTGCACAATAAACAAGTAATGAACTTCCCCACATAAACTAGTTTAAAGCAAGACCACGTATTAATTTGTTGTTTTCTTATTTCAGTATGTATTGGAATTAACGTTGTGAGGCATTATATTTCCACAGAGCAAAAAAATTAGTCATCTGTGATTAATTTCCTACTTGTCGAGGACATGACAGGGTATAGAGCCTTATAAACGGCCCATGACAGATGAGAAAACATACAAACATTTGGACAAGCAAGACAAGGGCTAGACAACATACTCTCCGGACCTGAAACGAAGGGTTGTGAGGTACCCAGACATATGACTCAAGATATTCGGGGAATTAGGGATCCGAGTAGACACGCACAGTCTCGACCCTCCTGTTTCCCCCCTTCAAGTTCAGGTTAATTCTTGCTTTTTCAAACATCATGGAGCTGTGCCAGACGATGTTCCAACCCGAAACGGAAACCAAGAGAGATTTTCCCTCCAGATAGAATACGCGTGCTCTTCAAAACTTCACTTGAGAACATTGTGTTCCAAGGACGGTCCGATAAAATGCTTCGAATCAATAGTGTGCTCTGCAGCCATTTTGTGTCGGATACCCAATGTCAAACATCGGCAAATACACTCGTTGTTGTTGTTGTTAAGTTTTGACAATAGCACCCGACTATTATCTTCACTCCAGCAGCTCGAATGGTTGACAATAAACGGTTGACAATGATGCAACGGCGACTGATGGTAGATATAAATCCATATGCAGACCTTATATGCACATGGAGCGGCCATCTTGGAGGGTTTTAGAGTATTTGTTGTAGTAAACGAAAGAAGTCCCATATTTTATTACTAATTGTAATGTGGGGTGCTGTGGTCCAGTGGTTACGGTGTTCGACTCGTGTGCCGTGGTACACAGGTTCGAATCCTGACCGTGGGAACATGGTGCTTGCGCTCCTGAGCAAGGCGCTTTACCGTTATTGCTTCGTCCTTCGGATGGGACGTGAAGCCTTACTGGCATAGTGAAGCCTTACTGGCATAGTTACCCGTGTGTTGTGTAATCCACGTTAAAGAACCCAATAACACTTATCACCAAGAGAAGGGGTTTGCCCCGGTGTTTCTGGCAGTGGCTGCTTAATGCGCCGCAGCACCTTGTAAACCATTATAAAGGTGCTACATAATGGTTCTCATATTTCTCATGTACTTCATTTACCTGTCTCTAATGTTAGACTGTCTCTAATGATAGACATAATTTCCAGCGCCTTGAGAACCTAATTGTTGGTAGATACGTGCGCTATATAAGACTTCGGTATTATAATTCGGGATAAAGAACCTATTTTGTTAAACAACGCATGTTATAGTATAAACATCTTCGGGTGGTCATCGAGTTATTGTTTATATAACCTGAAGTAACTTCGCCCCGAAACCACACATTCGTTCTTAAATATACAAACGCAGACACGATTTCGAGGTCATATCAGAACTTCATATAAAATTTTAGAACCCAATTTTTTATATATCACATTATGGGGTTTTTTTGCTCGAGCGATGGAAAAGCCATTTAGGGTAAAACTTAAAAGATAATGACATATCACTGGTCGTTTCTCTACCCCTGCATCTCTTCTGCTGATGAAAACCGTTCCATATAAAACTCATCATTCATTAATAGATTTAAAACATTTGTAAAAGGAGAAACGTTATACCAATCGAAACCTTACTGATCTCATTGATATAAATGATGATAAATCACCAAAGATTTTTTTGGGGGAAAAAGGCCTAATATGTCTTAAGAACAGTCTGCACGCCTACGCGATAGGTATGAGACTGGTGACTATGGGAACCACACAGATAGAAACCGAAACATCGAACCACCATCAGTAATCCTATGAGCAAGGATATAATTCAGGGCATCACCCCCCCCCCCTCCCCCCTAGTTTACGGACTGTTGTGCTACTGGCTCCCAACATCAGTGGCCGCAAAATGATCACACAAGACCCCAGACTTGTTTGTTTATTGGTGGGTACCCCCTCGGCAGAAGTGACATGCACCCTCAGTTATTCATACCGTTTACTGGTCTTTGGGTGCGTATTGTTCTGTCTGTCTGGATTTTTTTTATTGAGCCTAAACGTACGTCTGGCTTTTGTGATCACATGATTTTGTTTATGGTCACCTTTTAATGGAGGTTGCCAACCTGCATTGATAAACAACGAAATACGAAAACCATCGATGTTTGAATGTCCTCAACATATTTTTAAAAATAATAAGAATTTGAAATCAATAATGACTCTTGGCTTTAATTTGTTTTGTTTTTTTACACTTTTCTATAGGTAATATTTGCTTTCGCTGTAATTGTTAGAAATGGATGGATTTGTGGGTTAGCAGTTTTATAGCAAATGTTGTTGCACATGCACTGACCATCTTAAAGTTTTATGTTCAAAGATGCTGGAAAAACCAAGAATAAATGTTCTTGTAGTAGTCCGGATTCCCTGACCCTACTTCAGACGTAAGAGAGCAATTTATAGACGTCAGATCAGGGGACCAGACTAGCTGGCTCACATCCGTTCACGAAAGTGTTACCATGGATGATGGAGGAATAAAAATATGGTGTAACCGATTGCAAACAAACTGTGGACTCACTAAATTTGGTAAATTGGGAGCAGTATTTGAAAAAAAGGGTGTTTTTTTTTCAAACTGATACCAAAATTCCACTTTTCTTAAAAATGACAGCACACCAGGTGCCACGATTTCACTGGATGCTTGAGACTATTTTTCACTTTTAGTCACAGTCAAGTAAGGTATTTCATAATAATTTGGTAGTTTTGTTTTTTGATGTTTGCAAATGTTCTTTAATCAAGAGATGTTACAACTAGTAACATCCTTTTGTGAAACCATTACGAAGGTGTTAAAGATAAGTCTCCACTTCCTACTTATACCTATTTGGTGACGTAAAACGGGGGGGGGGGGGGCATCTAATCAATAAACATCATCTGAGCTCCTCTACCTTTAATTTGTTGCCTATAGGCCGACAATTTTAATAATGCGAACGCAATGTCAGCTTGCTTAAGATGTAAGGATCGTGTAACATAACAGGGCTTGAAATATAGAGAACAAATTCGATCCTAAACAGTGGGGCAGATGTTTGCAATTATTTTAAGAAAACATGCAGCCATTTTACTTTCTAAAGAGTGATGCGTGGTCGATGCACAACTGCAAATACTATTTTTAACCGCACTGCATAATCAGCTGTGTGCACTAGGTCACTACCCGGTCGTCGAAGATAGTGTGATCACATTTAGAATTCTCCCAACCTCACCCATGGAAACTTTGCTCAAATCGTCTAACGGGTTTCGTGTAGGCCTCCGTTTTCGATTCATTGGATATGCAAATATTACCTGAGCACGAGTACCTATTTTTAAGCCCCTCCGCTGGAATCATAAAGTGCCCGAATGTCTGGCTTATTAAAAGCATTTAGACGAACATTTGGACACAATTTCTGGTTAAACTGAGTTTTAGGACTCTACATCTAGACTTTCATTATAAAATGTTGTGGTAACATTGCTGTACGACTAAACATTTTGCACAGAGAAAGTAGTTCTGTCGGAAATCACTGCGCGAGTTGGTGAGTTCGCTGTGATTCGGCCCAAGTGCCGATTTTTCAGGTTTCTAGCTGAAGCTTTGCAGGTTCGTCTCCACGGCAGAATGGCTCGTACTAGCTAGCTGAGATTTCTTCCCTCAGAAATCCGGCCGAAATCTCCCCTCCTGCAGCCGAGAGTTGGCCCAGCGAGCCCGCCGAAGACGGGAGAGGGACTCATCCTGCTATCTCCGTGAAAACGAACTCTTGTTTTTATTAATTTATTTGTACAAAAATGAAGTATCGGGAAGTTATCGAGCGACACGTCCTCGTGTGCTGCCTTCTCGTCCTGTTCGTCTGGGCACAGTGGGCCAACGCGGCGGTAAGTACACCTCAATTTTACCTCAATTTTTCCAAAATTCCCAAACCAACCCATCCTTAATTACTACACAAGTTGTAGAGTATGTTATTCCAAACCCCTGCACAAAAGTTCGACGCAAAATTGTGTTAAATTGCTTGGGAAAATGTATGTCATTTCGTGTGGACCGATTTGTGGTGGATTTGTGTTGGTGTGAGAAGTGGGCCGAGTGCGAACTTCCAAGGCGATCCCTGCACAGTGTTGCTCGCACGTTCTATGCTTTGCGTGCCACACACACGGCTCCATTGTGGTGAACTTCGAGTCAACTTGCCCCATTCTTGTCCTTTCTTTTGACCACTTAAACTTTTTGTCCAAGGATAATAGCCAATGTTTTCCTTCGCTGCACTTCAAAGCGAAACTTGATAAAAGATTTAAGTGGTTTACAATGGGAAAGCAAGCAGTGGTTTGCTTGCCTTTGTATATTTTGCAACAGACGTGAAAGAATTTGCGTTGTGCTTTTCTGTTTTACAGCCAGACACTGAAGTTGACACCTTTTTTCTTCACTGGAAAAATAAACCTTGATTTCTGTTTTTTAGTCAGTGAAGTTACAATGTTTGGTTCTTGGACTTGGTTTGTTGATTTTACACGGTATATTGCATTTGCACAACATTTGTTTGATAAATTTTAGAACAAATTTGTGAATGAATTTTTCTTTTGAGAACTGGACAATGCTGGAGGTAGTGTGATCATGGTGTGATATCCTCCAAATGATTTATTTTATTTTTAGACATTTATTAGGCCTACTCTCAACAATATACTAGTTTGCCATAATTTGCAGGTTTGCTGTGGGAGAACTGTCTTTAAAAAGCAGGCCGGCCTGCCATGCTTAAAACCCGCGTCGATCAACTAAATAGGCCTAAATGGTGCTCCATGGTGCATACATTTTCCTGTATCCTGCTTGGGGGAAGTTGGGGTTCCCTATTAGCACTATTAATATTATCGAAAGACATACAAATTGGAAATCCAGATGGTATTCTTTTGATTCCGTTTCCTTGCTTAACGGGGCATCCTGAACTGGAATAAAGAAGGGGGAAAAATCACAAAGATATCAAAAAAGACATCTTCAAATTACATATTTCCTCATTCTCGCGTTGTTTTCACTATTGAACTGATGTTATTAAACCTAAATTAGTCAAAATTTCTTTACGAGAAAGCAGTGGCCAAGTTGAACTCGGAATGTCCCCTTGTAAATGAAAAGTCACACTCTAAAACTTAAACTTTAGGGTTGGGGAAAAAAATCGCTCAGATACCCCCTAGGGAACTCCGGGGTCATCTGGCCCACATGTGGGAATGCCAGGGCTTGGTGGGTTGGTAAAATCTCCCCATGCCAGAGTCATGACGTATTCCCTCGAAACCCCCCCCCCCCCCAATAGTCAGTCACTTATGGTGATTATATTTTTGGACCGGTGCCACTGCTACTGTAGTAACACCCACCCAAGGTTAAGAAAAGGGGAAAAAAAATCCGGGCCCCATTTCCCTCCTGGCCCAAGAAAAATAAACGAAACCATATGGGAGGGAAATCAAGTGACCATGACATTGTTTGTTCACAGGTCCCATGGTATTGTTGCCAGATTTGAACTGACATTCCTTGATTGAAAGACCCGAAAAAAATTAACTTTAACAGCAACTTGACTTATAAAGGTATTAAATGCAACATTTACTTTTGCTGTAATTTTCAGAAATGAATGGATTTTGGGGTTAGTATTTTAAAGCAAATATTGTTACACTGGCCTGTTTTAGAGTTTTTTGTACTTTGTGCTGGAAAAACCAAGAAAAAATATGCTGTTTTTGTAGTCTGGTTCCCTTTCCCTACTTAAGACGTAACAGAGCAAATTATAGACGTTGGGCAATTGTCAGGTCAGGGAATCAGACTGGTTGGCTTGCAACCGTACACGGATGTGTAACCGATTGTAAACAAAATGTGGACTATTAGTTTGGTAAAATGGGGGCAGTGTTTGATAGAAAGTTAGTTTCTTTTCCCAACAATAATTGGTCAACCATTGTTGGAAATTGATACAAAAATTCCACTTTTCTTGAAGTTGAAAGTGACAGCACACACCAACCAGGTGCCATGATTTCACAGGATGCTTGAAACTATTATTCACTTACAGTCAAATAAGGTATTTCATACTAATTTGGTAGTTTTATTTTTGATGTTTGAAAATGTTGTACACCCTTAATCGATTCTGTGCGCCCCGGTTATACTGGGCTATCTGTGCATGTGTGGAGGAATTAAACGTACGAATGAAATCTCAAGCTCTCTGCAACCGGTCGCGAATGGCATTCCTCAAGAAATCTAAGTAGCTCACCCAGCGCTTTTCTCACACTGCGACCGCGCAGCCCGACTCACCCGGCTGCAGAATGCAGAAAACAGAGCTTGCGGTTCTGGTTTCTACTGGGTCTGAAATTACCCAAAATTGATATCAATTACTGTAAAAAAAGTGGCTGTTGTGTTGAGTTTAGGGATTGAAGGTGTCTAGGGATTTTTGAGAGTCAGGGAGCAGGTAGGCCTCAGCAGGGGATTTGGGTCACAGAAAGTTTCTAAGGACAAAACTCAAATTTAGGGAATTACAATATGGTTTACTTACTAAATACTTTAAAATCTCTCATTTCAATGTGAAATGCATCATCAGAACAAGCCGTTGGTCCACAATCACCCACTTTATGAAAGTAGAAATTTAGAGACAGTTTGAGGAGAATAAAACTTTTTGAAACATTTTTGAGGGTGTTTTTGGTGCAAAATGTTCCCCAATCTTTTGTTCTAGTTGTGGCAATGAGTCAGAAGATCAAATCCTTTTTTTTTTGAAAGACAAGGTCTCCTTCCAAGGAACAGGCCTATGAATTGATTCTCTTGTCCAACTGGTCCACAGACAAATAATTCGCAGCAGAGCCGGCAACTTTAGTCTGCACAGGATATTACTGTCTTTTTTCTAGGGTCGTCTAGACCGGTGTTATCATTGGCCCGTGCTCGTCTTGCATACCAACAAAAAAAGTTTGGAAATCGTCTGGGAAAAAAAAGCTCACGGAAAACTGGGGCAGTGTCAGCAGACTAGATTTCCTGAAGTTAATGTGTAGTGATAACAGAAGCACAAATCAATTGCTACTTTAATGTCTGGTGACCCCCGCCCCTTAGCTGCCTCCAGTGTTTTCAGAAAAAGATATTTTTAAAACATAATAGTTGATTCACAGGCTGAAATGTTTTTTTAAGTGCCACTTTAATTCCCTTTGTTAACATGCAAGCTCTTTGTGTAAAGCAGAAGTTGAGTCAGAATGGGATTTTTTTTTTTTTCAGTTCAGCAACTTTAAAGGGAAGATACAACATTTGCAAACATCAAAAAACGAAGTGATCAAATTATCACGAAATATCTTACTTGATTGTTAGGGAATGACAGTCCAAAGCATCCTGTAAAATCGTAGCTCCTGGTTTGCTGACCTTTTCAAGAAAATCTGTATTTTTCTAACGCTGGTCAGCCGACCAGCGTTGGAGAAAATTGTTGTTTTTTTCTTCAAAACTGCTCCTAATTGTTTATATTTAGTTATTCCGCATATTCTTTGCAATTGATTACACACCTGTGGAGAGGTACCAGTACAGGTAGAAGCCAGCTGATTATCTTACCTTACAATTCCTCTACATCCTATATTTGTTTTGCAGTACAAACTGCAGTTCAAAAAAAAGTGCACAGTAGTAAAACATGCAGAAATGAATATTTCTATGTGGCGATTTGTTTGGAAGAGGTAAAACAAAGTTTGTCACGGCCAGCGACTTGAAATTTTTCTGGGTCCGGAATTTATTCATGAATGAAGATTACAATGTACTGTGTCAAGATAAACTGGAGTTATAATACCAGGCAGTGGTTCCCCATCATGGGTTGAAGATTGACAGCTAGATTATTAGGGGATTACGGCATGCTGGGATAAGGGGATTTGATAGGGGATTAGGAATGTTAGCAATGCTTCCCCTATCTTGCGATAAACAGTTAAAGTTTTGGTACAGGATTAAATGCCAGTTGTGTGAGAACAACAAGCGTGGATTTAAGTTCCTTTCCAAGGTCCTCCCCCACGTTGGGGTTCAGAGGTCATATGAGTCCAACATTTTGATTTGTTCGTGGCATGTTGCTCAATCAATTCTTCTACTTTTAAAGAGCAAGGTAGGATTGCTTTAGTTTGAATTTGACAAATAAAAGCGGGCGGTTCTCGAAAAGAATAGGTGTACAACGACATAGTGTAGAGCTTCCGTAAATGTTCGATCCATCATCAGCACGTTTGTTCCTTAACGTCACAGGAAAGTACGAAGGAAAGTTTCAGGAAAAGAAACTTAAAGTTATCGAAATTTAAAACTTACAGCCACTTATTCATCATCCAATGTAACCCATGATACCCATCTCTTCATTTTTATCTCTTTGATAAAAAAAAATAAAATAAAATTGACATTTTCTAGTATGTGGATTAAAATTCACAGTGCGTAGAAATAATGTTTGTGTTCTTTTTGTATTATTTTGTTTCTGTCCGCAGGCGTGCTCAGGATGCTTGAAGGACAAATGTATATGCAACGGAACAAAAGGAGAAAGGGTTCGTTCTTTCGTACTATATGTTTATTATTTTTATTATTTTTATTATTTTTATTACTTTTTATTATTTTTTATTATTTTTATTATTTGTATTATTTATATTTAACATTATTGCACGGACATCTAGCTAGGGCTTTGTCTTAAACTCATATAATACTCAGAAGCCTTTGAGTATCAAAACAAAGACAAAGGCAGTGGCTAAAACTTTTGAAGTTGGAGCTTGCAGTCAGATGCCAGGTTTGTGAATAACATTTTAAGATGTGTTGAGTGGTCCAAACCAGAAGTGTTTAGTGAGAAAATAAATCTGAAACCTCTGAACACAGAAACATCCGAAGGTCACATGAAATCTGTTTGCTTTTCCAATGATAGTTGTTATCTGAAATCTCCAAGGCTTCCCTTCTCCTCACTCAATGGTTTAACTTTTAGAGATTAGGTCCCAATAAAAACAATCACTGTTTTAACAGTGGGCTTAGTGTGGTCCTATCAACCAATAATGAGCCCAGTTGTTTAAACATGCCTTACTCTGGGTTCCAACATTTTGAATGTCTAGTCTACTTTTTTTTTTAGCATGGAGTGATGGTTGCAATATGTGGACTCAGTCGATCGTTTTTTTGATAATTCTGAAGAATTCTTTTTTGGGTGTTTTTGCAGAGTGTAGGACCTGCTGTGACAGCAACCTTTTTTTTAAACTAATTTTTACAGATTTTGTATTTGACCAGCTGAAGATAAAGTGTTTCATTGACAAATTTTGTAGCTTTTGGGTTTGGGAACCTGTTTCAATATGTAACATTTTCAAATCCCGTGTTATTCAGTACTTTGAAAACATGAAGCATATAGTAAATAAATACAGATTTAGATGTTCATGTATCTTACCTGCTAATTTTCAAATCATGTTTTAATTAAAACTAAAAGTGTATGCATATGTTACAAAAGAAATGGGGATGTACATGTATGTATGCATATGTACCGTACAGTACAAGTATGATCATTGTCACTGAACTATGCCGTTTTATATAAGCCCCATAAAAAAAAGAGTCTCCGGTTTCTGGTATGCGCGCGCGTCGCCGTAGCCATGCGCGTCGGCAAAATGAAAAAGATTTTTTTTCAATGAAAGAAAACATGATGTCTCAAAACCGCCAAACTCACTGGTTTGACTGGAATCCTGCTGCTGCACAATTTTAACGTGTTTTTAGATTGGGTTATGGTCGAGAATAAGCTTTATGTGGCCTCTCTGGACTCCCATATATTTGCACTAAGTTTAGTCGGGCACCATTTGCAGTCATCAGCCGACATTTGAAGCAAAAAAATCAGGTAAAAAAAATAAATAAGCCGTGTCGCCGCACCACTTTTTGGGCAAGCTCCATACCAGAAACCGGAGACTTTTTTGGGGGGGCCTTAGGAACCTGACAATTTTTTAGATGTTAATGCTATGGCTTACAGGAACACCATAATTAGCTTTCTGTTTGACAAAAACTCTACGAAATGAACAAACTTTCTTACCAAAAGCCCACCTGTTGATCATTGACTGAAGCTAAGGGAAGCACTTATCTTATTTTGAGTTGTTCGGGTCAGTGCGTTTTGATTGATTGAAATAATCAAACTCATCAGACAGTCTGGGTTTGTTCCTGTCCACTATAAACGTCAATATCGCGCAGCTGAAAAGTGCAAGGACAAAATGGCCGTTCGTTGTCAACATTTATTATCTCAATAAAAAAAATCCGTAAAATAACTTTAATTATCAAACTTTATAATCCCAATAAAATAAATCCATAAAATATGTGTAATTTTTAAACACAATATGATTCACATGTACTACGTGCATGCAAGTTTTCCTCGGCACCGCTGATTTTCTCGTTTTTTACTTCTCATGAACGCTATAGAGTACAGAATTGTGACGTCAATTGTGAATTTCTGGTTCACTCTGTTTCACGCACTTACGTCCCCTCCCCCCCAAAAAAATAATAAATAGATCTGCTTCCAATAACAAAGCACTTGAAAATAGGGTAGGTAGGTAGGGAATTTTTGTTTTTTTGGCAATTTTTGTTTTGTGTACGATCATATGGAGGTGTGTGCATGTAGTCACGGGTAAAAGGTATGTAGTTATTATAAGATAGAATTTTGCGTCGGGTTGATATAAATCAAAATAGGTTTTTGCCCTTCACCGACGTTTAAACACTGTACACTCAGTGCGTTACCTCCCGAGTGAATGTTGGAAAAAAATAACTCGGGTGGGACTCGAACCCACGACCTCCTGCTTTCTAGTGCAGATGTCTTACCACTCGACCACCGAGCTAACGGGATCGGTTGGCCGGTTCGAATCTGATGTACATAGCAGCGGGTACCGCATAAACTATTATAAGATAGAATTTTGCGTCGGGGTGAACGTCGGTGAAGGGCAAAACCTATTACATGTAGTTAATGTTTGGTTTTTTTTCCTTGCTTCCCCCCCCCCCCAAAAAAAAAAACAGGGTAGGGGCTGTCAAAATAGGGTAGGTTGGCCTGCCAGTAGGGTAACCTGACGCACAACTATTTTACATAAATAGGGGGAAAATATTTCTGTATATACCGGTGGTGGTCTGTCAGAATTCTTTCTTAATAAATACAGAAATAACTCCAGTAGGATATGATTCTGAGTGCCTTGCCTTGAGTATGAGTATGAATACAGGTGATTTTTTTTTTTTTTTGGTTACAAGTGATGAGTACGAGTGCAAGTACATTCTCATGTTGAGTATGAGTTTACTCGGATACCAGCACTAAAACAATGTTTTACTTGTTCTTTTCCTGAGCATTAAAACCAGGAAAAGGAGAAAAAATAAGGCTTCAACCATTTCCTTCAATGTTCAAGCTTTTTTTTTTTAAGTTGCTTAACAGCACAAACCTGTCACTCCAGTCAAGGTTATAAGTTGGTCATCAGAAGCCAAGTAATGTGAAGAATAATGAACATATCGCAAACATACCGGGCTTAAACCTTTCACTCAAGTCAAGGTTATAAGTTGGTCATCCCGAGCCAAGTAATGTGAAGAATAATGAACATCTCGCAAACATACCGGGCTTAAACCTGTCACTCAAGTCAAGGTTATAAGTTGGTCATCACAAGCCAAGTAATGTGAAGAATAATGAACATATCGCAAACATACCTGGCTTAAACCTGTCACTCCAGTCAAGGTTATAAGTTGCAATCATCACAAGCCAAGTAATGTGATGAATAATGTACCCCAAACATACGGTACCCAGCTTATCCTTGAACCCGATTGGAACAAAGTGGAAGGGTACCCGGCTTATCCTTGAACCCGGATTGGAACAAAGTGGAAGCTTGTTGAGATGTGATGACAGAGCCTGCAGGTGTGGACGGCCAAATTACTCATGATTAATGGAAGGAAATTAATCAACAGGTGGGCCGGCTTTCAGCAGCCTGTTGAGATGGATTTGTTAACTCTACTGGTTCAGTGGAGCCTCTAGTTTTTGGGAACAATATTTACCGGTGCAGGCCAGTAAATCGGTCCGAAATTGCCTAGGCGGGCCAAATCACGGTTTGAAATTCTTTGGTATTACAGCATTTGAAGGCCGTGAACTTGATGATTTGTAAAAAGCATGGCAGGGAAATGGACTGAATTTTTGACTGTGACTGATCAAACAAAAGGAGGGTTGGGGATGGTATCATGTGGGTTTTAAAACATGCCAAAATAATGACCTTGAATACATCCAGTGGCTTGACCTGGTCTGCATGGAAAATTAAACTATACTTCTGAAAGGTTCATGGGCAGCCACATGGCTAAACGGGTCTTTTTGTCTATGGCTATGGATTTTCACTGTAGCATTTCTACGTAAAAGTTTGAAGCCGTAGCCCTGAAACAGTGTATTCAGGTGTGACCAGAGGTCCTGCTTGCTGTGGACTGGTTCCATGACCAACACACGTTAAACCCATCATTGTATCATCGGGCTGATTACAGGAACGAGACTCATCCCTCCATTGCTCATTTAGTCCAAGCCCTATCCTCCATATTTTGGATTTGAATAACTTTGATTTTTTCTTCCTCTGAACTGTATTGGATAGGGTGATAGAGGCTACATTGGTCTACCAGGACATGTGGGCCAGCCAGGATTCCCAGGTCCTGAGGGCCCAATGGGCTTCAAAGGAAGCAAAGTAAGTGGAAAATATACAAATATAACATGGTTTGAGGGTGGATAGTTGATATTAGCTCCCCTAAGTGTAGACCATTATCATGTTGCGGCCATTTTGATTTTTTTCCCATTCAAATCAACGTAACCAAAGCAAAGCTGGAAGGAAAAATAGTCTGGTTCCATTTTGCACAAAAAAATAGTATCATTCAGGTCTGTTATTGGATACAAGGAACATGACTGAAAGAGTTGCAGCATGATAAAGGTCTATTGGAAGTTGTCAAGGGAACGAATTTGTCATTTTCCAATCTTCACTTCTGCGATTGGTAAACTGCAGAACTATATGGGTTGACGTGATGGGAAACCCACCAGTCAGAATTACTTTGCATGTACGGTACAATTTATAAGTGAAATACTTGATGCTACTTTTCTTCAAATAATTTGCTGGTTAATCATAAATCAGATACAGGTGTGTCATGTTGACAGTGTTAAATGTAGCATCTCAAGTACTCCCCAAAAAAGACACGATATCCCTCCCAAATTGCCATAAATTCCCCCAGAACCTGTGGGCAAGTTTACTGGCAAGTTCATGCCCTGGACTGTAACCCAGATCCCCCAGCAAAATAAACACTGAGTCACCCCGGACTCCTTGAGGACAAAATTCTCCTGCGTGCGATTACTACTCCCTTCAGATCAGCTCAGCTATGCCTCTCGGAATCTAACACCCGAAACAATTTACCGGGCCACCGAGGTTTGACCCGACCCCCAAAAGATTGGGGTGGAGTAAGGGGTTGGGGTCGTGGGGTCAAGCTAACACTAAACAGAGGCCTGTTCGGGTATTTGACAAAGTTGAAGTGCCCTGTCACTGATGAAACTTTCATGAGTGTAATTTGTCTTCTTCTTTTTTTCCCCCTTGCCTGTTTTCTTGTAGGGAGACACTGGTTCATCTGGCAGCGTTGGATCTAAGGGCTACAGAGTAAGTGGTCGTTCATTACTCCATTCATGAAGTCGAAAATCACAATTTTTTTCTCAGTGTGTAAAAAGCGTTGTCTTAGGAAAGGGAAAACTTCCACAAAGAAAAGTTGTTATGACTTTTCTATGAAGGCAGTTATCTGTAAATGATACTAGATTCCAGAACTTTCTCATGATCATAAGCCAGGGTTTCCAACCATTCTGGGAATCAGGGAAAACCTCGAAAGTGAGTTTCCATTTTTCCAGTTGGGAAAATTCAGGGAATTTGGGGGAAAAAACACAAAAATCGGGGGAAACTCAGAGTTTGACAGTGACCCAGAAGGGAAAGGATTTTCACCAGTTTGGCGTACATCTTGTGCCAAGTTGCGTCCATTGACTGACTGGAAACAGAGAGCTATAAGGGGAGAAGGGGGGCCATCCATTGTCAGCAAGTTATTATCAGTATCTTACAATGTACGTGTATTTGCGTTGCTGCAACAACCTCGCCTTCCCAGCAACCTCTTTATTAAAAGTGAAAATATGTGTAAGTGTGGAATTTTCTCCAGGAAATAACGGGGGAAATCTCAGGGAAAATTGTTGTTATAAACTATAAAGTGCTTGGAACCCTGTAGTTCTAACACTATTTTCCAGAACTCTCTTACTATTCTCAAGTTCTAACATTGTTTCTCTTGTTTTCTTTGTTCTGAGAAGTTAGAGGCACCTTGTTTCCAGAACTTTTTTTACTATTCTCAAGTTCTAACATTGTTTCTCTTGTTTTCTTTGTTCTGGGAAGTTCAGAGGCACCTGGTTTCCAGAACTTTTTTTTACTATTCTCAAGTTCTAACATTGTTTCTCTTTTATTTCTCTTTGTTCTGGGAAGTTGAGAGGCACCTTGTTTGCAGAACTTTTCTTACTATTCTCAAGTTCTAACATTGTTTCTCTCGTTGTCAATTTGCCAGGGAAGTCAAGGCATTCCTGGTTTTCCGGGCAGCCCGGGTCTGCCAGGATTACCGGGTCCGTCAGGGCCCATCGGAGAAGCCGGAACGCCGGGATGCAACGGAACAAAGGTGAGTACATCAAAGCTGTGAAGAAATCCATTCAGATCACACAAGTTTTTCCACCGTCCAACAAATTCCTGCAGGATTCTGTGAAATACCAATCAGCTTAGAGCCTGTCCCATAAGATACATTTAAAGACCCTGATTAGGACCTGTTGGAACTGAAAGGATTTGTCAAATATATTTGGAAGGTTGAGTATCTTAAACAATATTTTTCGCAAAGATTCAGGTGGGTTCCCCCTTCGAACCGTTCAACCAACTTTTAATACGCTTGTTTCAAAATGGCAGAGTTGCATTTAACGAAAATTGACCGTGCTGCGACAAATGTAATGTGCCTAACAAAGCAAGCAAAATGACAATAAACCACGAAACAAAGAAATTTATGAGAAAATTGACCACTGAAAACATTTAGCTTGGCCAATGTTCACAGAGTTTAAGATTGAGGGCGCTATTCATGATTTAGGCATTACCAGAAGAGGAGACATTTATGAAAGTCACTGCTGTAGAAATCAATGCTGCAGAAATTGACAAGCCCTATGAAGGCAACCACAGAAGTTTTGGACCGATTCGCGTGCACTTACTCCTACCACTCACACACCCTCTTGAATTCAATTGGCTGTTACATTGCCAGAGGGCATCTAACTTTAACTCAGGGTTTTAAGTGGATTTAAATGGCTATCAATTGTCTGTCCTCTTAGCCAGTAGTGGGTTGTCTTTTATTGGCTCTCTTACAATTTTTTTTCAATGGAAATTTGACTTTTTGCCCATTTCACCTGTTGTGGCCTCCATGCTCAAAATAGCTCCCTCAATGGTTTCAAAGAGAGAGTTGGGGGAGACCACTGCGAGGGACAATCGGAAGCATTACCGGCAGCGAGTGACTCTCGCGAGAAGATGCAACATGCTTCTGTAGGATTTCAATGGAAATTTGACTTAGGTATATTCACCCTTCCGATGATCAACCTAACGGTGTTTTCTCCGTGATTTCATTTCTTCCAGGGTGAGACAGGAAGTGCAGGCTTGCCAGGCACGGGACCAGCCGGACCCCAGGGTCAATCGGGTCTGATGGGATCAAAGGTAAGCGACCACATTGTAACAATAGGAGCAGACATAGCCCGATTTCATCAGACGCCAAGTTCAGGAATTTGTAGAAGCGCCGATAATAATTCGCTTAGCAAAGAGAGGATACCAGCCAAGAATGACATGCGATGTGCACTGCTTGGGACTGGTTATCAATTCATATTTTGCTTGGCGCCAAAATTTACTCAGCGTTATTTTGTTGCTTACCAGCTCAATGAAATTGGGCCCTGATCTGCTGAGCAAACAAATATTGAACATATTTAGGTACTCAGCAAGAAGAAAAATTGCACGGCTAGTATCCTGTTCTATTTATTTGCTTAAATATTTGTTCGTGTTCAGCAATTTTAAGTGCTCAGTAGTTTTATGATATTGGCTCCTATAGGCCCAATAAGCCGGCTCGGTATTTCAACTGCGCATTCGGACAATGGGTCATTCAGGATAATCATACGCTCATTGAGGGCGCATGAACGCGCAGGGACCGCGTGTCAATTACGGGCAGAATGGGTGTTCACGTAACAATGCGTAACATCACGTCATGGATTTGATCCCGAATGACATTTTGACCTAGACTGTCGTATTCAAGGAGCTATAGAGCCCAGAAGTTTGTTCGACATGAAAAACATTTGCTGTAAATGGCAGATACATTTTACAGCCAAATTGTTACGCAGTGCATATTAGGACCTTCATGTTGGTAAAACAGACCAATTAGTTTTCTATAAGTATAAGAGTAACTCTACCGGAGCACTGTGTGAAAAATCTCTTTTGTGAGTTTTGTTAGGTTCTGAAAGTAATCAGGGGAATCTCGACATTTCGGAAAGTACATATATGCTCTGCCCGTCCTCAAGAGACTGAGGGATTGCAACGGTGATAAGGGCAGTTATGTTTTTCATCGGTCTGCCCCCCCCCCCAAAAAAAATTGTGTTGCAGTATCTTATCAGAAATGGTGATGTTTTTATTTGATTTTAAGCAGGGATGTAGTCAAGTCCATCACAAGTTCTTGCAAGTCCCTGCAAGTCCATCACAAGTCCTCCAGTCCCAATTCAACTCCCAAGCTATTCAAATGAGCTTTGACAAAGGCATTCCTTTGTTATTGTTTCTCAACTGTTTCTTGTGAACGGACTTGTGAACGGACTTGTGAACGGACTTGTGAACGGACTTGTGATGTACTTGTCACTGGACTTGTGATGGACTCGACTTCTCCCCTGGTAATAAGTGCCGACCTCACGTCCGGAGCATCCTTAGTCTGAAGTCCTATTGACAGACGGAGATGTTTAGTCAAGTTAGGTCAAAATGGAAAGGAAGCGGATTCAGACACCGTGACATCTAGCCCAGCTAAAGGTCTCTGATGATGGACAAAGAGCTAGCCTCAAATTCCAAAATGTGAAGAAAAAAAAGAATGATCAAAAACGTCAGAGGGCCTTACGTTTTGATCCTAGCAGACTCAAATGCAAAAGAAACCCACAAAATTTAAAACAATTTTGCAATCTTTTCCCCTGAATTTTTGTGATGGACACAATTTTACCTTGACATCCAAATGCCTAACAGGCATTGCATTTGAAATTCTAGTTCCAAATTTTCATTCTCTGTTGTAAATGTCGAAGGGGCTTGTAGATTGATTGGGACGGTGGCTGCAAAAATCTACTTTTCAATGTCGGCGTTGTCTGTTTAACCGTGAAATATCAGGAAATTGCACAGAGTCGCAGAAAGACAAACCTTCACACTAAATTAGACGTTATCAATGAAAAAGATAAGATCATAATGTGGCGTAAAATAAAGTACAGTTCATCAGCACGGCACGGCATAGCATGGCATGACCTATTGTCTGCAACGGTCCCAGGCCTTCAAGCGTCTAGGCCAAGCTCTCGCTGTTTCCTCTGGGTCTAAGTGGCGGTAAATCCTTGACTTCCTGCCTAGGGAGATAAGACCTGAATGAGTAATGCTTCCCCCCAGCCTTCATCAGACCCTGACTGACCAGGGTGTTGTGTGGGGGTGGTGCTGGTGGGGTGGGAGGGGGTTGGTTAGGGGGGATGGTTGATGGAGTCACGCACCCAATCATCAAGTGTCCCTCTGGGGACTGGACGTAAACAGAAGGGTTGACAGTTATCTTTCAGTGGTCCTAGATTGTTGTCACGCTATTGGACCTGCCCATTGGGATGTTTACTTTCCTTGCCTTGATGTCCTAGAAATTGTCAGGTCTGGGGCAACTACCTCTTTTTTTATCACTAGTCAAAGTAGTGAACGTTAATTGCAACCAGTTGTGGCACATTATAACAAATGAAAAAATAGATGCTGTGCTTGGAGTTTAACAGACAAAAATGGTTCTGAACTTACATGTACATGATACATTTTTGAGAAAAGAAGCTGAAAGTTGTACAAATGACATGCCAACGTTGTCGTCAACTCTAGAACACTACTTGCATTCAATGATAGTACATCTAAGCCCTTCATGAACAAGGCAATTTACTAAGGTCATCTCCACATCCACTCCATGCGAGTCACACGGTCAAAAGTTGGTGTGATATTCTTGAGTGAATTTTACCGACTCAACATGAACCAGAACCGGAGTGTTTTTTTTTATTTTTGGGTAACACTGATGGTTAGACATTTTGTGGCCAAAAAGTTGGATTGTGCACAAATCAGAAACAAAGATAGTGTGTTCATTGTTTAATAGTCTCCTACTGTTTCTTCAATTAAAAAAAAAAAATCACAAGGAACAAATTAGGATTATTGGCAAGAGGGGCAGAAAGTTTTGGCCAAATTAGACAAAACATTTTAGTCCACAACGACCTATCATTCTAATCCGCCTGTCCATTTACAATCCAGTTTCACTCCGAGATTCTCATTTTAAATCTGTATCCTGAATTAACCCGTCCGCTATGTAATAATCCTTCTCACTGGGACACCTGCCTTCCCGGCATGACCTGACCTGGCCTGAGCCACGGTCTGAGTCGGTCGGTCCAGACATCTGGCCTCACATACATACATGTATTGCAAGAAACACCTGTCGAGAATCCCAGCGTGATATATCCTTCATATACTCCCAGTCATATATTTATGACTCTGGGGGTTTATTTCCAACAGGTGTGATGACTGCAGCATGACTGAGGATTCTATATTATTTATTCTGTTCTAGTTTCCTGTGTATTAGTTAATTAAGACGACTCATTAACTTCCTTTCTACAAGTAGCACATCGGGTCATGGAGTTCGCTATGTAGTTTGCAACAAATTCAGTCCAGCAAAATATATGGAGTAAATGTTACATAGAAACAATATGTTCTGTTCACATTCTTGAACTGTCTGGGTTTTTTTGTCAATTGCACGCCAAAATAAGCAAGGTTTCCCACTGAAAAGAATACCATTTTTAAAAAAATACAAACCACACGTTGAATTTTAAATCTGTTCGGATATTTTGTACAATTTGTTTTATTTTTGCAATAAATATACCAGCAAATTTTGAATCAGTTGTCTTTTGTGCTTAACCCGTCCTTTTGTCATCCGTAATAAAAATGTACATGTGTATTCTCATCTTTTTCCCCACCTCTTTTTCAGGGTGAACCAGGTGAGCCTGCAGTGAATTTACCTGGGAACAAGGGTGACCGTGGAACCTCCGGACAGCCTGGCACACCGGTCAGTATACAACAAAATAGATCCCTTCAATAAAAACCTGTCAACCAGTCAGATATTACAATTGCCATTTACTAGTGTCAGTTCCACGAATAAAACATTCAGAAAAAAATTGTCAAAGATAATATTAAAGAAAAGTTTAGGTGCGCAAAATGAACATCTGGTACACACCTGTTCTTTCCACAGAGCACATTTATATTTCTTCTGGTTTATAAAAGTGACAAAATCCTTATGAATTCAAATTTTGACTCAGATTTGAGAGGTTAATAAAATCCCTATATGCCTGCAAAAGTTATCAAAGGTCAAGAGTTCAAATGAAGCAATTCCTTCATCATAATTTTCTGAGGTTAAATTTTCTCCTTCCAGAAAGATCCTAACTTTGTAGTCTTCGTATAAACCAAAATCGTCTCCTCCCCCCCCCCCCATGCTCCATTAATCTGAAACCTCGGCCTTCTGTTCAGTTTCACTTTCTAGAAAACAAAATCCCTGCCCGAGTGTTTTTGTTTGTCCTCTGAACAGTTAAACACCGTAAATCATTATGACATTTAAGGGTGCTCAGGAGGGATTATGCTTGGCACCTCTGTCGGGCCCACGGGGCACATAAAAAAATCTGGAAGAAAAAATACACCACAAGTTTTGGGTTCGCTGGTAGTTGATTTATGTAACAACCTGATGAAACAGATCAAACTACATGCAAAAAAAGATGTAGAGTCTGGTATCCATAAGTTATTGGAAGTGTTTCTATTGGTTTAATAAGATGACTTTAAAGTGTACCGTATATACGACATTTCCTTTTTCTGTAATTTTAAGAAATGGATGAATTTGGGGGTTAGTATTTTATGGCAAATAATGTTACACTGACCTTTTTAAAGTTTTGTGTTCTGAGATGCTGGAAAAACCAAGAAAAACAAATTGTGTTCTTGTAGTCTGGTTCCCTGACCCCACTTCAGATGAAATGGATCAATTTATAGACGGCAGGGAATTGTAAGGTCAGGGAACCAGTCTAGCTGGCTTGTACCCTTTCACAGATGTGTAACCGATTGCAAACAAAATGCGGACTAACTGGCTTTTACCAAATTTAGTTAGTCCGCATTTTGTTGGGGGATAGTATTTGGAAAAAGCCAGTTTTTTCTGACGATGGTTGGCAGACCATCATTGGAAATTGATACAAAAATTCCACCTTTCTTGAAAATATCAGCACACCAGTAAGGCACACCAGGTGCCATGATTTTACAGGGTGCTTTAGACTGTCAGTAAGGTATTTCATAATAATTTGGTAGTTTTGTTTTTTGATGTTTGCAAATGTTGTATATTGCCTTTAATGACTTCATGTCCTTTTCAAAAGCCCTGTCCGCACTGGACTTTTTTTGGTCAAACTAACCGAGACTATGGGTACTTTTCCCATTTTAAGTCCAGTGCGGACAGCCTAGGACGTTTTCCTCTCGGTTACTTTTCCTGAGTCCAGCGGTTACTTTTACTGGCCAACTGCTGCCCAGGAAAACTTCCCACGCGCCCAGGAAAACTGACCAGGTCACTTTTCCCGAGACGATAAGTCCAGTGCGGACAGTGCGAGTCGGTAAAAGCGGCTCAGGAAAGCGTACATCCGGCCCGAGCGCCCTGTTATGCATACAGAGACCGCACGAACCTGCACGTGCAGTGGCCGAACATTTTGTAGAAACACGCTACGGTGTATCATCAAGTCCAAGCGGTAAAATCTCGTTAAAATATATATTTCAACGGACAAAATACATACACAGAGAAGAGAGATCACGTTCTGAGAATTAATTTGCGGAAACTCTCCTTCTCCACCGATGTATGTTATTTTCTACGATCCAAATTCGTCCTGATACACAACTGTAGTCATGCACGGAACATCATGGTCCGGTACCGTACGTAGGCCGTAGTCACTGGTTCCTGGCCCACATTATAGCTTCGATTATGTAAGCATGCGATGGGAACCAACGAATACTGATGGCACTGCTACCGCACGGAACATCGTACAGCGGCATGGCTTCGACGACATGCATCACAAATGCGTCAGAAATATAGGCCTTTTCGTCAAGATTTAGCTTGTCAAGATGAAATAATATCGTGTAAACGATTATGTTGTGTATTACTGTGCGTATCGGCGGCTGAAACGGCAATTTGTTTTCTGTGTACGGTGAGTCATTATACTGACACTGTGACAGCTCGGTTACTTCTCCCACGCGATCTGGGTAAAATTTCCCGTGTCGAAAGTCCAAGTGCGGACAGTGGTCACATTTGACCATTTTTCATTTTACCATTGTCTCGGTAAAACCTTCCAAAAAAAAAAGTCCAGTGCGGACACGGCTAAAGAAAAAAACTTTGGCGATGAAAACGTAATTGCCTTTATTTTATGGCAATTACTTTTTTTAAAAATGCAAATGGCAATGACAGGTACATTTTAAAAAAAAAAGCTGAGTAAAAAAAAAAATTGGCAACTGTCTTTAAACTTCGCCATTTTGTTCTGACTTTGTGAAAAGCTGTTTAATAGGCCTTACCGTTCAGTTGCCATGTTCCTTGATTCAAAAGCTGCTTTAGTCTGGTTGGCTGTAACACTCACTCCTGAGTTCTCTGAGAAGTCAAGGCTAACAACGATTAATATGAAATCCGTTTAAAGGTTCACCTAACGCTTAATAACCTTGTGTCAAGACATAATTGTTATAAATTTGTTCTCTTAGTCATTTCTCAGGATTAGATCTAACCTTCAAACCCTCCGGCCGTAATTGCTTTAGAGGACAGGAGAATTATTATCCTGCAGTGAACAGTTCTCACCCTTTCAAGTTTCATTTCCTTTCACCTCTTTATTATCTGTTTCACCTCCAGGGAGAGGTTTAGACTAAATCATTTTTACTCAAGGCTCAAAGAGTTGTGATATGTTGGACAACTTTAAGGTCGTAATAATTATAAGCTGGCAATTGTCACGTTTCTTACTCAGCCTTTCAAGCTGGTCATGGGCCATAAGACAAGACATTGCATTATCATTGAAATGTTTTTGTATATTGTTGATTTGTGGTCTTTTTAAACTCTTGTTGCCTTTGCAGGGTTCCTCGGGCGTTCCAGGTTACGATGGACAAAAAGGAGACCGTGGACCTCAGGGAATGACAGTAAGTAGACCTTTTCTTGTAATCTGATTTAGTTTTAATATTAAAAGTGAGGACAATACAACCTGAGGACCTCAAGGTCCTACCATTGAAATACATGGAAGATTATTTATGCATCGCAGTTCAGTTTTGCTTTAGGAATAGAGAGGACCTCAGAATCTCAGGACCTAATATGGTCCATGGTCCACCATTTGAGTAAGCACATGAATTAAAAATATCCTGATTGGTTTTGATTTTTAGGGAGAGTGAGGACCGTTGGATCTGAGGACCTCAAGGTCCACCCTTCGAGTCAGTAAATGAACTTTCATTGTCCTCATACTTTGGTGCTGATTTTAGGGAGAGTGAGGATCTGAGGACCTCACTGTTGAGTCATTAAATGAACCTCAAATGTCCTCATACTTTGGTGTTGTTTGTAGGAAGAGTGAGAACCTCAGGACCTCAAAGTCCAATCATTGAGTCACTAAAGAACTCTCAATGTCCACATACTGCTGTGTTGTTTGTAGAGAGAGTGAGGACCTCAAGGTCCACCCTTTGAGTCGCTAATGAACTTTCAATGTCCTCATACTTTGGTATTGTTTGTAGGGAGAGTGAGGACCTTAAAGGTTCACTTTTTGAGTCGTTAATGAATTTTCAAGGTCCTCATACTTTGGTATTGATTGTAGGGAGAGTGAGGGCCTCGGGACCTCAGAACTTCAGGACCTCAGATTTTCTAAATGAATTATAAATGTCCTCATTTGTTTGTAGGGAGAGCGAGGACCTCCAGGACCCCAGGGACCTCAAGGTACACCTGGTGTGGGTTTCTTTGGAGAGAAGGGAGATGTGGTAAGTACAGAAAGATTTGTGCAGAGCTAGTTTCATAAATTGTATAAAACAAAAAAGAATGATATATTTGAAATAAATCTGTAAAAATGTTAAATCAAACCCTTTCTTGTAAGTTTCTGCAATAGTGATAGACTGGAAAGCGAATATTGTTCATAATGAACCTCTTGGCAAAATGATAAAATATCTTCCATGACAAATCATCATCCAAGAAATTGTGACATAAATACCTAATGTATACCATAATGTACCTCACAAAACTCTGTTCAACCTCGTAAAACCTCAACATAAACCTCAAGCGACCTTCTGTTAAATTTTGCATTCTTTCCTTAGGGTCTCAAGTGTGACACTTTTCCTGTCCCCTTTACTTCTGAACTTTGTAATTTGCCATTTAGGTATCGTTCAGAATAACTGCAAACGTTTTTTTCCTATTTGTATTGGGTAGGTAATTTGCTATTTGTAATCAATCTCAGAGGACGACGTGCATCTATAATTATGCAATCATACCGGTAGATGTCTGATGTAACAGGGACAGGAAAAAGCAGTGGGCCCAAAATTGATAGAGTGACCCAGAAATTGTACACGTGCATTGCCTTGGTGCTAAAGAAAAGAGTGCGAACATGAGATGTCTATGAAGCGTTGCCTTGTTTTCTCCAGGGTGATACAGGTCCTCAAGGTCCTCCAGGGGAACCCTGCGAAGATGGAACTCCCTCGACAGGACCCGGCACCGGGGAAATCCTACCAGGAGAGAAGGGCGACAGAGGCTACCCGGTGAGTTGACTTCTCTTGCCCTTGTGATTCTCATTTAATAGTCCTTATCACACTGTTCTTAACCCTTTCTTTACCACATTGTGTATTGACTTGGCTCTTCTCAGGACCAACTTGTTTGCTCAGTCATGTGGAAAACACCAGAGAGCGTGAAAAATGGAGCACAAGTTGAAAACTCATCTTTTAATTAATTTTTTTTGTTTTGTTTTTTGACAGGGTCCCCGTGGAGAGAAAGGAATGAAGGGAACAAAAGGTTACCTCGGTAATCCGGTAAGTGAGGATTCTTCCAATTTCTAATTCGGAGGAATTTCAAAATAGTGAGGCGTTCTTGAAAAATAAGACATGGTAATGGTCTATTGATTTGATGTGTTTTTTTTTAATTTGGTTGGGATTTCTTTTCTTTTTGATTGCAGGGTCTTCTTGGTGACGATGGTATGAAGGGACCCAAGGGCGAGCCAGGACCTACTGGAAGGATTGTAAGTACATTTCCCTTATTGGTTTGAACTCTTTTGACAAATTTATCGTCCGATCGTATGAAGTACCACGTAACCATCCGGTTTCCCTGTGATTGCCACCATTGCAGTAGGCAAGCGTTTGGTTAGCAGTTACGTCGTGCATTGTAAACTCGACAGTAGGGCTTATTAATCTTGATCAAATAGCATAATTGTCACAATCTGTGCCACGTACGGTTGTCATAATCATGCTGACCCAACATTTACATATTATCTGAATCATTTACATTGTATTTATCTTTGTGGATTTATTTGGAGAATAGTATTTGACAGGTTTTTAATTTTTTTTGTTAAAATTTCTCTTACAGGGCAAACGTGGTAAAGACGGAGCCCCAGGCCAGCCAGGCTACAAAGGCGATCGAGGACCCAATGGTGTACCTGGGGCTGAAGGTTACAACGGCCCACAGGTGAAAAAAAAAAACCCGTCACATGTTATGTATGAAAAGCACCCTCTATTGCCAGACTATGGCAGGCAAGCAGTCAATGAGTAGGGAGACACAAAATTCAGACCGAAGCAATCTTGACAATCCTGTAGCCCCAAAATAATAAATACGCCATTGATTCCTGAGTTTGCATTATTTCTTTTAGATTTATCTTCAACAGTAATGAACATTTTGAAATAAACGACACACCGGGCAAATAAAGGGGAATATCATACGACGCTATTTTAATTTTCTTCACCAGTATTTAATTCAGTTGATTTAATGTTAAACAGTGTATTAATCTGAGATGTAATATTTTGAAGATAGCTTTTAGAAAAAAGAAATTTTATACCACACTTCCCCCCCCCCCCAAAAAAAAAACCCCAGGAAATGTATTTTTTGTGTTTTTATTTCAGGGTCCAAAAGGAGATAAAGGTGACACAGGACGTCGGGGACTACAGGGACCACCGGTAAGTGATTGTGATTGAAAAGAAGAAAAAAACAATGGCACAAGCTTTAAAAAACAGTGGAAGCGGGCATGTTTTAAGGAAAGTGGGGGTAGTCTTCAAAATCGTTTCTTGTGTGTAGCTGAGTGGAAAAATTGGTCTTCCAAATGCTTTTGAGTTGGTTTCATTATGATCTTTTGTTCGAAAGATACAGCAATCGCAATACAGGACTTGAAAAACCACTTGGGCCACTCATTTGTTTATCAAGCTCACATATCGAAGCTGGTAGAATAAGTCACACATTACTCTTGAACTAAGGTAATGCTTTGTGTGTTTCTCTAACTGCTATTTCTCACTTTCAAGGAAAGTGGCCCGAGACTGTTTTCAATCCTTGAGTTCGATGAAGCATAACGTTTGTTCCAATGCATCGATTTGAATGAAATAAAGTTTGTATGGTGGATTGGTTATCTGACTTTAAGAGGTAATTGGAAAATATTCCAAAACCCTTATGCAGTATACCTATATTAATTGGTTTTCAACTGTGAGGTTTTTGTGGGACAACCTGTGCAGTGCATAAAGGACTTGTGCATATTAGTTCCGAAACATTAACCTTGCGCAGAGTGACCTGCTGCCCTTTTGGGCCCCAGGTAACCAATTTTTTTTAAACTTTGCATCCAGGGCTACACCCAGGCCGTGTCAACAAACTTTCGACCAGGCCTCCTGCCAAGTCTCATTGAAACATCAACAAAGACCTGTAACTTGACACAGTCATCTCCCTTCATAACTGCATACCACAGCCGCCAGTCAATTATCTTTCCAGCGCACTGTCTGGCAACTGTCTGGACACTGTCCGGCACGTGGCTTTTTGTTGTAATGCTATGAATAGGGTCTTGCATAGTGCGGGAAAGTACCTGCTGCCCAAAGGGCAGCAATTGACGAGTTGTTGCAAAGTTTTTTTGTAAACGCTGCGCAGGGTTTTAACCACCATCGTGTGTTTGAAATTGAAGGGAGCTCCTGCCGATTCTACAGGGGAAGGAGCCCCAGGACCCATGGGCCCACAGGGACGTGATGGACCTCCGGGCCCACCAGGACCCCCAGGAGATAAAGGAAGTCGAGGTAAGTACATGAAGACCACACAAGAAAGGCTGTATAGATGACTCCAGCCACGTGATCAGTGTACACTAACGAGGCCCCCTTTGATGGAGAAAAAGTGTCATGCAATTGCATGGGTGTTTTCACCCATTCCAAATAGACATTAAGAGTCACACCAACTTGACAACTAATTTTCATTTTTGTTTGCATATTCATTACTGGACCGAGGCCAGTCTAAAGTTGCCTTCTTTAGATGAAGGTAGCTCTCCAGCACTTAACTGGTTCGTCACTCGTTACTCAAATTCTGATGGGAGGCAGGTGGCTCTGGACAATGATGCACATACATTGGGGATAGCCTGACTGTATGATCATGGAGCTATAAAAAAAAAAAGGCTCCATGGTATGATCAAGAACAAACCATGCACTGCCGCCGTTTGTGCGAACATATTTATGGTCGTTAATTGATTGAGAAGCCATTATCTCAGTGGGGTGCTCATGAATATGAACCCGGGAGTACCAGGTTGGCGAAAGCCACATTAGACTGGGCTCGATCCAGTAATGTTCTGCTTAGTGTGAAATTAGAATGTGTCTTTCTGTTTTAAAAAGGCCAGTTAACCACTTGCCGCCGGGATTATTTTTGGCCGAAAAACACCATTTCCAAAAAAAAAACAAGAGATATTGGCCACATTTTTAAAATGAAATCTAAACATCACAAAAACTGACTCTTTGAGAGTCATATGTACAATGCTTGTACGATACTTCTCAACTTAACATAATATTTGCAACAATTCAAGGCCTGGCCACGGAGCGATATTTGCTACGATGACGGGCCGTGTACAGCTGCCAAGTTCAAGTCCAAAATACGGTGTGTACAAAGGGAACCACTGACGTGTATACACGTCCACAGCCAGAGACTTTGGGAAAGCTTGATAATTTAACCTGTCATCTATTCCTGGGAACTTACATTGCCAAATCGCGTTTACCCGTCCTCCGGCGTTAACTGGTTAATACCTAAACACGAATGCCTGTTCAACTCCTGCGAATTCGCACCGCAAAAATCTTGATGCGACGTCACAAATTCGTGTTGGCGTTCGCTTGAGCGCTGTGTGAACAGGCCTTGACATGTGGTTTTTTTTTGTTTTGGTCCTGCTTCCAATCAATTATGCAGGTTTGCAAGGTGTTGAAGGCAGGCCGGGCAACCCAGGTGCCTCGGGTCCCCAGGGCCAGCAAGGTCCACCGGGAATCGGAGAGAAGGGAGACCAAGGACCTCCAGGTAAGACTACGTCGCAACTACCGGGCTGCGGCTTGCACTTAAACATGGACCTATGGTAATGACACTGCTAGCCAAAGCCAAGTAATTTTGGACTAAGCCTACGTTTCCATATCAAGTGTTAGGCAGTCAACAGCTGCAGCCTGCCATGGACAGTTTCCTTTGCAAGGCAAGACCAATTTATTGGCCAGCGGATCTTGGCAAGCTGGTGATTGGTTCAGACATCTGTGCCGCTAAGCTGAAGGTTGTGGGTTCGAGTACCACCCGAACGAGCATGTCACTTTTTGTCGTGCAAGTTTACAAACAGCACCAAGTATAAATAAATTATTTTTAAAAGTATGTCAACAATTTCAAATGAATTTCTAGTGAATATACGCACAAACCTTGAGTTTCTTTGAGTGATTCCTGCTTTAACTTTCTCTGTAACCGTTGATGGCGTACTTGTGCACGTAGTCCATTACTTGTCTCTGGTTGCTTAGCACGTAGTAATTTTTACCGCATTTTCTGCTTCACATTTACCTGAAATAGTGCTCTGATGATTGAATATTATCTTAACCTTGCTCTTGTTTTTCCTCTTCCTTTTCCCACACGTGACCTCCAGAGTAATATCCAGTTGTTGTTCCCAAGTGCAACTTCACATTAAACGACCCGCATTTCTTTTCTTTCCACAGGTATTCCCGGACCATCGGGACCCGTAGGAGCCACCGGCGTCCCCGGACGGGAAGGTGCCAAGGGAGACCCTGGAATGACAGGCCTGTCCGTGCAGGGTCCACCGGGCATGGACGGAATCCCCGGACGTCAGGGAAACCTCGGACCGCCGGGACCCCCTGGTGATACTGGACCGCAAGGTCGGTACAACAGCGTTCACAGCCTTTCCCATTTGAAGTTTGTGGAAAGTCAACGAATGTTACACAACCCATACGTGTTATGATGCGTAACATTTGGCTGAGGCAGTCGTCTAGTTTGTATTCCTCTTTTAAGCAAATTGTGCTGTAGGCATTTTTGTTGTTCAAAGCGCCATTGTGATGCATTTGTGGCGATCAGTGGTCTTGTGCCAAACTGGAAGGCTGAAAGGGATCGGTGTCCCTAATTGCCTCCAGAGCAAGAGGCTCCTCAGATGCCAAAAACAGCCTAGGAATTGGTCAACGACAGTCCTGGTCAGTTTGTCCTGGAAATGTCACGGGATTTCAAATCAAGATTTCTGTGGGAATCTGTTTTCTGTATTGTGCGAAGCTCACATTGATACCACTGGATAGCACTGATTCTGTAATGGTATGGCATGGGTTCGAATCCCACCGCTGCCACCATGTAACAATATCATGTGTTTACTGCAACAACGACCTGTGCATGTCACTTTATTGGTGTGCTATGGCATTGAGATCCCTGTGAATAGACATACCATTACAATTCAGGATTTGTATCGCTTCATTTATCTTGTTCATCCGGCAGGACAACCCGGTATCCCAGGCAGCAGCGAGGGTAAAGTCGGTCCCCGGGGTCCCCTGGGACCTTCAGGCCCAGAAGGAGAGCCCGGGCAGACGGGGAATCCAGGACCTAGGGGCTTCCAAGGACGAACTGGTGAGTAGTCCTCCACTAAGAACCACAAACCACATGTGTCTCTAGAAACTGAGAAATGATGAATATGTTGGTAAAAATTGTTCATATTTCCACAAGTTCCCCATTCAAACATAGCCAAATAAAGTGGTTAGAGCCCCTTTAACCAGATGTGAACTATATCGGAATCCATAAACCCTGTATTACAGTTGTAATGTAATTAATTGATGGACAACAGGTGAAACCCTGTATTACAGTTGTAATGTAATTAATTGATGGACAACAGGTGAAACCCTGTGTTACAGTTGTAATGTAATTAATGGACGGACAACAGGTGAAACCCTGTGTTACAGTTTTAATGTAATTAATTGATGGACAACGGGTGAAACCCTGTGTTACAGTTGTAATGTAATTAATTGACGTACAACAGGTGAAACCCTGTGTTACAGTTGTAATGTAATTAATTGACGTACAACAGGTGAGGCAGGGGAACCCTGCGGACAGTGCCCGGCCGGCCCCAGAGGAATGAAGGGTGATCCTGGTCCCAACGGTGCCCCGGGTCGGCCTGGACCTCAAGGCTTCGACGGACCCCAAGGAACTCCTGGACAACAGGGACAAAGGGGCGACCCTGGTGTGGACGGAGAACCAGGACTAAATGTAAGCATCTCTCACCATAGCGCACTCTGTTGACCAAAGAAAAATAGTGGCAGGCAAGACACTTGTGTATAGTTTCAAGAGGTGTGAGAGGATTAAGATTGTTATTATTATAACAATTATTATTATAAGTAATTATTTCTGGTAATGAAACCAAGGATTCCTCAATAGCGCCCTAGGCACCTCACAAGCCTGAAGAAATCCATAGATAGAAGTCATTGACAAGAATCTTCGGTTTTAGAGGTGGGAGGAAAACCCCAGAAGAGTATTGTAGGGAAAACCCACGGAATCAAACAGGGACGCAAAAAACAATCCACACATTGGCCCAGGCGGGATTCAAACCCGGGTCAAAGCCATGGAAGGCGAGGAAAGAACGGCTAGTGCCAACCTGATTCCCATGTGTTTCTGAGCAAGAAACTTTTACTGCAATTGTCCCCCTGCATTCAATAAATTCTGAAAAGTTTTGCGTCCCGTGTGTGATTTACTGCAGTATTTAGAATGGATAGCATTGGGCAAATGTTGAAATATCTCCTCCTCTGGTTTTTTAAGACGAATACTTGCGATAATCAGCGAAGCAATCTTTAATATTTGTTTGAAGTGCATTATGAATAAAGATATTTGTGATTGTATCTGTCTTCTGCCCCTCCCTAGGGTCCCATCGGTCCCCCTGGACCCTTCGGTGAGAAGGGTGACACTGGCGAGCCAGGGCCCATCGTCCCAGGACCCCGAGGAGATAAGGGTGACAAGGGAGACCGTGGTTACTCAGGCAGGTTTGGTGAAAAGGGAGCGAATGGCTTACCGGGACCGCCTTGTTCCGCACCAAGCAATATATCCGCTATGCTCAAGGTAAGGGGCAGTGCCACTTGGCTGTGGCTATGGTTATGCCTATGGTTGACTTGTCTATGGTTTACTTGGCTATGGTTGACTTGCCTATGGTGGACTTGGCTATGGTTGACTTGGCTATGGTGGACTTGGCTATGGTTTACTTGGATAGGGTTGACTTGGTTATGGTTGACTTGGTTATGGTTGACTTGGCTATGGTTGACTTGGTTATGGTTGACTTGGCTATAGATGACTTTGCTATGGTTGACTTGGCTATGGTTGACTTTGCTATGGTTGACTTGGTTATGGTTGACTTGGCTATGGTGGACTTGGCTATGGTTGTCTTGGGCAACTTATAGCCTCACAACGAGAAATCTAGTAAATAATACCATTTAGTAGATTCATGCACATCCCTTTCTCATAGTACATGCAAATTTAACAAAAAATCCGTGGTCATTTGTAAAATAAGCGAGGATCAGCTAGCTAGTGTGGTAGTTGTTAATAAATGTTTCAAGTACAAAGCAAGGAAGTATGTAGTAGTGTTGCTTGCATGATCAGATCCTCCATGAGTGGATATAATAGTTGGTACTAAATTCTGATTCTGAGGTCTTGTTTTTCCTTGCTTTTCTTTTGCTTTTCCATTATTTTTTTCCATTTTTGGTCTCCATTCCACCCTCTCCCTTTATTTTCCACAATTCCCACACGGCAGGGTGAGAAGGGGGAACCTGGATTTCAGGGCGATCCCGGAGTAGCCGGGTTACCGGGCAGACAAGGAATACGGGGAGAGAGAGGTGCGTCCGTGGTCGGTAACCCAGGACCCCCAGGACCTCAAGGTGGTCGGGGAGAGGATGGGCCAAGAGGCCCGACGGGACCCAGGGGTAAGTAAACATCCGCAAAGGTCTAAATGTACAACCGTGCCTCACAATGTTTGCTGTTTCTTTTCTCAGTCTGTCGTTTATGCTCCAGACAATTAAATGATCCAGCAACTTGGGCAGTCGGCTTGGCTCAGTGGTACAGTGGAATGTCGCTACACCGAACACCGCTATACCAAACATTCAGCTATACCAAACACCATCCTTGGCTCCCGATTTTTGCGCACAAAACCAACCGAACATCCTGGGGTTACCCTCAACTTTTGCTTGAGGACCTGGTTGCTTTTCAGTAATCCTTCGTTTCATTTTCCCGGAAATCAATACTAGTAACCATTCTTATACAGACCTAGACCGACTAAACTCAGATCAAACAGGAGAAGAGCAAAAAAATTTGAATTTCATTTAGCAGTAGCCCGCTAGCCAAATGCTAGTCCAACAGCGGTGGGATAGTCAAAGTATTCCTTAAGTAGCCCGGCTGGCGAGTGAAAAATTATTGGGATACGGTAACGATGAAAGGACAGGAAGAAATAAATCATTCAATTCAGAAAGCAAACCTGTATCAATTTGTGTCTGATTGTATTAACTGTTTGGGGTTGAACTATTAGATCTGTTTATTAAAAGCACTGACAAGATTGCCTCAGGATACACATTTTACATGTATGCACATTGTTGTTTAAGAGACGTTGTTGTTCAAGTTTCTATAAAAGAAAAGCATTAGTGACAATGACCCCGGGCTAGTTAAGAGTCCGGTTTCAGTAGCCTGGCTGGCTAGTAAAAAAAAAGTGAAGGTCAAATCCTGGTAAATACCTATTTTCCATAAGTGTCCCCAGTGTCTTCATTCCATGGTTTCGTCGTCTTGTTTCTTCTCCGCATCATACAGGTGACAAAGGTGAAAACATCTTCATATCGGAGCCTGGCCAAGTAGGACCTCGGGGACCGCCCGGTCCGCCGGGACCCTTCGGTGATTTGGGTGAACGAGGCCCCCCAGGTATGACAGCATCTCAATATCCTGGAGAGTCATTTGTAAACGTATTTAACATCATTGTGGGCCTACGTATTTTAACTGTTGCCTTCAAGTATCGAAATTTCATCGGCAAACACGTTTATTTAACACTTCATGTTCATGTCTGAAAAAGGTTTGGGGAAAAGATCCCAGCGCTTGGAGAATTATTCAGCCAACAACATTTTGAAAAGTATGGGGGAAAAAAGTTTGACTTAAAAATTGATTTTTTTATGGAGCCTACATGCACATTTGTGACAACAGTGTCCTACTTAAGCGAAGTCTCTGGATTTTTCTGTAATCACATGCTTTTGTGGTGCTCAATGGTCGTGTGCCAAACTGGAAGGCTGAAAGGGAGTGGTGTCCCTTGCTCTCCAGAGCTGTGGGCTGCTAAGATGCCAAAAACAATGTAGGAATTGGTCATGGAAAGCCCTAATTTTGTCCTGGAAAAAAGTCATGGAATTTCATTCAAAGATTCAGTGCGCCCCCTGAGCATAAAAAGTTGACACCACTTCATTTGTTTTCTTTGTTTTTTGAATACAGGTGGTCCTGGAGCCAGGGGCACAAAGGGGAACCGCGGGTTCGACGGCCAAAAGGGTGAGATGGGAGACCAGGGTCCTCCCGGCATCGGCATGCCCGGAGAAAGCGGAGAGAAAGGATTCCGGGGCACTCCTGGCGATCCCGGACCGCAAGGCCTGCCGGGCTCCCAGGGGTTTCCTGGAGAGCCTGGTGACGATGGATCGCAAGGCTCCAAGGTAAATCTAGTCTGAACACAACCTCAGAATCATGGCTGATACGTTTTTTGGCCTAATGACCTTTGTTGGACATTCGCTGCATTCTGCGTGATGTGTGAACATCCTGGAGAAGTATCCAAACGAGACTACAAGAGAGGCGTAACAGTCACGGCGTCAGAAATAAGATTTCAGAATCACCGTGGGCGTTGCCCGTCCTCAGGTCAAGGTGGACTTCCAACACTGGCCTCCTTCTACAGGTGCTTGGTTGCTTAACCCCAAAATCCTGGAACCTGCTCCATATAAGTACATTGAAGGCCGGTTGATACTTCACGCATTTGCGACGTGAATTCGACGTCACAGAACACTCGTAGTAAAATATGCTGGAGTTGCAATGCGGTGAACTTTCGCAAAAATTTCGCCTTATGTCACAAATTTCGACCCAGAGTATGAAGTGGCCGTTATACCTGTCGTTATCTACACCAGAATGACCCATTTGGTTTAGTGTGGAGAATTCCAGAGGAATGAAATTGTAAAAAAAAAATGGAAAGATTAGTTAGATTGAATAAAAGTGAACCATGTGAGGTGTCCTTTGTAATTTATTTCACAAAGAAAATCAAGAGAAGTAATTTGGTACTTTTTTATTTCTGAATTGATGTGCTCAGGGCGATCCCGGCATCGCAGGCATACCCGGCATACAAGGGCCCCGGGGTCTGAAGGGGGGTACGGGACCCCCTGGTGCACCTGGGGCACGTGGATCTACGGGACAACCCGGTGGAAATGGCGAACCTGGACCAGACGGACCCAAAGGAGACAAGGGTAACCCTAAAAAAATCTTTGAAAGATCTCAGAAGGGTATTGGTTTTAATCAGAGTTATATCAATGAAAATTAGTCCACCTTTTAACACTGAAATGCACTTCCTGTGTTTCATTGATCACAGGTGACGTTGGATCTCCGGGACCGAGCGGCAGACCCGGTGAACCAGGGGCCATTGGGGACTCTATACCCGGAGCAAACGGACCCCCAGGAGAAGACGGCAGAATAGGAGAACCAGGTATGTTGAATCCTGTTATCCATTGGCAAGTCCCATCTTCAAACTCTGTCCATCTCAGAATGGGCTGGCCCCGCAGAACTTTGTAAACCAATTCCCTTCTTTCTCTTGGTGTGTCCCAGATTTACGCTCCGTCCGTTTAAGGATGGGCTGGCGAGGAGATCTCGGGTATTTCTTTCGTGTCCTTGCTCCCCAATTTCAGAATCTGCCCATTTCAGAACAGCCCAGCTAGGACTCGTAAGTGGTTCTTACAGAGCTCTTAAACTGCAATCCAGTCGTCTCCTGTTCACATCCAGGTTGGATCAAACCATCTAAATCATCTAACACTGGCGATACATAAACGATGATTCCCCTTTTTTTTATCCCCTTTTCACCCCAGGTCAAGTTGGAGAGCCAGGACCTCAGGGACCTACCGGCCCACCAGGATTTGCTGCCATCAAGGGTCAGAAGGGTGAGGCTGGACGCCCAGGTCGGCCCGGCGATCTAGGTCTACCAGGTCCGGCCGGAGAACCAGGGGAGGATGGGCCATCAGGCCTGGACGGCAGACCGGGTGAGTATCAAAGACATTCCAAGCAAGGATATAGTCAACCCATTCATTAGGTTGGGTAAAATTGTATGTGAAAAACCTCAGTTTAACCCTAATCCCTAGAATATTCTAGCTAGAAACCCTGCTAAGAGCAGCAACAGGCAACGCTTGTCAAAATTACAAGCCTTCTTAAGGTAGCAACATCCATCATGTCAAAAACCTCAACTGAGGCCAAACTGCATCAGAGTCTGTCGTCACAAAATTTGGAAACTTACTCCAGTTTTAATAACCCCAAAGATTGTAAGCTTGATTGTTAAATTATGAGAACTAATACAACATCTGCAAAATAGTTGTAACTGCAATATAATTTATTTGAATGCTCCATAACCCCATGGTCTATTACATTTGAGCAAATTCCCTGATTAATTATGCAAGACAACCGCATCTTGACCTCTAGATTTTGACCAATCAGCGGGTGCTTTCTATATCGGGTCTTTGGTCATTCACCTGCTGTTGCGTCATAGACATGGATAAAAATAATTCCCCCAGACACAGCAACAAAGGTTGTAGTCCCGCGCTCTGTTGCATTACAAAACGCTGCACTCGAATTGACCAATCACAGTTTTAGTCCTGATTTGGGAATGAAATGACGTCAGGATTTAGTAAAGTGGACTCTGATTGGCTGAGGAGCGAGATCGCATAAATCTGCATGCTTTGACATATCAGATGTTATACAGGAGACTTGGCTCCGTGGATAGCGGATGATACTCGAACTACAAAATATGCCGATATTCTTCCCTTGTTAAAATTTTTTGTTTGTTTCTCTTGCTTTGATTTGATTCAGGTGAGAAGGGAGACAGAGGATTAGCAGGTAACCCAGGCCAACTTGGACCCCCTGGAGAGCAAGGAGAGAATGGACTATCTGGTAGTAAAGGTAAGCCGACGCCCCATTGAGGCCCTCGTGTGCTGGACAAATTCACATTGGCAGGCAAAATTGTTCAGAGATACCACAGTCCTTTGCGGTCAGTGGAGAAAAGAAGAATAAAACAGATTTGTTTTTAACTTGGTTCAGGTGACAAGGGATCAATCGGACTCCCCGGCGTCAACGGCAACCCAGGTCCCCTTGGTCAGAAGGGTGATCGGGGCAAGGATGGGCTCGAAGGCTCAAAGGGTGAGAAAGGTTTCCCCGGACCGCAGGGCCAATCCGGCCTGCCTGGACAGAACGGCCAGCCTGGCGGACCAGGGCCGGCCGGAGAGGATGGACCGCCGGGGGTAGACGGACCCAAGGGTGACCGGGGGCTGCCTGGCGTGGACGGCTTGAAAGGAGACACGGGGGGACCTGGAGAACCGGGGCCTGGGGGTGTGCCTGGATTGGAAGGACGGAGAGGCCTCAAGGGTCAGATGGGTGATATGGGCGAACCAGGTAAGATGATTGGTACTTGGTAACTAAGCTAGGAATTATGGGAAACTGAGGGGGGCTTAGAAATTAGGCTAGAAGGTCAGATAGGTGATATGGGGGAACCAGGTATGATGATTGGTACTCGGCACAATGTGGGAAATTCTAGGAAACTGAGGGGCTTTGGAATGAGGCTAGAAAGCCAGATGGGTGATATTGGTGAACCAGGTAAGATTATTTGTACTCGGCGCCAGGTGAGAAATTCTAGGAAACTGAGGGGCTTCGGAATGAGTCTAGAAAGCCAGATGGGTGATATTGGTGAACCAGGTAAGATGATTGGTACTCGGCGCCAGGTGGGAAATTCTAGGAAACTGAGGGGCTTAGGAATGAGGCTAGAAAGCCAGATGGGTGATATTGGTGAACCGGGTAAGAATAATACAGAGACTGTTTGACCTTTAACCTACAGGTCAGCGGGGTGAGAAGGGCCAGATGGGTCCGGAGGGTACTACAGGCGCGCCCGGGCGAGAGGGTCTGCCGGGTATACCAGGGGCGAAAGGTCAGCCAGGCTTGCCAGGACGAGAGGGACCTTCTGGAGCTAAGGTGAGTCGTGTTCCTGGGCAAGACACTTTACTGCAGTTACACTTCCAGTAGTCTGGAGCATAAATGGGTACCTGTGAGGGCAGAGACCTGATTGTGCTGATCGGGAGCTGCTGCAGAGTTATGGTCTCATGGTCTGATGAACAGGGGTAAATAATTTTGAAGCGCGGAAACTGTTGGTTCAAAACGCTCTCAATTAACTCAAGTTTATGGTTTGGGTAATCTTCTTCGTATTCCAGTGAAGTTTTCTGTACTACTTGCACATTGTATTCACACACACAAAAATATGACAACACTTTTCTGTGCAAAAGTATGGGTTGGGGAAGAATGCGAAGTAACTCGCAGTTTGGCTTACATAAATATCCAGTATTTTCGATATTGTTGGGAGTGTGGCTAAGTGGTCAGAGTTTTGTGACATGTGATCAGTGGGTCTGGAGTTCGAATCCAGCCGCTGGCTGTGTGTTGTGTCCTTGGGCAAGCCACTTCACCGGATGGACTGACATATCCCATCCAAGGGGAGTAGAAATATTCTCAGTTGTTTCATGCTCCTGACACCGGAGATAAACGCTGGCCCGATGGGCCATGCTGGTTTGGTCAGACTTTAACCACTTCTACATCATTGTACCTACATTCTGATTATTTCAGGGAACGCCGGGTCCGACAGGCCCTGGAGGACCTCAGGGTGAGAAGGGTCACGTGATGGTCGTGCCTTGCAGCTTGGAGATGAAGGGCGCCCAAGGTCCGGCGGGTGAAAAGGGAGACGGAGGTGAGTTCTTCCAAAACGGCTGAAGCTTAACCCTAAGGTTTTACATGGTTAAACAGGGTGCCTTATACATGTAGGTCAACCTCAAGTCACCACTTGTTTAATCTTGCATGCTACCCTAAACATTTCCTTAAACCTGTCCCCATCCTGTCAACAGGCGATCCCGGACCCAACGGCCTGAATGGACTGAAGGGAGACCGTGGGCTACAGGGCTTCACTGGACCTCCGGGCCCACCTGGAGAGAACGGGGCCCAAGGTGAACTAGGACCTAAAGGACAACGTGGTGTACCCGGTGAATCAGGATCTCAGGGACCTGCTGGACCAAAGGGAGACAGCGGTAAGTCACAACGCAAAGTTGCAGTCTCATTTGGGCTCAGTACATGAACAGTGGAGGCTTTTTGACCACTTGAAAACAAGCTCGAAATGATCTCGGAGCTGCGGCTCAACTGTAGACCTGTTGTAGCCATTAAATCGTGTACTTGATGTAAAAGTCTGTTTTTATAATGCACTACTACTCACGTGGTTGTATTTTGAAATATAGGATTCGTATTTGTTGAATGTCAGTTGGTGCATGGATCGTTTTATAGCTTTATGCTTGGTGCATGTGGAACACCAATATTGTGTGCAGTATGGTGCCAGTCCCAATGTGAAGTGTTTTTAGTACAAACATCTGTTTTTTGAGTCTAGTGACCCAATTTTCCACAACTGCAATAAAGTAATCGCTGGTCAGTGGAGACCTTTGCAACTGTCACAATTCAGGGCCATGAACCCGATTCATGTGTTGTTGCGAGGGCCCGATTGATGGCCAAGAGAGGCATTTCGTGAAGTCTGTTACAAACCAACCAACCGACGGAGAGACTTGACTACTTGTAGAGCTGCTCAGTTGCAGCCAAAACTGAATCTGATTCACAGTAATTTACCGAACAATGCGAAATCAACTTTTGTTTGAATAATGTTTTTCATGCTTGGAATCTTGTTGTGTACAGGGAGAAACGGCACCCCAGGGTCACCAGGAATCATCGGTCTCCCAGGAAACCCAGGTACGTCCAACTCAACTGTCTCGTGCCATGAATTACGGAAGGCAAGATAAACTGAGAAAAGCAGAAAGAAAAATTTTTAAAAAGGAAAAATGTGTTTGGAAATCGGAAACATGATTTTAGACTGTAGATGTCATTCCGTGGGTCGACAACATTTTTGTTTATTGTTCCTACAGTATTGTACATTATTATGTATATCAGGCTTCCAGTGGCAAAAAAAAAAACCGGCGTATTTTATGCTTTCGTAAAAAGTACCCGGATGACTGCGATATTCTGTCAGTAAGAGTACCTGGATGAGGACAATATTATTTTTTTATCTTGTCCTCATCCAGGTATTTTAACAAGTTTCGCTGGTTTCTGCCCAATTAAGACTGTAGATTCTCAGAGTTGTCAACCAGTCAACAGACCTTTGACTTTCGTTAACCTTTGACCCTTTCTTGCCTCTTTCAGGCATCAAGGGTGACCTCGGCCCAATGGGCGTGCCTGGGCAGAACGGCAATCCCGGTGCGGACGGTGAACCAGGGGAGCGGGGATTCTCCGGCATTCGTGGTGAGAAGGGCACGCCGGGACGGGCCGGGGAGGCGCTGGTTGGACCCAAGGGTAGCACAGGAGTGCCGGGCCCTCAGGGTAGACAAGGTAAGTTATTGAAAGGCTCTAGGGTCCCGTAGATGGACTCATTCGGCCCCACCTTCTGCGCACGTCGGCAAATTTATGTGCGCCTTTCCAATGTGCGCCTTAATTTCCAATGAATCACTAGAACTGTAACAGACGCATGCATCACATGCATGTCAGCCATTTGTGCACGCCTTTTGTGTCGGACGTTATTTACAGCTGTTATTTACCAAAGCATCTTTGGGCAGAACCTAAAGGTTTGGGTTGTTTACTTATCCTATTTCAAAGGTCTGATTGAAAGGAAAGAAACTTAAAATTTTACCGTTCCCGAGAAAAGATGTAAAACCCTTCTACTTTCAAATTCTCTTTCCAATTAATATAAATTTATTTAAAACGTGTTTTGTTGCCCAATTAGGCGCGTTGTAGGCCTAATGTCTCTTTACTGGATCCATTTTCGGATCCATTTTCATCGAGCCGCTGAGCAAAATTGTTTGAATCTCCGTAATTTCCCCTATTTGTACGAGTCAATGTGATTGTAGTGGTACTTCGTGACTGTTGTTCACATAGTTTTTTTTTGTCATTGTCATTGTCACAAGTGTCACATTATGACTAAAGTTTTCATTGCCAGTTTCACTCCTGTTTAAAAGTCAGTGTCAATTTTTGTGTCAATTTGTGACCACTGTTCGGACGACTATTTTGTCAAAATGTCACTTCATGACCTAAGATTTTCTCCCTTTTTTAATCATTGTCATTGGTCACCTGATGTCAATTGTTTAAATCACAAATTTCTGCCATATGCCAGAGTCACTTGTCATGGTGTCACAGCATGACAATTTTTTCAACTGCTAACCCCCCCCTCACTCTCTCAGGTCCCCCTGGTAGTGACGGAGCCCCAGGGGAAGACGGTAGACAGGGAGCGCTGGGAATGAAGGGAGAGCGAGGTGAAACCGGCCCACGAGGACCCACCCCGGTACCCATACCAGGACCTCAAGGCCCACCGGTAAGTCTCGCACTGGTCCTAAGAGTTCTAGTCAAGTCCTTAAGGGGAAACGTGGCCTAGCGGTTAGGGTTAATTCATGATTCATAATCTTCTTGCGTGTGAAACCAAAAAAAATCAAGAAAGTAGTTAGATCTCTGGGTGCTTGCTGAGAAGCCACTCTCGAGTTGCTGCATCTGCATCAACATCGATCAGGCCATGGTACTCGTTTGGAGGATGATAGAGGGGGCACTCGGAGATGATGTGGTCAGCAGTCTGCGGCTCCGCTCGACATTCGCAAGCTGGGCTCTGGGATAGGCCCCACCTCCACATGTCTGCATTGAACGCCCGACTCCGGTGCGAAGCCTGTTGAGTTTAACCCACGCCTGTCGTGGGAGATCAGATCCTGGGCAACTTCTGGATGGTACAGGATCATGATCATGATGTCATAAGTCAGTCAGGTGGTTGCTTTGACCCTACAACTGCAAGGGTACGCTCAGCTGGAAGCAATTTCACGATCTACTACCAGTTCTGACCAACAAGAGGATCTCCCTACAAGTCGGGGGTTATGTCTATAATGCCCGTGTGCATAGTATTCTCTTGCATGCAAGTGAAACCTGGCCAGTAACTGCTGATGACCCCTACCGCCTTAGTGGATTTCCTCAAAAGTGTGGCGTTTGACACAAATAACACAAGATCATGCAGCTAGTATGATTAAAAAAAAAACATCGTGGGTGAATATTGATTCAAGAAAATGGAATTTAGTACATTGGGTAGATGATGACATATTCTAATTTTCAGTATATTCGACAAGGCCCTAATTAAGTCCTGACGTCTGTTTCTTTTCCATCCATGTTTAGGGAGATACCGGCCCAATTGGCCAAACAGGTGCCAAGGGCGACACCGGCCCGACAGGTGCGCAGGGTCTGCCAGGCAGGCCTGGCGGTAGAGGCACGCCAGGAACTAACGGTGAGGATGGTGGGTCAGGAGAGAAGGGAGGTGACGGTTTGCGTGGACAAAAAGGAGAACCAGGTAAGGAACCAATGTCGTAAGCCGAACAAAAATGGCGCTTAGCTGTTGTCTGGAGTTTAATGGAGGTGCTAAGGGCCCATCTCAATTCATATCTGGGATCAGATCCCTGCAAGTTGCCGTGCGAAAGAGCTCTGCATTTTTCCTGGACATTTACAGGAAAGTTGTTCAGAATCCTGCAGCTTATACCCAGTAAAATGTCCGATACATTGAATGAGATTCCTGTAGGAAACCTGTTTGGTTTTGCTCAGGAAATTATTTACCGTGGTAAGCAGGGTGTTGTTCTGAACCCACTGTCATAAGCAGAGAAATGTTACTTAGATAGTTACGTTTCTCATACCATTTCATTCCGTTCCCTAAAGCCGAGCCTGTCAACATGGCCTTGATGAAGGGAACGAAGGGTGACATCGGACCCCAAGGCCCACGAGGCTCAGACGGAGTGCCGGGACAGGACGGAGACCGCGGGGCCAACGGTCCCAGAGGTCCCAAGGGCGACAAGGGTGACGAAGGACCCAGCGGTAACCCTGGATTCAACGGCAGACCTGGAGCAGAGGGACCCAAAGGGAACAAAGGTATGTGATCTGCTCGGGGACCGAGGGCGTCAAAAGTGGGTGGGGGGGGGGAACATACCTTGATCAGAATTAATGGAGTGTGAAGCCTTAACGGGCTGGGGTTCGGGCCCGCCTAAGGGCCCTACAAAATGTTGGATTCTAGACGCTCTGTGGTGCAATCTGAGGCAATTTCTGACCACTTTAACCAATTTTTTTTTAGCAAAAGATTACCATGTAAACATCATTTTTAATTTGGTTTGTAAAGAGCAAGGTTTCACGTGATTTTGAAACCACTGGTAAAGCCAAAGAAACAAAATCGTCATTTTTCGACACCCTTTAAAGTTTTCGTTTGAAGTTTTTTAATGATACTTGAATGGCAAATTACAAAGTACCATGGTAACAGGGACAGGACAAATGTCACACTTTGGACCCTAAATTTATAGAATGATTAATAATGGTTTGATTCAAACAGTGTGCTTTACCCATAGTCAAGGCTGCTTAATGATTTATCAGCCTGACCAGCAGGGATATCGAACAATATGACACATGTGTTAATGTGCCATTTCGATCACATTCCAGGTTTCCCCGGTTCTGCTGGACCACAAGGTTTCCCCGGCGAGCCCGGCCTGAACGGCCTGCCGGGACCTCAGGTCCTGACGGGTTACTTCATCACCAGGCACAGCCAGACCTCGCAGGTCCCCGCCTGTCCGTTCGGAACCAACCTCATGTGGGAAGGTTACAGTTTGCTGTACGTACAAGGCAACGAGAGAGCACATGGCCAGGACTTAGGTAAGCTGGGGGGAAACAACCCAAACCAGTTCCTCAAGGATACAGTCGGAATGTCTATTTTGTGTCATACAAGTTAAAGGATTACTTTATGGCACCCGGTCAGTTTCAATTCGTGGTTTATTTGAAAAATTTGTAATAAAAGCTGTATCCTATCTTGAGTGATCCCCGTTTGCTTTTTCCCAGGTTTGCATCATTGCTTATGTTGCTAGCATCGTGACTTTGGGCACGATCCCTGGCTGCAGGGCATATATGGGTTAGGGGTCTGATTACAAACCATTGACAAAGACATTGACAAAATGGGGAACCACCAACATAGGGCTGGATAGCTCAGTTGGTTGAGCACCGGAACGGCAATCTGGAGGTCTAAGGTTCAAAGCCTTCTCCAGTTGATTTAAGATAACATTCAAATTCCACAGACATGGAGTTAACTCCAAATCCAATCGCAACTTTTAAAAAATTTCAGGAAGTGCCGGCAGTTGTCTGCGCCGATTCAGCACGATGCCCTTCATGTTCTGTAACATCAACAACATCTGCCACGTAGCCTCGCGCAACGACTACTCCTACTGGCTGTCCACCCCGGAGCCCATGCCCATGAATATGGCGCCGTTCGGCGGCGACGTGCTGGAGCCGTTCATCAGTCGTTGCGCGGTCTGTGAGGCGCCGGCTCACGTCATCGCCGTCCACAGTCAGTCGCTGGATATCCCCGTCTGTCCGCAAGGGTGGCGGGGCATGTGGATTGGATACAGCTTCATGATGGTGAGAGAGATTTTTCTTATCTTTCTGGCTTTCAAGTGAGACTGGGGGACATTCCGATCGCGTATCGCTTCTGTGTCCATGTGCCATTTCAGTTTAATAGGTTCAGTAAGTTCAGTCATCAATCTCAACCCAACCTGAAAGGTGGTCTGTGGAGAGAAGGCCAACGTCCAAAAAAAAAAATCCTTTCCATTATGGATATTTACGAGGTCTCTGGAGAGCTCAGCTCAGATTGTTCTAACTAACTGCATGTACATGTACACAAACTGACTGACATATGTTAGATTCATAAGACCTCATAAATATCTGTGTTTGAAACGATTGTTTTTAACGTCGGCCTTCTAGCTTGTAGTTACTACCCGTCGTACCTTCGCATTTCATTTTTCTGCTTTTATGGGAATTTGGTCAACTACTCGCGAGTACTGGAATACTCGTGAGAAATTTCTTTGCGAGTACTCGTGTGGAAAAATCCAGTGCTCGCCCAGGCCTTCTGATAATGGTTATTCATGGAAGTGTGTACCCAAATTCGCAACTCTGCATTTACGAAATGTGTGAATGTCTGAACAATAGTTTTTTCCAACTGAGGAAACAATGAAGCTTTTGTGTATTACACCTGTTTTTTACTGTTGTTATTTTCTTTTGTCGCAGCACACGGGTGCCGGTGCTGAGGGCTCAGGCCAGGCCCTATCCTCCCCCGGCTCCTGCCTGGAAGACTTCCGCTCCTCCCCCTTCATCGAATGCCACGGTGACGGCCGCTGCAACTACTACGCCACCACCTACAGCTTCTGGCTGACCACGGTGGACTCGGACGAACAGTTCAGCTCCCCGGCCTCCGAGACGCTCAAGGCCGGCGCCCTGCGCACACGCATCAGCCGATGCCAGGTCTGCATGCGCGATAATAGATAAACGCCAACGGTTTACCAGTAAGTAAGCAACTCCCATTAAGTTGATTGTATGCCATTTTAGGCGATAAATAATACGACCAGCATAAACTGCCTGATATGGATTTGTAATACCCCTTACTAGAGATCTATTTAAATTAGTCTTGTTTACACCTGTTTTTTTTGCTATTTCAGTCTGGTGACTGGATTTTTGAATCAATTTTTTTGTTATTTCTGATTGGAAAACAACTTCAATTCATAACATGATGACATTATTCCTAAAAAAGCACTTATAGAAATAGTGTTTTTACGAACACATTATGAGCACTCAACTATTTTCAAGACACTTTTATAGAAGCGGTATTTTTGCACGTTCACACACAACTATGCATTCAAACTATTTGTAGCTTTTTATTAGAAATGGTATTTTGGTAAATCAGCCCACGATATATTTTTAAAGACAGTGTATATAAAATGCATATTTGCATAAACAAACTGTTGTGATTTGAAACAACATTTTGCGACAAAGATAGTGCATGAACATTATTTAGAATGTAGTCGGGTTTTTTTTTTTTAAATTAAAATAATCCCTTGCCAATATTTTGTTTCTTTTTAAAAATAAAAATCAATCGATGCCATTAATTAATGTGAATAACTTCGAACGTCTATTTTTCACGTTGGCATAAATAATGTTTGTTTGTAGACCAGTGGAATATTATGGACAATGTAGCTATTTTGTGTTGTTTGTATTTAAAGGGAAATAATAAACCGTGTAAAGTTGCTTTTTTTATTATTTTTCTGTAGTTGATTTGGAGTTTTTTTTGTATATGCCTTTCATCACAAATCTGGTGCTCATAGGGATTTACGTATTAAAAACATTTTACATTTTAAAACAGTTTTTTTAAGTGTTAGTCTTAGGTTTGTGTAATTAAATAATAATTATAATATATAAGGGGTTTTATGTTCTGTAGATTAACTCAAAAATGCTGCAACATAACTGAACGAGTCAGTGAAATAAGTGATTTGAATGATGGTGTCTATTCGAGCTCAGATTTTTTTGCATTTCAGCCCAAAAAGTTCACTAACCATGCTTTTCGAAATGTGAACGCATTGGAGAAAAAATATAAGTTTCATGTGGTGCTTAAAATAAAACCAGTCACAGGTTTTGTAAAATTTTTCACTGATTTCACACACAAAAAGGGGCGGCGTAAAATCTGTCTTCCAACAAGTTCAAAATAAAATAAAAAAATACTACAACAGTAAAAGTTATTAAAACATTTAAGTATAGAAACAAGTTTACCATTAGAACTGTTGATTGATGGAATTTTGTCATTCTGTTTTCAGGAAGTTGGTATGTTTACTTTGTACATCTACAAAATTATCATTAGTTTTGTCTGAGTATTAGTCATGGTCAAAAACGTACATTGAAGTAATCTCTGTTTCTTTTTTTTTTAATGATAGAAGGGGGATTTTGTTAATGATAGAAGGGTAATTACAGACAAATAAAAGGAGTAAAAAAAAGTTATAGAATCTCAAAAGCAAACAATTCAATTGGCTCATTCTGGTGTACCTTACCCAGCTTTTACAAAATGTTGAAGTCCAGTGCTGGTCATAAGTATTCGGTTTTCATCTTCATCTACTAATCATGTAAAATCCTGTTATTTTTTTTTTCTCTTTGGAATAAACTGCATACAATCGTGAGAAACAATCAAAGCTTGTTTGCTTAAACTTTTCTTATGATGGTATTAAACCAAAATATGATCACACAGCGCCACCCATGCTCAACGTGCAGCGAGAGGCATTGGAGAGTTTCTTTGGAGAGGTGATTTTTTTCCCTCCCAATTTGATCAAAAATGTAAGGTTAACCCCTTGCATTTTTTTTTAAATCTGGTACAAAATCAGTCTTAAATTGTTGGATTTATTAGCCAATTGGATTTTTAAGCCAATTTTGACTAAAAATGTAAGGCCCTTACATTTTTTTCAATTTTGGCCAAAAAATGAAATTGCTGGAAAGTTGCTAGAAAGATGCCTATAGGGTCCCAGAACGCATTCGAAATCGATTGATGGACAGATGTGCTATTAAAGGGGAAATTCCGTTGAAAAATTAAGTTAAAATCGCTAAAAAAAATTACCTCTTTTTCTCTAAAAATCGATGAATTTTGCCCAAATCTTCACAATTGTGCTTGTTAGATTATTGATTGATGTTCCTCTTGCATCCAGATGAATTTCAGCGTTGTTTTGAGAAAAGTCAATTTTTGGCCAATTTTGACTAAAAATGTAAGGCTAACCCCTTACATTTTTTTCAATTTTGGCCAAAAAATGAAATTGCTTGAAAGTTGCTAGAAAGATGCCTATAGGGCCCTAGAACGCATTCCAAATCGATTGATGGACAGATGTGCTATTAAAGGGGAAATTCCATTGAAAAATTAAGGTAAAATCGCTCAAAAAATTTCCTTTTTTTCTCAAAAAATCGATGATTTTGGCCCAAATCTGCACAATTGTGCTTGTTAGAGTATTGATTGATGTTCCTCTTGCATCCAGATGAATTTCTGCGTTGTTTTGAGAAAAGTCAATTTTTGGCCAATTTTGACTAAAAATGTAAGGCTAACCCCTTACATTTTTTTCAATTTTGGCCAAAAAAGGAAATTGCTGGAAAGTTGCTAGAAAGATGCCCATAGGGCCCTAGAACGCATTCTAAATCGATTGATGGACAGATGTGCTATTAAAGGGGAAATTCCGTTGAAAAATTAAGGTAAAATCGCTAAAAAAATTACCTTTTTTTCTCTTAAAATCGATGATTTTTGCCCAAATCTTCACAATTGTGCTTGTTAGAGTATTGATTGATGTTCCTCTTGCATCCAGATGAATTTCTGCGTTGTTTTGAGAAAAGTCAATTTTTGGCCAATTTTGGCTAAAAATGTAAGGCTAACCCCTTAAACTTTTTTCAATTTTGGCCAAAAAATGAAATTGCTGGAAAGTTGCTAGAAAGATGCCTATAGGGCCATAGAACGCATTCCAAATCGATTGATGGACAGATGTGCTATTAAAGGGGAAATTCCGTTGAAAAATTAAGGTAAAATCGCTAAAAAAATTACCTTTTTTCCTCTAAAAATCGATGATTTTTTCCAAAATCTTCACAATTGTGCTTGTTAGAGTATTGATTGATGTTCCTCTTGCATCCAGATGAATTTCTGCGTTGTTTTGAGAAAAGTCAATTTTTGGCCAATTTTGACTAAAAATGTAAGGCTAACCCCTTACATTTTTTTCAATTTTGGCCAAAAAATGAAATTGCTTGAAAGTTGCTAGAAAGATGCCTATAGGGCCCTAGAACGCATTCTAAATCGATTGATGGACAGATGTGCTTTTAAAGGGGAAATTTCGTTGAAAAATTAAGGTAAAATCGCTCAAAAAATTACCTTTTTTTCTCTAAAAATCGATGATTTTTGCCCAAATCTTCAAAATTGTGCTTGTTAAAGTATTGATTGATGTTCCTCTTGCATCCAGATGAATTTCTGCGTTGTTTTGAGAAAAGTCAATTTTTGGCCAATTTTGACTAAAAATGTAAGGCTAACCCCTTACATTTTTTTCAATTTTGGCCAAAAAATGAAATTGCTGGAAAGTTGCTAGAAAGATGCCTATAGGGCCCTAGAACGCATTCTAAATCGATTGATGGACAGATGTGCTTTTAAAGGGGAAATTCCGTTGAAAAATTAAGGTAAAATCGCTCAAACAATTACCTTTTTTTCTCTTAAAATCGATGATTTTTGCCAAAATCTTCACAATTGTGCTTGTTAGAGTATTGATTGATGTTCCTCTTGCATCCAGATGAATTTCTGCGTTGTTTTGAGAAAAGTCAATTTTTGGCCAATTTTGGCTAAAAATGTAAGGCTAACCCCTTAAACTTTTTTCAATTTTGGCCAAAAAATGAAATTGCTGGAAAGTTGCTAGAAAGATGCCTATAGGGCCATAGAACGCATTCCAAATCGATTGATGGACAGATGTGCTATTAAAGGGGAAATTCCGTTGAAAAATTAAGGTAAAATCGCTAAAAAAATTACCTTTTTTTCTCTTAAAATCGATGATTTTTTCCAAAATCTTCACAATTGTGCTTGTTAGAGTATTGATTGATGTTCCTCTTGCATCCAGATGAATTTCTGCGTTGTTTTGAGAAAAGTCAATTTTTGGCCAATTTTGACTAAAAATGTAAGGCTAACCCCTTACATTTTTTTCAATTTTGGCCAAAAAATGAAATTGCTTGAAAGTTGCTAGAAAGATGCCTATAGGGCCCTAGAACGCATTCTCAATCGATTGATGGACAGATGTGCTTTTAAAGGGGAAATTCCGTTGAAAAATTAAGGTAAAATCGCTAAAAAAATTACCTTTTTTTCTCTAAAAATCGATGATTTTTGCCCAAATCTTCAAAATTGTGCTTGTTAAAGTATTGATTGATGTTCCTCTTGCATCCAGATGAATTTCTGCGTTGTTTTGAGAAAAGTCAATTTTTGGCCAATTTTGACTAAAAATGTAAGGCTAACCCCTTACATTTTTTTCAATTTTGGCCAAAAAATGAAATTGCTGGAAAGTTGCTAGAAAGATGCCTATAGGGCCCTAGAACGCATTCTAAATCGATTGATGGACAGATGTGCTTTTAAAGGGGAAATTTCGTTGAAAAATTAAGGTAAAATCACTCAAAAAATTACCTTTTTTTATCTAAAAATCGAAGATTTTGGCCCAAATCTTCAAAATTGTGCTTGTTAGAGTATTGATTGATGTTCCTCTTGCATCCAGATGAATTTCTGCGTTGTTTTGAGAAAAGTCAATTTTTGGCCAATTTTGACTAAAAATGTAAGGCTAACCCCTTACATTTTTTTCAATTTTGGCCAAAAAATGAAATTGCTTGAAAGTTGCTAGAAAGATGCCTATAGGGCCCTAGAACGCATTCCAAATCCATTGATGGACAGATGTGCTATTAATGGGAAATTCCGTTGAAAAATTAAGGTAAAATCGCTCAAAAAATTACCTTTTTTTCTCTAAAATTGATGATTTTTGCCCAAATCTTCAAAATTGTGCTTGTTAGAGTATTGATTGATGTTCCTCTTGCATCCAGATGAATTTCTGCGTTGTTTTGAGAAAAGTCAATTTTTGGCCAATTTTGACTAAAAATGTAAGGCTAACCCCTTACATTTTTTTCAATTTTGGCCAAAAAATGAAATTGCTGGAAAGTTGCTAGAAAGATGCCTTTAGGTCCCTAGAACGCATTCCAAATCGATTGATGGACAGATGTGCTATTAAAGGGGAAATTCCGTTGAAAAATGAAGGTAAAATCGCTAAAAAAATTACCTTTTTTTCTCTTAAAATCGATGATTTTTGCCCAAATCTTCACAATTGTGCTTGTTAGAGTATTGATTGATGTTCCTCTTGCATCCAGATGAATTTCTGCGTTGTTTTGAGAAAAGTCAATTTTTGGCCAATTTTGACTAAAAATGTAAGGCTAACCCCTTACATTTTTTTCAATTTTGGCCAAAAAATGAAATTGCTTGAAAGTTGCTAGAAAGATGCCTATAGGGCCCTAGAACGCATTCCAAATCCATTGATGGACAGATGTGCTATTAATGGGAAATTCCGTTGAAAAATTAAGGTAAAATCGCTCAAAAAATTACCTTTTTTTCTCTAAAATTGATGATTTTTGCCCAAATCTTCAAAATTGTGCTTGTTAGAATATTGATTGATGTTCCTCTTGCATCCAGATGAATTTCTGCGTTGTTTTGAGAAAAGTCAATTTTTGGCCAATTTTGACTAAAAATGTAAGGCTAACCCCTTACATTTTTTTCAATTTTGGCCAAAAAATGAAATTGCTGGAAAGTTGCTAGAAAGATGCCTTTAGGTCCCTAGAACGCATTCCAAATCGATTGATGGACAGATGTGCTATTAAAGGGGAAATTCCGTTGAAAAATGAAGGTAAAATCGCTCAAAAACTTACCTTTTTTTCTCTTAAAATCGATGATTTTTGCCCAAATCTTCACAATTGTGCTTGTTAGAGTATTGATTGATGTTCCTCTTGCATCCAGATGAATTTCTGCGTTGTTTTGAGAAAAGTCAATTTTTGGCCAATTTTGACTAAAAATGTAAGGCTAACCCCTTACATTTTTTTCAATTTTGGCCAAAAAATGAAATTGCTTGAAAGTTGCTAGAAAGATGCCTATAGGGCCCTAGAACGCATTCCAAATCGATTGATGGACAGATGTGCTATTAAAGGGGAAATTCCATTGAAAAATTAAGGTAAAATCGCTCAAAAAATTACCTTTTTTTCTCTAAAAATCGATGATTTTGGCCCAAATCTGCACAATTGTGCTTGTTAGAGTATTGATTGATGTTCCTCTTGCATCCAGATGAATTTCTGCGTTGTTTTGAGAAAAGTCAATTTTTGGCCAATTTTGACTAAAAATGTAAGGCTAACCCCTTACATTTTTTTCAATTTTGGCCAAAAAATGAAATTGCTGGAAAGTTGCTAGAAAGATGCCTATAGGGCCCTAGAACGCATTCTAAATCGATTGATGGACAGATGTGCTTTTAAAGGGGAAATTCCGTTGAAAAATTAAGGTAAAATCGCTCAAAAAATTACCTTTTTTCCTCTAAAATTCGATGATTTTGGCCCAAATCTTCAAAATTGTGCTTGTTAGAGTATTGATTGATGTTCCTCTTGCATCCAGATGAATTTCTGCGTTGTTTTGAGAAAAGTGAATTTTTGGCCAATTTTGACTAAAAATGTAAGGCTAACCCCTTACATTTTTTTCAATTTTGGCCAAAAAATGAAATTGCTTGAAAGTTGCTAGAAAGATGCCTATAGGGCCCTAGAACGCATTCCAAATCGATTGATGGACAGATGTGCTATTAAAGGGGAAATTCCATTGAAAAATTAAGGTAAAATCGCTCAAAAAATTACCTTTTTTCTCTAAAAATCGATGATTTTGGCCCAAATCTGCACAATTGTGCTTGTTAGAGTATTGATTGATGTTCCTCTTGCATCCAGATGAATTTCTGCGTTGTTTTGAGAAAAGTCAATTTTTGGCCAATTTTGACTAAAAATGTAAGGCTAACCCCTTACATTTTTTTCAATTTTGGCCAAAAAATGAAATTGCTGGAAAGTTGCTAGAAAGATGCCTATAGGGCCCTAGAACGCATTCTAAATCGATTGATGGACAGATGTGCTTTTAAAGGGGAAATTTCGTTGAAAAATTAAGGTAAAATCACTCAAAAAATTACCTTTTTTTATCTAAATATCGAAGATTTTGGCCCAAATCTTCAAAATTGTGCTTGTTAGAGTATTGATTGATGTTCCTCTTGCATCCAGATGAATTTCTGCGTTGTTTTGAGAAAAGTCAATTTTTGGCCAATTTTGACTAAAAATGTAAGGCTAACCCCTTACATTTTTTTCAATTTTGGCCAAAAAATGAAATTGCTGGAAAGTTGCTAGAAAGATGCCTATAGGGCCATAGAACGCATTCCAAATCGATTGATGGACAGATGTGCTATTAAACGGGAAATTCCGTCGAAAAATTAAGGTAAAATCGCTCAAAAACTTACCTTTTTTTCTCTAAAAATCGATGATTTTGGCCCAAATCTTCTAAATTGTGCTTGTTAGAGTATTGATTGATGTTCCTCTTGCATCCCGATGAATTTCTGCGTTGTTTTGAGAAAAGTCAATTTTTGGCCAATTTTGGCTAAAAATGTAAAGCTAACCCCTTACATTTTTTTCAAATTTGGCCAAAAAATGAAATTGCTTGAAAGTTGCTAGAAAGATGCCTATAGGGCCCTAGAACGCATTCTAAATCGATTGATGGACAGATGTGCTTTTAAAGGGGAAATTCCGTTGAAAAATTAAGGTAAAATCGCTCAAAAAAATTACCTTTTTTTCTCTAAAAATCGATTATTTTTTGCCCAAATCTTCAAAATTGTGCTTGTTAGAGTATTGATTGATGTTCCTCTTACATCCAGATGAATTTCTGCGTTGTTTTGAGAAAAGTCAATTTTTGGCCAATTTTGGCTAAAAATGTAAGGCTAACCCCTTACATTTTTTTCAATTTTGGCCAAAAAATGAAATTGCTTGAAAGTTGCTAGAAAGATGCCTATAGGGCCCTAGAACGCATTCCAAATCGATTGATGGACAGATGTGCTTTTAAAGGGGAAATTCCGTTGAAAAATTAAGGTAAAATCGCTCAAAAAATTACCTTTTTTTCTCTAAAAATCGATGATTTTTGCCCAAATCTTCAAAATTGTGCTTGTTAAAGTATTGATTGATGTTCCTCTTGCATCCAGATGAATTTCTGCGTTGTTTTGAGAAAAGTCAATTTTTGGCCAATTTTGACTAAAAATGTAAGGCTAACCCCTTACATTTTTTTCAATTTTGGCCAAAAAATGAAATTGCTGGAAAGTTGCTAGAAAGATGCCTATAGGGCCATAGAACGCATTCCAAATCGATTGATGGACAGATGTGCTATTAAAGGGGAAATTCCGTTGAAAAATTAAGGTAAAATCGCTAAAAAAATTACCTTTTTTTCTCTTAAAATCGAAGATTTTTGCCAAAATCTTCACAATTGTGCTTGTTAGAGTATTGATTGATGTTCCTCTTGCATCCAGATGAATTGCTGCGTTGTTTTGAGAAAAGTCAATTTTTGGCCAATTTTGACTAAAAATGTAAGGCTAACCCCTTACATTTTTTTCAATTTTGGCCAAAAAATGAAATTGCTTGAAAGTTGCTAGAAAGATGCCTATAGGGCCCTAGAACGCATTCTAAATCGATTGATGGACAGATGTGCTTTTAAAGGGGAAATTCCGTTGAAAAATTAAGGTAAAATCGCTCAAAAAATTACCTTTTTTTCTCTAAAAATCGATGATTTTTGCCCAAATCTTCAAAATTGTGCTTGTTAGAGTATTGATTGATGTTCCTCTTGCATCCAGATGAATTTCTGCGTTGTTTTGAGAAAAGTCAATTTTTGGCCAATTTTGGCTAAAAATGTAAGGCTAACCCCTTACATTTTTTTCAATTTTGGCCAAAAAATGAAATCGCTTGAAAGTTGCTAGAAAGATACCTATAGGGCCCTAGAACGCATTCCAAATCGATTGATGGACAGATGTGCTATTAAAGGGGAAATTCCGTTGAAAAATTAAGGTAAAATCGCTCAAAAACTTACCTTTTTTTCTCTAAAAATCGATGATTTTGGCCCAAATCTTCAAAATTGTGCTTGTTAGAGTATTGATTGATGTTCCTCTTGCATCCCGATGAATTTCTGCGTTGTTTTGAGAAAAGTCAATTTTTGGCCAATTTTGACTTAAAATGTAAGGCTAACCCCTTACATTTTTTTCAATTTTGGCCAAAAAATGAAATTGCTGGAAAGTTGCTATAAAGATGCCTATAGGGCCCTAGAATGCATTCCAAATCCATTGATGGACAGATGTGCTTTTAAAGGGGAAATTCCGTTGAAAAATTAAGGTAAAATCGCTCAAAAAATTACCTTTTTTTCTCTAAAAATCGATGATTTTGGCCCAAATCTTCAAAATTGTGCTTGTTAGAGTATTGATTGATGTTCCTCTTGCATCCAGATGAATTGCTGCGTTTATTTGAGAAAAGTCCATTTTTGGACAATTTTAGCTAAAAATGTAAGGCTAACCCCTTACATTTTTTTTCAAATTTGGCCAAAAAATGAAATGGCTTGAAAGTTGCTAGAAAGATGCCTATAGGGCCCTAGAACGCATTCTAAATCGATTGATGGACAGATGTGCTTTTAAAGGGGAAATTCCGTTGAAAAATTAAGGTAAAATTGCTCAAAAAATTACCTTTTTTCTCTAAAAATCGATGATTTTTGCCCAAATCTTCACAATTGTGCTTGTTAGAGTATTGATTGATGTTCCTCTTGCATCCAGATGAATTTCTGCGTTGTTTTGAGAAAAGTCAATTTTTGGCCAATTTTGACTAAAAATGTTAGGCTAACCCCTTACATTTTTTTCAATTTTGGCCAAAAAATGAAATTGCTTGAAAGTTGCTAGAAAGATGCCTATAGGGCCCTAGAACGCATTCCAAATCGATCGATGGACAGATGTGCTATTAAAGGGGAAATTCCGTTGAAAAATTAAGGTAAAATCGCTCAAAAAATTACCTTTTTTCTCTAAAAATCGATGATTTTTGCCCAAATCTTCAAAATTGTGCTTGTTAGAGTATTGATTGATGTTCCTCTTGCATCCAGATGAATTTCTGCGTTGTTTTGAGAAAAGTCAATTTTTGGCCAATTTTGACTAAAAATGTAAGGCTAATATTTAACTTATTCACCCCCCCCCCCCCACTCTCACACTTACGCTCCGCCCATCACCCATCGAAAGTTAGAAAGCACTATGTTAGTCTGGTCACCAGTCAATTGTTGATCGAGCAACCAAACGTTATCGGTAACGAAGTCATCGATTTGGCGACGGGGAACCAGACCAATGTCATATATGTTTGTAATCATGGCGTCGTTGCTGCCAACGGACGGACTTTTGCTGGATGTTAGCGCCCAAGCACCGTCTCCGTCCAAAGATTTCAACCAGTTTATGATCAACAATAAAGAGGTCAGTCTTTCGGTGTTTTATTAAAGGTGCTTTTGTCAAGATGGGACCCGAGTTTATGGCGAAACTTTGCAGGGGCTTGAACTTGAAGATGTTTCGATTTGTCAAATGTCAGTTGTTTACAAATCAAATGTACAAGGCCTACATGTTGTTCACGTATGTTACTGTTGTAAGCGAAAGAATGTAGTTTCCAGACGCCACTTCTTTGGTTGTGTACACATCCTAGAGTCGAGTGCATTTTTAAAGTATTTTCTAACAACATTGGAAACGTTTGTCAGTCCCAGATTTATGTATTTTAAACATTTTTACAATGACCATGGAGGAATCCTTTCCCCATTAGGGGGCCTATTGCAAATTTGACTGACCTTCAAATTGATGATGAAAAAAGTGGCGTCACGATACAACATTCTTTCCGGAGCCACTTTTATCAATATGTATGCTTATAACCTCAGTGATGATCGGTCAGTTAATTAATTATTGCGTAAATTTCATACACATTAATTTTTTTTCACTGAATTTGAAATAGGCCTACAGTTAAAGATTTTATAGACATTTGTAGGTTAATTAAAACAAAAAGGCCGGGAGTCATGAACATTTTGTATTTTCTTACATGAACAAAACTCAGTACTTCCTTGGTACCCAAATTGTATTTGTTGTTTGTTTATTTGGGTTTTTTTGCATAGCAATGCAGACCATCACTGACATTTTGATGAACAAATCTTTACCATCGTGAAAGTTTTTGTGGTTGCTTAAAAAAAAAAATGGTTTACATTTCTCCCTGTAGGTAGTTTGGAGGACATGGAAGATTACACTTCGTAATGACTACCGTCGACTGGCGCCAGGAGAAATGAAAGAATCTCATGAAGACTTCACATTTGATGATCGCATGCAATGTGAGGTCAAACGAAAAGTGTTCACTTTGAATTTGGAACCCTAAAACTTGTCCAGGGCGAGTCTACAGAACAGGTGTTTGTGCAGAAAACGTCTCTGACTACATATCGGGCAATTCATTTCATGCATCACCTCCAACAAATTTGACCAATCAATGGTCATTTTAAGGTCAGCTGCTAGTTACCGACCAATCAACAGGCATCATGCCATTCTCATGCAGACTGTTCACATTGAATTTACTTACACACACAAACGTGTGGTCACCGTCGATCGTGGACGTCCTATTGTCCCTCTGTTGTTTGAACTTTTTAGCAAGACTCTCCTAGGTTTTGTACACGACCCCAATCGCAGACGTACGCTGGGAATCGTGGACGATATTGTTCTGGTATTTTTCGTCCATGGTTTGAAAAGATGAACACGTACACTGTGATACGTTGAATTTGCATGCACACGTTCGATTGGATAATACTCGGTACAATCTACAACCGTTTTGCTGGTAATGTAAAAAAATCATGTCATGTCCTACAATACATTACAGTGCTAATGTTTTTATGTACACCTTTTCTTTCTCTACGTGTAGTTGACGTCGGTCGGGTATTCGGCGAGACAACACTGGAGTATGCCAAGGAGCTGTGCAAGGGAAACATCGACTACTTGGTACGGATGCCCCGCCCGCTGCTCATCTACATGGTCTCATACTTGGAGTTGGAGGACATCGCGGCGCTGTCCCAGACATGCAAGCTGATGTACGAAGTAAGGAAATGATAGAAATATTGTATTGGGAGGGTGTGGGAGGGGCATATCAGAAGAGGGAGGGGGCGTGGTAAGAGAAGGAGGGATTCAGAAGTAGAAACAAACAATCTTGTTTCCAATGATCACAAAGACAAAACAACCAATTGTTTCAGATCAGTCTGATGTGACTTTTCGTTTTGCAGATTTGCAACACTGAAGCATTATGGGAGCAGATATACGAGACGCACTGCGACACGGTGACAGACGAGATGCGATCACTGGCCCACGAGATGGGTTGGAAGCGAATGTTCTTCACCAATAAGCTTCAACTGCAGGTAAGGCCGCAAATTCATCGCCTGTGGGGAAAAAAAACACCAAAAACCCAACAGACCCATGCAATTTAAGTGCAAAGAACAAGTGTGATAGTTGGCCTACTCTCAGCATTGTTTACAAAACTGTACTGTTGCCTTGGAAACGACCTTTAGCCACTCTGATAGAGAGCTGTACTCTTGTAAAATCAGTCGTAAGTGGGAACGGTTGCTCTCGTTATAGAATTTTGTGACATAATTTGTTTCACCCTTTATTTTTGAGATGCCTTTAGATGCTTCTGTGGTTGGGGAGGTCTTAAGATCAGATCAAAATTGCTCCCTATATTTACTGGCACATTCCCCCCAAAATCTAATTTTTTTTTTCCAGGTCAAGCTGAGAAGACACCAGAAGAAGCAGGAATCGCCGGACGGTGGAACAACATTCCTGACAGACTCGTAAGTCGACAGAAGACGAAGCAGATCTCTGATTCCATCTTATAACATATTCAGGCAAAAAGATATTCCATTCTAAAACAATCAGGGATTTTATGGGCGGGCAGATACTGGGTTTTTTTGGGGGGGGGTGTGATTTTGGTGATTAGTGTGTTAGGTAAATTACTAGAGGACCAATGTTTATAGTATAGGTTACAGTAAGCATAACATTTCTGCTTACTGTAAGCTTGAAGTTTTGGGGTAAGCAATGTGTACAAAGCTTGCATACTTGTTACCATCAGGGATTCTTTGATAAGCAAGTTTGCAGAAACTACAGAATTGATGCGTTAAGGCGGAGTTAGAGGGCAGTGGTTTTATATCGCGTGGATAGGCATGCGTAAGCCTTGTGCGAGTTCATCGTAACGCCCTCTGTGATACCTGCAATGCATGTGTTCTATTTGTGAGATACTTGTAATGCATGTGTTCTACAGTGTGCCCAAGAAAAGTGTCCGCCTAAATATTTTTGAAATGTAACAAAACCACGAAGTAAATTTTGGACATTTTTAGTTGTGCAGATACTCCTAATCCTTGGCCTCTTATCAGTCTTTAAAGTATGTTTTTTGTAAGATGGGAATTTTATCCAAATAGTATTTTGGGGGAGAATTTTTAAATGGTCAGGACACCAGCTTTGCATGTAACCCTTTGGCTCTTAATAACTAAAGTTTCTTTTTCATTCATTTCATTTAAAATTAACCATTCAACTTTCTTTGTTCGGGATCGGTTTTGTCTATATTTAGTAAACTGCTTGCCAAAATGTATTCTTTTGTTTCTTGATTGAGAAGTTAGAATATAGTTGTTGAAGTTAGAATATAGTTGTTTTTGATTTTTAATCAAGGTTTTGGTTCACTTCAACGTAGTTGAAGTCATTGACTGCCAAGTAAGTTTTACATGACCCATAACATTAAAAGTTTTTGTTGTTCTCGATGAAAAAAGGTTTTCAAAAAATGCATACAAATCTTTCTAAGTCACATGATTTGTAGGATTGATTAAGGTGCTGTTTCCTGAAATAAACGGCAAACAAGTGATTTTTTAATATGTGTTATAAATACCGGGAATCACAGAGGTCTCCGTCCAGTGTTGTGATCCGTCCAAATTTACGACAATTTTGTAAGAAATCCAGATTTTTGTAATGTTTAATCAAAAAGTGTGATGTGCAACATGTTGATTTAGCTAATGCATGCCTGTAAAAAGTTTGCCGTTTTGGAAATTTGCAGTATTTTAAAATCAAAGTCCGTGCATATTTCATCTTTTAGTTTAATTTACATTATAATACTTAATCTTTTGATTTACTACACCTATTTCAGTCTGGCGTTGTCGCTTTGACGCAAATACATTTTGGTTTCAAAATTTTCACTGTGTACTGATTTTCCATTGATGAAACTCTAGAGGCATATAGAATGATTGCAACAGTCGATCTTCTGAAGTAATTCTGAACCGTTTCAAAAATTGAACTGTTCATGTACTTCATTCAGATCTGAAGAATAATTGGAAATCACAAAACGGTACGCCCTATTTCTTTGCATGTTCCACCTTTAAAATCTTGCATGAGTTAGAGGCCATGTTGAATGTGCCTTAGGTTTTTCAAGTATTATACATTGTATTGTGCAAATGTATCGTTTGAAATTTCTGAAATAAAAACTGTTTGTGATTTTATCATTCAGAAAGCCCAGTTTTGTCAATGATTTTTGTGATGTAGCGTTTTTGTCTTTTTGTGGGTTTAGTTTTTATTTAATGGATGTATTTTCGTATCGTATAATTTTTCCCTTCAAAATTTTTTTTCCTTAAAATTTTCCCATACAATTTTTTTAAAATATTAATTAAACACAACACAGTCAGACTTAAATGACAACACAGAAAGAATAAACCACAGAAAACCCTTCGTGAAGTGTTTGCTTATGCAATAAATATGTATTTCATAAATAAAGTGACAATGTACAATTTTACGAATTGAGAGGAAAAACCAAAGTAAGAAAAACTACCGTTCATAATAATCCAATCTGGAGAATGAAATGTGCAAACCTTTTTTTTAGTAATAAATCAATCGACAATCTACGATAAAAAATTTGTCAAAAAACGAGGAAATATTACGGACTCTACAAAAAATGTCATCTTCTCGTGCCAATCTACTAAAACATTTCATCTGCAGACATCCAGCCTAGCTCTCTGATTCCATTTTCTAATCACTAAGCACACAAATGGAATGATTTAAATTCTCATCGTCTTTTTCTTTGTCATCGTCTCAAATACACCGATCGACCAGTTCAACTAGAGACCGCTTAACCCTCGAAAAAAGGCAATTTATGTATAAATTCTTACGCACAAAAACATCTGAATGACATCTTTAATTATCAAAAATTGCCAACGTCTCTGCAGCTCAGCTCCGTGCGTCAACACGGAACAGAGAAAGGAAATGAAATATTACAACTTTAATACAATATTTTGACTTTAGATACACATATTTTTTCTACTGTTCTAATGTTTACCTTCAAAACATCAGAAAAATTGATTTCCTTTTTACAATATACAAATTGTTTGCCCGGCCATTTTTTGTATTTCCAATTGTTAGGCAAAAAAGAAAACAAAGAAAAAAGAAAAAACAAAATCAAGTAAATACATTTTGTGAGTATAAAAATTCCTTCCACTCATTTTGTTTTCCTGTAATTTTCTTCAAAATGTTGGTCATGAATGAATCTTTAAGATATAAACATATTTATAAATGCGTGTCACATCACGAGAACATTGTTCATGGAACATTATAATTATCAAATAAAAAAACACAGAGGGAGGGGGACCACACAACGGCAGAGCACCACACTGTTTCCCGACGACAGCAAAGCAAGAATAACCATAGTAACAAGACGATCGGAAAGGGTTATCAGCAAATCCAGAAATCAAACCAGAAAAAGAATTCACTCCTCGTTAATGACCCCCCAAAAAACCCTGATACAATCTTCAAACTGTTTTGGACTCAGACTTGATCTTTTGTGAGGAGCTCAAGATTGTGTTAAAGTAGAATAAGAACGCACCGCTTTCCCGATTACAGTTTAACAGAATGACCCTTTGCTCAACATTTTCACTTATGTTGTTACCAGAAAATGATATAATTTCTCCCCTAGTCATGATATGAACACACTGAGGTAAAACTCAAAGGTGTAAACATACATAGCTTCAAAGAACAAGACGGCTGCAGACGAGAGCACAGAGAAAATGCTGCGCATGAACATGTTTTTGTTTATACAAGCTAACTTTCCGAATCACGTGCATTCATTCTGTGCTCAATTCAAATCTTGCTTTCTGTTAAGCGAGAGTAGCTGTTAACCAGTGTAATCCAATGTAACCCCTGATCACCGTTACACTCACGAATGACGAGGCCCCCTTCAATGGAGCAAACCATTGCGCACGCTATTGTACAAAGCAACTACCTCGTGATGGATCATCTGGACAATAGCTAGCACAATGCTTTCGCCATTGAAGGGGGCCTTCGTGATGGAATTGACCACCGTGCCTGGTTTGGTAAATATTTGAACTTCATTGTTGTTTCGCAGCATCAAAACCAATTTCAGATTGAACCTTTCTGGAAAACAAATTTAAACAAACCAGTAAAAAAAGAAACAACATTTTTTGCATTCACCATTAACTTCCATTGAATTTGAATATGCGAATGTATGCTAATTGGTAATATGCAAATGTCAACCCTTGACCTTCATAGAAACAGGCTTTCCAACACTGCAAAAGAAAAAGTGTTTTATGCACAAAATGTGAAGAGATCTCTTTAGTGTAAAAAATAAGTACAGGTGTTTGCGTCTCGTTCTTTACAATGTACAATGTATGAAAAACAAAAGCTACGTTAGACTTTGCGGTTTGTACATCTTAAAAAGGTACTTAGCATTTAACAACTGATTTTTACTACAATGTTTTTCTGAAAACTGATTGACAAACTGGTTTGAGGTACGAAACCAACTACTCGGTACGAAACGATTGGTCAAAAATGTTAGGCACTCTGTGAGGAAAATGAAAAGTGACGTGGGAACTAACATCAAAGTTTGAGTTGACGACTGAATCCGAGAGTTTTCTATGCTATTACGATGTAGGCAGTGTGTACATATGTACATGTACATAGGCTTTCTAAACAGTGTGTTGTTAAAATTGAATCCCATGAAAAACTGCTTCAAATATGTGACCTATCATCAGAAAATGAGCTTAAAGTATGACTTTTTAAAAATTGAGATATTTATGTATCTGGATTCTGCAAAACACGAGCTTTCCAATGGTATATAACGTTTAGGGGTACTGAGTTCAGTAACGGAAATATAGACAACTTACGTGAAGTTGTAAAACCGATTCTTGAGAAAATGGCATTTAAAAATCTTGCAGTTGTGTTACAGCGAATGAACAGTCAACTTATGAAAATGGGATGAAATAGGTTTTAAAAACGTTTGACAGAACAAAAACAATTTGAGAAAGGTAGCGAATTTTGGCTTTAATCCACCATACTGCAAAACGAACATTTCTAACTTTAAGCTAATTTCGTGTTGACAGGTCACATACGTTTGCAGTTTGTACCGAAACAAACAAAAACCCAGTAGCTTAAAAAAAAAATGAATAAAAGTGGAAGCTTGTTTTGCAATTAACACGGTAAAAGCAAAATTTCGAAGAAGAAAAAAAAACACAACCGCATATTGTCAGCAACAATATCAAGCAAGAGCAATGCACACAAACCCTACAAAGTCAAAGCCTGCCTGAAAAACAAAACCAAACTCCACACTTCAACCAAGTGTATTGTTACAGTATGCAATCTCATGCTGTTAACACAAAGGCTGAATTTTTGCTCCCTTTTGTATTAATGGAAAGAATGTTGCAACCTGACGCTGCTTTTTCTTCATATATCATCTCAATGAAGGTCAGTCAATGCAAAAAAATGACGATAAGACATGAATCTGTGACTGAGAAATACTTCTGATTTTGTTCAGAAATACTTAGAACATTTTCTTGACTCTCCATAGACTTTGTACATAACCGCTGAAGTAGCGTCTTGTTGCAACATTATTTCCGTATTATTTCTTTTTTGGCTTAGAACGCTGTACATGTACATGAGAAATGACCCAACATTTACAGACTAATATTGCAAAAAAAAATAATCCAAGATAATAAAAAGTACAAATCAACTCATGATATCAATTCATTAAATTCATTCAAAGTTGTTTCTTCATCCGAAATACCTTGTGTTAATAGACAACCAAGGTGGTACGAACCACATTGAAGCATAGCTGTGTTTGGCATTGGAAATTCATGAAAGTGACTATGCATAGAATTGAACAAAGGCAATGAATTGTGTTTTGCATTTTTCGCTCTCCGCCATTTGAAAAAAAAAAAAATTGCTTCAAAGTCTACTAAAACTCTTGCGACGTTTGGTTATTTCAAATTTCTCCGACACAACCATTTGGGGTTTATTATCACAAATTAAAGTATTCCCTGAGATTAGTGTTTAACTCGTCAAATTAAAACAAACAAAAATAAAATAAATAAAAACAGACTACGCTACCTTTTACAAACCCTTCACGCGTGAAACAAACAATTTCAAGAAAAATTCTGCCAAAAATTCAGTATCGATTTTCAACTTTCGAAATGATAACTGGAATTTCATGCCAGTCATTCATTCCATCGGATCTTAACGGCGATCTTACAAATTCATTTTCCTCTGTGGCAATTTAATGATATGCAAATTATTCAAATACGGCATTCGTAGGCCAATTTATTCACTTGTGTATTTATTTGTTTGCAAGAGAGGTATTTCTTTTTTGTGAAAAATCAGGTCGACATAGTGGCATTTTTATGAACCACATCGCGATTTAAAGATTAAACCAATTATTTACATATTAACAACTGAATGACCAAGAAGTTATGAGGTCTCTATTAAGATAAAGTATAATGTGTAACTGATCATGTGACTGATCATGTGATTGATCATGTGATTGATCATGTGATTGATCATGTGACCGATCATGTGATTGATCCATGAAAGCTAACATACGCATACCTGATAAGTTACTGCTTAACATGCATTCATTCAAAGATTAGGGAACATTAGTAGAGTATTAGAATTCATTTTCCATCTGAACTGAATACCGTCAAACATTTTTCTCCCATTTTTCTCCCAAACAAATAATGAGACGTGATTTTCCACCAGACACAATCAAGAAACTAAAAAAGAAATAAACTTATTGACAGGTAAGTATTCCATCAGCAAATATTCAGTCCATTGGTTTTGACAATTTTTTCCCCCCTTTTTCTGATTGTTTTGGCACTGAGTTTTCTGTCATGGGCTTCGGTAATTCCCTGGAGCTCAGCACAGAAGACATCTGCTCAGCGAAAGCTGGTCACCAGCCAAAATATCACGCAATTCCTAATGCTCATGACTGGTATCCAGCAGATTAGTGTTAAAGTTAGAAGTTTTGCGAACTTTCCGCTAAGCATAAAAGGACCTGTTGTCATTTTAACAGCAGCGATTCAGGTCTTGATTGTATCCGAGAGACCGAGACTAATACGTTTTTACCACATTGGCCACAAAAAACTTGACAAAAACCATGAATGTTTCAATCCTTTTAAATGTAAACAGTAAATTAACATGAATTTTCAACCAAAAAAAGCCTATTCGACTAGACGCTCTCATACACAAAAAGGGACAACCAACGAAGGAATTTGCATAGATGTTAAGGTTCACTCCGAATAAGGACGTTTATCCATTCTTCCAGCAAGACAATTTCTTTCTTTTTTAAATGGGACGTTTAAAATCATATTTTGTAAAAAAAAAATTTATTAAGCAACTTTTCTTATTACGGAATTACCATTTTTTTTGTCAAACCGAAGTTTTAATTCTACAGTAGTTTTACTACTTTTGTGTGCTGTCCGATACATGAATGTTGGCGTCTCAAAAACTTGTAGTGGTAAATTGGTGCAGTTTTTATGACGTTAAGCTTTTTGGAACAAAATTGAACAGTGTTGTCGTGGTTGTGTGCTTAATATCAACAGATCTCAAAATAATGAAATAAAAATTCTAATTGTCGTTTCGCTGTTGGTGACAACTTTACAATACGCTTCAAGGCTAGAGAACTGGATTTCAAACTTGATAAAATGGAAAACCAAAAATCGAAAGCAAAAAATAAAATTTGTAGGTACAAAGTGAATTCCATAATTACGTGCCTTTTTGCGTTCATCACACTGTACACTCGGCCAGTGTAAAAAAAAAAAAAAAAGCTACATAAACAAATCAAGAAGAAAAACCAAAATTCACAGACGATTCCAAACTTTCACATTTGTTTCTGACAGACACTACGGGAACTTCCGATGCGAAGGTTCCTCATAGAATTTTAGTTCTACGTTATCCCTCGACGCCGGTACATCGCATGCTCAACATGATCAATGCAGCATTTCATGTTGTGGTTAAGTTTTTTCAACAGTCGGGACCCACTTACGGGGAAAAAAATTTAAATGGCCGTCCCACGAAATTGCCAGTCGGTCCACGCTTGAAGTTTCAAATTAAGTTTTAACAAGGGTTTCTTGTGTGTTCACAATCACACAACTTCTTTTTCACGAGTGGTACTCTAGATTTTACTTTTCGTACTCCGTGTTGTCTTTAAGAATCGCATCCTGGTGCTGTACAGTTCCCTACATCGTGACGATACCACAGGATGCTGGTGTTTACCGGAGTGAAGTGGACTAAATTTGGGTGACATCTGCCTTCTAGGTGCTCGTCGGGTGGAGTCATGTACAACAATACCCCTCAAGCCTCTCGGCTGAGGGGTAAAAAACAATCCTTTGTGGGCAGCAGTTACACTGGGTGTCTCAGCGAAAAAAATCACTGGTAGTCGGCAGGCGGACTCGCTGGCGTCCAGCAGTGTTTCCAAGTTTGACTGTGGGTTCCAAAGTTGTAAAAATATCCCTTCAACGCAGATGTCGTTAAAAAGTAAAGTTTCATTGAGAGTTCTGTTAGCCGTTCCAAACACTTTACAGTGACATATCAATACAGTGATATACATATCAATACAGTGATATATATATTAAGGATGTTCCACACTTTCGAAGATTCACAATCAAGCTTGATTGTCGAGTTGGAGGGTGACAACAAGGCATTTGGTTCACCAGCTGTGTTGCCATTCAAATGTTTTCTCTTTATTGAAATGAGGCGGTGATTACGGGCAAGGTTCTACATTACGTCATGGGACATGTTGGCACGTTACGCTGAACAGCACGTGGAACCTCTCCAACTTCGGACTACTGAGGGCTACTTCTCATTTCTCAGGGGCTCTGACGTCACATCCAACACTTCTTCAGTCTAACTAGAGCCATACGTTGAACTTTTTCCTCCGTGAATCCAACTGACGCTTTCAACTGTTCTTCACTTTTCATCTGGCTCTGTTTTGAGTTTGACTCGGGGTATTGGGGCATTGGGCAGTCAACTCTGCATTGCTGCTGTTTTGTTTTTTTGTTAACGTAACGGGGATTCAGTCGTGGACCATAGCTGGTACTCGGCAGCAGCTGAATGGCCGCAGACCCTCCGTCATGTGGAGCCTCGGTTCTCATCCTTCTGCGGAAAGGACGAAACAAAATTTTGAGAACCAAATCAGTATACTGTGGTTATAGTAATCTAAGCCAGGGGTATCTCGGAGCCATTTTCAGAGCTGCAAAGCAGTGCTTGTGTCCTCAGGCAAGACACTTTGCAGTAATATTCTCTCCATTTTTAAATTGTACTCTCCGCCCCCATGCAAATGAATTCCTGGGGGAACAAGGAGCCATGCGCAAAACACTACACGCAGCTGCGTAGCATCAGCATTGTGGAAATGAGATTGTTGGTGGGGTTTATATTCTTAGCAGTAACTGCTTATAACTGGATGGGTTTCTTGTTACCTCGGTATGGTTCATAAATTAGTGACCCGCTTAGTCGATTTGTTTGCGCTAAGCAGCATTGGGTGCTACACAGCTGCAGTAAATTGGCCCCAATGGTGATGGATATCATTGGAAAGCTCTTGCTGTGCTGTATCCAATAAAAATAAAATCACGGCAATTCAATGCTTAACCGACTATTTTTTTTCTGGGGGGGTGCAGGGAAGATGCTACCTACTTCCGGTACATGAAGGACGAAGGCATCGTAGACGTCCATCAGATCTTTGAGTTTGTACTGCTCCAGGACGACGAAACCCTCCAGGTTGTGGCTGGCCTTGCGGGCGCAGTCCTGACAGTGTACCTCGTACTTGCGATCCTTCTCCGTCGTGAAGAGAATGTTAAACACTTCCACCTGTAAAAGCAAACAGGAGGTCCCCGGATCAAAGCCTGTCCAGTGAATTCCTTCGTTCAACCTTAAAAGGCATATAGGATCATTTGCTTTTCATGCATTTTGTTCCGTTTCCGAACGCCACTCAAAATCCAAAAGAAGAATGTTTAAACCTAACTGTTGAAGTATCAGCTCCGTAGATATTACCAAGTATGAGATTGTCACTTTAAAAAAAATCTGAAACTTGAATGAAAGGTCCCAAAGGTCCATTTCTTTCTACATTTAGTGATAATGACTTTCTCTCAGATTCAAAAAGTCTGATTTCAGACTAAAGTCTGAACAATCTCATGCCTGGATATTGTAGTTTTAAAGAAAACAGTGAAAAACCATGCACAACCTTTTGATTACTAAATACGATTTCGTCAACCGAACTCTTTATTTCAAGAATCAGTCAATTGACTGATCGTTTGAAATCACTTTTGAAATCACTTTTGAAATCAATTTTTTCTAAATGACAGCAAGCCAGACGGAATAATTTCCCGGGCTGTTTAGTACCAGTACAATCTTTAATCCAAGTAAGTTTTTTGATAATAATTCGGTAGGTTACTTGTTGAACAAATGCAAATGATTCTATATGCCTTTAAAAAGTTATTACAATCCACCTAGTCTGTTTCCCTGTTTGGTTTATTACAACAACAAAAACAGACAAAAAGCGAACTGTTAATTATTCGGTGGAAACATGTTTATTTTCTCTTGCCGTTGTGTCATGAATCAATAGGAACGTTTCTTACGTCGCAGTTGACGCAGTAGTGCGCCGTTTCGTTTTTCGCTCTGCCGTGCCAATGTACCTCCACTCCAATGTCTTTGAGCGAGTCCAGCGTGAGTTGCGTTTGTTTCAGCGTCCGCAACAAGCAGTACCTGTCCAAACAAATTTAACAAAAAAACATTTCATTTTACAGCCGAGAGATTTACCCTGGTTCCCGTTTCATGAGAGAGAAGAAGTTCAGGTCTTTTCCAAAAATATAATTTCCATAGAATTTGAAAACAGAAACGCAAACAACTTCGTTTTATCAGGAGTTTTTGCTGCCCAAAATACTTTTCTTAGAATTTCCAAAGCTTATCTCACAAAAGCCAACGACTTCTTTAGAAATTCCACTTCTTCCAAAACAAGATGTGACTATATAAATGTCAAAAAAAAGGTTTCCAAGTTGACTTGCATTTTTCTTTCAAATCGGAAAGGTTCTTAAATTCTTTAGATTTCCTTGATTACTCTTCAAAATTTCCGTACTCCAATTCACAACATTGAAGGTCATCAGCAAATTTCTTCAAATCAGTACAAATTTTGTTTTTTAAAACTTGTTCAAGAAATTTTGTAAGAAGTAGTCCCTTACTTGATCATCTCAAAGAGTTTGGCTTCGATAATCTTGATGTGGCGAGCCATATTCCAGGAGAGGTGAATCATGGGAACGATGGACTTGTATCCCTGCAGCTTATTCCACTCGTAGCGTTCCACTGATAGCTTGTACTGGCTGCTGATCAGCGGACCCACATTCCACGCTATGTTATTGCACCAACCCTGAACATGAGCAAAACAATCAACAGAAATCAGTGGAATTTAGTTGATGTGTAAGATCAAATTGGGTTCAGCTTTCAAATGATAGTTTGTACTGGCTGCTGATCAGCGGACCCACATTCCACACTATGTTATTGCACCAACCCTGAACATGAGCAAAATAATCAACACAGAAATCAGTGCAATTTAGTTGATGTGTAAGACCAAATTGGGTTCAGCTTTCAACTGATAGCTTGTATTGGCTGTTGATCAGCGGACCCACATTCCACACTATGTTATTGCACCAACCCTGAACATGAGCAAAATAATCAACAGAAATCAGTGGAATTTAGTTGACGTGCAAGACCAAATTGGGTTCAGCTTTCAACTGATAGCTTGTACTGGCTGTTGATCAGCGGACCCACATTCCATGTACATGTACAACGCTTCAAATATAAAACAGAGTTCGAATATGACTCTTCAACTGTTTCATGCACAAATCCTACACCCTACAGCTGTTTCATGTACTAACCAGTGCCTGCACCCTCCGTGCAGCCCTTCAAATATGAAACAGCATTCAAATATGAACTCTACAACTGTTTCATGCAAAAATCCTACAACCATTCCATGTACTTTTCCAACACCCTACGGCTGTTTCATGTACTCACCACTGCCTGCACCCAATGCACAGCCCCTGAATTGACCCACACCAGGTCGCCTGGTCTCTGTATGAATCTATACACAGGGACATTCTCCTCGTACAAGTCTTCTAAAACCGGCCACCACGAACCCTTCAGGAAGTTGATGTTGTACCTGGAGGAAAAAAGGGGGAGGAGTTTAGTCTCATCAATATGCATTAAACATCATTTTTATGAATATGCATGACTAGTCTGTAAAGAGGAAACTCGGACATTACTGGAATATGATAAAAATGCATTGCATTATGCAAGATGAAAAAAGGTGCCAGACCAGAATTGTTTGAAATTGGCTTGTGATGACTTGTGATAACTTGCGATCACCTTGTGATGACTTGTGATTGATTTGTGATTAACTTGCGATTAACTTGCGATTGACTTGCGTTTGACTTGCGATTGTCTTGCGATTGACTTGCGATTGACTTGCGAATGACTTGTGATTGACTTGTGAATGACTTGTGATTTACTTGAGATAGAATTGTAATTTACTTGAGATAGACTTGTGATGACTTGTCGTTAACTTGTGATGACTGGTGATGACTTGTGATTGACTTGTGATTGACTAGTGGTGGCTTGTGATGACTTGTGATTGACTCCTGATTATGGTTGAGATTGACTTGTGAATGATTTGTTACTTACTTCAGATAGACTTGTGAATGACTTGTGATCAACTTGTAATTAGCTTGTGATAAACTTTTATGACTTGTGACCAAACACCGAAACCGGTTAGCAGTAAAACCTGCAGTTTTCCTGATTTATGACTCTCCCCATTTTCGCCAAGAGAGGGCCTGTACATACCTCTCAGTCAGGTTCATGATGGTGCCCCAGTAGGAGTTACACACAGCGAACCATTCACAGTCACCTGGACCAATGTTGACGTTCACCGAACACATGTTGTTGTTCTCTTGATGACCTGTTCACAGAGAGGTTTAAATGGTAAATTTTTGCTCGGAACTTTCCTGATTTTTATTTTCAGTAATCCGATGGCATATTAAATGAACTGCATAGCCAGCTGTTAAATTTTGCCCAATTATCTTTCAAGCTAACTGTGACTTGAGATTTCCTGCGTTTCTCAACAAAACTCACATCTCAACATTTTTTTGATTTTGTGAAAGTGTCGGAATTGAGTTCATCTGGATCAGTAGTGGGTGATCGGTGAGAGTTGCTTCACGGCCGAGACTCAAGGTCTTAGCTCAAGAATACCACTACTCATTAACCATTCATCACTTCCAGATATACTCAAGAAACACTCATAAAATGACAGGAAATCCATCTGATTGATAATTGATAATAAAGACTGAAAAGTCAAAGATAACATCTCGGAAATTCTTGAGATATTAGTCTGAGCAGTTTGAGCAGCAAGTTTATACAGCAGGTCTTCAACTACAAAGTAAATGGAAAATTGAAAGAGTAATTTTTTTTCCTAAGATCGGAGAAGCAATTGCAGTAATGTAGCTTGCTCAGGGAGATATGGAACAAGTTCCCATACTTCACTGAAACCCATGATTCAACAATGTGCAATAATATCATCGTATAAAGCAGGAAGGGCAACTGACTTTAGTTCAAGTTTTAATATAGGGTTGAACAGAGACATTTTATACTGGAGTGTGAATCGAACCTAAAGACCATTAATGTACATGTAAGTCTTTGAGCTGTGGGAAGAACGCCGTTATGGTATTCTAGAAGTCCTGCATTTAGATCCCGCTTGATTCAAATAAAATTTTGAAAAAATCCGCTCCTTCTGATTGGTGGATATCTTACCCGGTGTTCTGCTCCCCGGTACCTTCATGTACAGCTGCACCGTGTTCATGCCCAGGATGGAGTGGCCGACGTGGCTCAGCATGTTGCCCGGCGACACGATGCGCGTAAACGACGGCAACTTGGTCAACTCGTGCAGCTGTTTCTTCCACCTGTGGGCCAATCACAAGTCACCGTTGAACGAGGCAAGCCAGAACTGACCAGTCAAATTTCGATTTCATTTTACAGGTATACATTTAAACAAGGGAGTTACAGGAGTGGCTAAAAAAAAATACTGCAAGTAAAACTTGCGCGATCCCCCTGGTATCCTGGCAGTTTGTATACATGTACAGGCAGTTAGTAAAGACAATTTTCAGTGACGGCTTTGATTGTCCACCCGGCAGGTACCAGTTCTCAGTTGAATGGGGAGTTTGGGTTGAATGGAGAGTTTGGGTGAGACACCGGACTAACAAATGTTAAGAGTCATTAGTATCTCTCCTGAGACCTCGTAAATATCCATACTGGATAGGACAGTATGAGCCCCTGTCTGGCTCGAAAACCAGGGGGATAAAAAAAGACCTATCACATGCATCGTTTTGAAATCAGACAATCCAGAACTGACCAATCAGATCACTGCATTTCAGTTTATTGGTAAAAACCTTCAAAACTGGGGTTTCGAGAGGAAAATAGCGATGAACTTTTAGGAGCCGCTCACTTTTTCTCGTCGGAGAGATCGACGTTTGTTCCAAACTTGAGCATCTTGAATTCCCGTCCGCCTTCTCTGCCGCCTTCTCTTACTCCGGGAGCCACGCCCCCGTTGGATTTCTTTTTCCTGTTAAGAAAAACAAAAAAAACCAAAAATAAATAAATTTGTAAGTAAATAAATACGAACACTCTCAAATGGGTTGATGACTATTGTGAAATTCTTTGCTCCCGACACTACTTTTCTATTAGTTAACACTGTTTTTGCAAAATTGAATAAAGAAATTGACTGGAGCGGGGTTTGAACCTGCGACCGCCGGATTGCCGTTTACACCCTGCTATTTCTCTGCGCCCTATACTAAGTTAGTTTGGTTCCTACCTTTTGGCCGAGAATGGGTCATCTGCCATAAACTTCTTTTCATTTTCTTCCTGTTAAACAAAAAATACAAAGTGATTAAAAAATATTCTGCGCTTCTGTGGCCTTCATAAACTCTTACGATCTTTGGTTTGCAATTTTTGGTTTACAAGGAATCGATGTTCAAGGAATCATGGCCAGGACTTACCCTCAAACTCTCGGTGAATGAGGAGGCCTGATACTGGGCGTACTTGGTGATGGTGGTGAAGGAGCGACTACTCTCGCACTTCCAAACTTTCTTCAGGCCGGCTTGGTCCCAGTTCTCGTCGGGAGGTTGTTGCCTCTGGAGAAGGTGAACAAAGAAACAAAATCATTAAGTTTAATTTCTATGTGAATATCGACAGTAGCTGACTATAGAAAATAAAGGTTTTCAAGAATAAACTTCCTTTGTGATTGTTCAACATAATTTGAAATAAACGCCCAGTCATTTTTAAAAAAAAAGAAAAAAAATAAAGATTCAATTTTCTGAATGGCCATGATATTACATTTGTCTGCAACCCGATGGCATATTAAATGAACTGCAAAGCCAGCTGTTAAATTTTGCCCAATTATCTTTCAAGCTAACTGTGACTTGAGATTTCCTGCGTTTCTCAGCAAAACTTGCATCTCAACATTTTTTTGATTTTGTTCAAAGTGTCGGAATTGAGTTCATCTGGATCAGTAGTGGGTGATCGGTGAGAGTTGCTTCACGGCCGAGACTCAAGGTCTTAGCTCAAGAATACCACTACTCATTAACCATTCATCATTTCCAGATATACTCAAGAAACACTCATAAAATGACAGCAAATCCGTCCGTTTGACAACAAACACTCTAAAGTCCAGGATAACATCTCGGAAATTCTTGAGACATTAGTCTGAGCAGTTTGAGCAGCAAGTTTATTCAGCAGGTCATCAACTACAAAGTTAATGGAAAATTGAAAGAGTAATGGCCATGATATTACATTTGTCTGCAAGAAAAATATTTCCTAGTGCTCCGGTAAAGGACCATCAAATGTAAGAAATAACCTAAATTTTGAATTTAACCTATGTTCATAATTTTGAAAAAGTCGAAAATTCAAAGGCGATACCTGGAAACAGATAGACAATATGTACTGGGCAGATATGTTCCAATAAAAACAAATTTTATTTATGAGAAGAATTTGGACGTCTCGCCACTACTCACCTGTGTTCGGACCTCTACCGGATGATCACCGTGCGTCTCAACCAGCGTCTTTGTTGAGAACAGTCCCAGGTCCAGCTTGAGGGCCGCGGCGAGACCACGGATGACCGTGATGGGCTGCTTCGGCGAGGTGCAGTATTCAGCCAGGGTCGGGGAGTAGGCGTCAGCCTTGGTTTCCACCTGTTGGAACAAAAATGATAATTGATTGGTGTCAGGTGTAACTGGTGGTGGAGGAGGAAACGTTTGATGGGAGGAAACGTTTGATGTGAGGGACACAGAGTTTATCTGGATCAGTAGTGGGTGATCGGTGAGAGTTGCTTCACGGCCGAGACGCAAGGTCTTAGCTCAAGAATACCACTACTCATTAACCATTCATCACTTCCAGAAATTGTACTCATTAATTCATCACAGAAAAGCACACAGGACTCAATCTTGTAAATCGAGACTAAGTTTGCTTAACTTGAACCGAATATGTTGGGGTGTTTTTTAAGCTTAACATCTACATGAAGAGCTTCAGCGGACATTTCATTAAAGCTAGCATTAGTCCCCAACAAAACATAGCTAGAGTCTGCTACAAAAATTTATTTTGATCACAGCTTAAATAATTTACCAAAAATGGCAGTACTATCAAATAAAAATACTTTTTAGCCCTAAATCACTGAAGCGGCCAAAACTGCCTTGCTTATTACTCCCTATTAAACCATCTGAGAACTCTATGGATTAACTGATTCTTCAGTGAAAAAAACACAATGTAACACGATGTAACACAATGTAACACATTGTAACACAACGTAGTACATGTGCTAAAGCATTAAAATATCCTCCACCGTTTGTTTGTTAAGTGGGTTGTTTGATTTCTATAATCTCTCCTGGGAAATAAACTCAGAAAGGAATGTCTCCAGGATTCATGAAATCTTATGTCAGAGGTTACCCGTATTTTGTAAGTACTCACGTAGATGTTTGGCGTAGGCGGATTGAGTTGATCTTTGGGCAGGGGTGGGTAGGGGGCTGGCGGGGGTGCAGGGGGCGGCATCTTCTCCAGCAAGATGCTGTTGATGCGCAGTCCGTTCTTGCCCAGCTTACGGCAGGCCTCCAGGACCTTAGCCGAGCTGGAGTAGATGGAGAGACCCGAGGGGGACAGGCAGGGGGAAGCGGCCTGACTGCCACGGCTGGACACGCTGGAAGTATTGACTGATAACGTCTGGGAAACGGGAAAAAGGGAATTCAGGTACGAGAGAAACCATTCAGAATTTTATGAAAAAGGAAGAAATTGCAATAAGAATTCACTGTGACAGTTATAGATAATGGACAAATATGAAATCAATATAGAAATGTGTTCAATCAAGAAGAAATTGAACAAAACAATCTACACTTCGGAAAAAACTTTGCAAATTTTTAGGTTTAAAATTTGGATGGTGCGGGGGGGGGGGGGGAGACCTACGATAACGACACAAATTTAGTAACTTATGTAGAAAACTACAATATTTTGAAAAGCGACGTCTAGAGAGAAAAGAATGTAACAGAAAAAGGAAAACGAACAAATTGGCAAAAAAAATAAAAGAAAATCGGGAAAAAAAGGCTGAAAAATGAAAGAACTAGTGTCTTAGTGCCAAAGTGAGTCAAGTCAGTCCATCCCATAAATAATAACAAACAAGTACACACTGCATTTTTCCACTTCCAAAACCTGATCAACTATGAGGCCATACCTGATCATATCGACCGGTTCCCATGCCGTTGACATGATTCTGCACACAGCCTGCAGTTACGCCGTCTCTCCGCACCAGAGAGCTACCCATGGGGGATCCCCTGCCCGACAAAGCGTTCATTCCATGCTCCCCGGTCCCACACTCCATCTGTGATAACTGGCTGGATACACTCGGCGGAGTACCAACAGACTGGGCGGGCGAGGCTGAATTTGAGATGGCGTTATTCAGTCCGGTTACGACACTGTTTATTCCGTCCATGCTGTGGGTGGGGCCTGCGGGATGCAGGGGAGAGCCTAACCCGGCGGCTCTGTGCTCCGGTGTCTTGGGCTTGGCATCAGCACCAGGATGGAATGTCTGCGAGAAGATACTCTCTAAGGAGTTGACGCTTGAGGTGACTGGGGGCGGGGTCTTGAAGACGCCTCCCTCGTGTCTTGAACTGTTGGATTCATGCGACACCCCTGCCCCCATGCCTGGTGGCATAGTACTGAAAAATGCATTGCCAACGCTACTGTGCCTTACGCCCGTGGGGTTTTCACTCGGGGAGCTGCCTCCCATGAAATTGCCGCTGCTTCTGCTCGAGGTGTTGTCCGTGTGAGACAGCTGAGCCAGCATAGAGTCCGCAATTTCCTGAGGGGACATGAGGCTCTGGGGCTCCGCTGTGCTCCCGGTCCGAGATTTGAACTCGGCCAGCTTCTGGTTCATGTCATGCGGAGCCACCACGTTGGGCGCGGGGGAGTCCAGCGTCTTTTGGAGGGATGTTGTCTGGGGGCTGCCGGCAGGTCCGGGGGGTGTGACCATCCTCTTGGGCCCGTGCAACGGGGACGCTGTGATGGACCGGCTCTGTAAGGAGCCGGGCACAGTCTGATTGTTGAATAACTCCTGGGTCTTCGGCGTATCGGCTGGGGAAGGATGTCTAGCGAAACTCAGCCCAGGTGCTTGCGCGCTCGATACGCCAAGTCCAAGACTTGTAAATCCAACACTGGTGACTGTGTTTCCCGCAGATACAAAGGCTCCTCCCGTGCACACAGCTTGACCTCCTCCGTTGGCCGTCACCACTACTCCCGATCCCACTGCTGACACCACATTCCTACCGGTAGTGCGACTCAGCAGGTCTGATCCCGAGGAAGCAGGCAGGGAGTCTGCCGGATGGGCCTGGCCCGGCCTGGAGTCCCCCAGCTGAGATACGTTGTGAAGGCCACCAAGGCTTTGCATGGGTGGTTGCTGAATGCCGCCGCTTGCATCACTGTTTGGGAGTTGCAGTTGAGCGCCTGCGTTCTGCTGTTGCTGCTGCTGTTCCTGCTGTTGTTGCATCTGCTGGTGCTTTTTTAACATCTACAGAAAAGGACAAAATCTGACCTGATAAGGGATAACAAAGCGATCTCGAAAACCAGGGGAGCTCTCAGCCACAAGCTTGGCCAGTACCTCATCCTCTTTGAAGAGGATTAAGTGAACCGGTCTTTTACCAGACCTAATGGGATGTAAGGCCTAACAGATTTGTACAAATGTACCAAGTGTCCTTTACAGGGGATGTGAGCACATATCGAGAGAGATTTCAAGATGATTTTGGATAGTGTTCAGTACTTGGATGTGATGACACTTACCTGTTGGTGATGCTGCTGCATGAGCCACAGATTATGCTGCAGGTGTTGCATGACCACGGTCTGCTCGGCGTTCAAGCTGGACTGGTTCTGCTGCAGCTGCTGCAGCAGCGCCACCTGCTGCGGCGTCAGGTAGAACGACGGCGGCGATGGCGGCTGCGGCTGCTGCTCACGTGGTCCGACAGGCTGCTTGGAGCCTGGCTGCTGTTGCTGCTGCTGCTGTAAGACCTGCTGCTGTTGCTGCTGCTGTTGCTGCAGCAGTTGCTGCTGTTGCTGCTGCTGCTGATGAATACTCAGAAGCTCAGCTACTGAGGTGGAAGACTGGAATCAGAAAGTAAATTAGGATCAATGTAAATTAGTAAATTAAAACAAGCCAGCAAATTTTAAGATGGAACATTGGTAAACGTTTCTGTCCAAAAGACTCTAATGTGTTTATTTGTCATCCTGTTACAAACATGTGATAGTAATAAACAGAATTTCTCAAGCAACAGGGGAGAATATTGACATTTCATTTTATCTAGAAAACATCAGCGAGACAGAAAAATACTTTTTTAAAAGCCATGCAAGAAAGACTCTACTTTATCAATTGCTAGTGGATGTTATTATTTAACTTTGACAGCAACATTCAAAATTAACACAACTGTAAGGCTTTCAGGCAATTTTCAGGCTTTTTTTTACATATCTACCAAGGATTACTTCTGCGACAGGATTTACAACTACGGGTTAATTCCGAGCTCAACTAACCTTCTTCTTTTGTGCAGCAGAGTTTTTTCGGCGCTTGGGTGCATTGCCGGGTTGGGGGGTCGTCGAGCCAGAGGAGGTGGTGTTGCTCTGGACTCCTCCGCCCAGTGAGACGGGCGTCGGCTGGCTCGGCAGGCAGTTGGGTGCGGCGGCATTGGGCACGGTGAGTTGACTGGTTAGTTGGTTGGGGTAGGGCGGGGGCGGCATGGCTTTGGTGACTGCGACGGAGGGGGGTATCATGCGTGCCTGCGAAAAATGACACATACAAGGGGGATTCTGTTTTATAAAAAAGTGTATCATTTGAACAATCCGAGCACGTGTCGCTTACATCACGAAGGCCCCCTTGAATGGTGAAGGCATTGTGCTAGCTATTGTTCAGATAATCTGTCATGAGGCAGTTGCTTTGTACAATAGCATGCATAGTGGTTCATCCATTGAAGGGGGCCTCTAGGGTGTACGGTGATCACGTGCCCGGATTCGTCTGTAGAGTTAACCTCCGGTTGCAACGTACTCCTTTCAGTAAATTGGCAGTGAAATCATTAACACTAACGTCCTAGCCATTACGTTGGGATAAAGAACCGAGCACTACAGAATATTATGAGTGTGGTGCACACTGATATGCTGAAGTATTTAATACTACAGCTTCCTAGTACTAGAATTTTGTAGCTTTAGGTGAGGTGAGGGTCAAAGTCAATCACGTCATTCATTTCAATTCAACTGATGGGTGACATTGGCTGGACAAAAGCATTTCTTTGGCATTGCTCATCTGCCGTTATGAGTGTCATGAATAATTAAACCTTTTTTTTTTCACCGAGCAGGACGAGAAGTTGTTACCTGTTGGATTGTAGTCATGTTGCTCTGTCTTGACGTCAGCTCAGCGGGAATAGGAAGACTCCATGCCTCCTCGATACTTGGCAGTGTTTTACTTCTGACGGAAAAGAAAAATCAGAAAAAGTTAGTCAACATTCAGACCAGTAACAACACTGCAACTTCATTTTGTAACCTTTCTCCAAGATTTATATCTTTGAAATGAATTTTTGGGGTAAATAACTCCGAGTGAGTGGAGCAACTGGTTACTGTATTGTTCAAGAAACATCAAATCTTCTGAAATTATCAAACAATCCTTCCATCACGAAAATCTTAATTTTACCAAATAATTTCAAAGTGGTAATTCCATAGCCAATATTTTGTGAAAACCATTCCTCCCCCATAATAGTTACCGTCCATATTGAAAGAATACACCCTCACTTCCATGAAAACAATAGAAAGATTTGACGGGAGCCACTCACTTTGTTTGCATATGTAGTTGAGGCGATGCGTTGACCTGTGCTTGCAATAGTTTGATTCGCGGGCCTAACGACGTCGTGCCACTATTCTTCGAACACTTGGACGCGTTCATGTAGCACGTCAGTGCATCTCTGTGTGGACAAACGCGAAGAACGAACAAACGTGAAGAGGTCCCGCCCGTGTAAACTTGTAAAGTTTTTCTTGCAAGCTATTGGGACAGCACTGACAGATTCGCCAGCACTTGATGAAAACAAAGTTTCCAGAGTTTTCCCTGATATTTCCCTGAGCAATTCCTAAAATTCCATGAGAAAATATTTCACTCTAACAAAGTTGCTGGGAAGTCAAGAGATGGTTGCAGCAAAGTAACTAAGATACTGATGATATTCACACTGCATAAACACTAAAAAGCCACCACAGCCAGTTAGTCAATGGGCACAACTCGGACGCATGGCATGAGACCCACATACGCCAAACTTGCAAAAAACCTTCCCTTCTGGGTCACTGTTAAATTCCCTGACTTTTTCCTGATTTTTGGTGTTTTTCCCAAATTCCCTGAGTTTTTTCCTGACTGAAATGAAAACTCATTTTCAAGATAATCTCTGATTACCCGAGTGGCTGGGAAAAATGACCGAGTAAGGCGAGTATACAGTGCTTCAGAAGTCATGTCTGTGAAAGGCAACACCAATATTGAAAGTAGGGCGTCCGTTTACCCACAGTGTTTCCCGAGACACCCCTCTGGATAAAACTCTTATTAAGTGCCGCACTTACTTGGGTTGGCTGCAAGCTTCGTAGAGGATCCCAAGATCGGTCCAGGCGGCTACGTGGGTTTTATCCAGTTGTACAGCGCATATGTAGGCCTGGAGGGCGTCCATAGGTTGATTCTGCTGCTGGTAAAGCACTCTGTGAGAAACATGACAACAAATTACATCAATTGTAAGAGTTGAACAAATTGAATTGAGCGGGGTTTGAACCTGTGACCTCTGGATTGCTGTTCCGGTGCTCTACCAACTGAGCTATCTAGCCCTATGTTGGCAGTTCCCTAGTTTGTCAATGTCTTTGTTCTAGGGTGCTACGGTATTTAGAAGCCACAAAGTAGCGCATGCCAGTAGCCAGGGAGCATGCGCTAAGTCACAATGCTAGCAACAAATTACATCACGAGAATACCAGAGGGGGTAGCTATGGACCAGAGGGGCACTTGGGAAGACTTTATTCCTCCTTCTCCCCCCCCCCCCCCAACTCCCAATCAGGATCTCACAACAAAATTATGTTAAAAAGGTGCCTCCCTTCCAGGCCCCAAACATTCCTCAGTGCTGTTTTGAAGGACTCAGGAGAGTTTAAAATAAGGTTAATGACAAATCTAATATCTTACAGTACAAACTGATTCAGAAAAAGTCCTCTAAAATTCTGTGCTAACTTAGATGAAACTTAGTTCAGAAGTTTTTGAATTTTCAAAGATGCAGTCAAAAAATGTGACTTACTGATTGTCTAAAACTGTCTTCCTATCAACCCTGTCTTCCTATCAACCCTAATTGAGATCTGGACCTACCCTATTGAGCACCAGGTATCAGCGTTGGCTTCCGACTTGTCGATGGAGTGCCGGTAGGACGTGAAGGCATCGTGGACCTTACCGCCGCTGGAGTAGCACCGACCCAGGAAGTACCAGGACTGGCCGCTGTTGGGATCCACCTCCAGGGACTTGATCAGGAACTGGATGGCCTTGGTCTCCCGGGAAGCGCTGTCGCCAAGTTGCTCGCAGCTGTGCTGGAGCCAACCTGGAAGACGATAAGAGGTGGAATTTTAGGGGTTTGTTGCTTTTTCTAAACGTTGGGAGGACTGTGTGAAGTCAGACTGTCAAGTGAGAGGCCTGAGGTCATTGACAGAAGCCTGCAATTTATCCCAAGATAGGAAGACCTGGCACAACGTCATGGATCAGAATCCATCACACAGTTCCCAGCTGGTGTGGACGGCTTAGTCGTCGTCGTATTTCGTCAACTTCTTATACCTAGTAGACTTATCCAAACTAACTAAGCCATGTTATACTTGTTTTACTATACCTCATACATATTCACCAAATTTTTGTAGAGTTACGCATAAGTTATCTCAGCAAAATGCTGTGTGTTTCCCGCCATCTTTATCATGTAGCCAGGGCAATGTTTGTACATGCACACTACGTCGTGCGATAGTTCATGATTGCTTAGTAAACCGTCGCGTGTAGTCGACTATTGCACAGGTAAACCATGCAATAGTCGACTGCGTATGCGTATTTAACCTGTGCGTGAATACCTGCTTGCACACTTGGTAAACAGCAAACTAGCTAGCGGCCGACACGTGACGGCGAATGGACCAGTGAGAATTCAGCACTCACTCATGAATATGTATACTCAATCATGAATATGTATGAGGTATAGTAATAGTAGATTGCTGACTAGTGGATAGTGGATAGCTATTTTGAGCTCGTAATAGTTGATAGTTGACGAGCATACAGATTTGGCACTCCTGGGAATTGACAATGAAAGTAGTACTTGATGAGATTGGAAATACCCTAAAAAAAGAATACACTAACATCAAAACCTGGGATCAAACTTTGCTTACGTCGGAAGAAACTGAAACAGGTTTTGATGAAGCGTATACATTTAAAAAAGAAACCAGTTCCAATGAAACTGTCCTGGGAGAAAAACAACGTTCATATTCATAGAAGGTTATCTCAGAGAAACGGAAAAATAGGGGGAATATTTTTTACTTATTGTAGTTTATTTTGAAAGAGGTGAAAATAGGAAACAACAATCCAACGGGGCTGGGAGTGAATATAGTCAAATTATAGCTGTAGACTGGTCCCATTCTAAATGGAGTCGGGACACAGGCACAATTTTGTAAATAACAAAATGGGAGCTCTGAAACCAATCTTAGCACCAAAGCCCAATTTCATGAAGTTGGTAAGCTAAAAACTATTGCTTACCATAAATTGGAGAAAAGCAATCACAAGCGATCCACAGCATAATTTTGACCGATTATAGCTTTTTCAAATACTAACCCCAATTCATTTTCCTACAAAAGAGACACAAGAATATATATTTCGACCACGTACTTGTAACCCCCATCATTCTTAGGAAATCCAATTGTCCTTACCCAGTTGTCTAAGCGAGTTGGCTTTGACGGTATCCGGTAGTGGAATAAAAGACAGGATTTCTTCGTAGGCTTCCACTGATGTTTGAAACTTGCCCTGCGAAGGTCAACGACAACAAACTGTTTTAATATCTGAACTATAATATGATAAAATTATCTGTTTTGAACACTTAGTAGATGTGTATATAACCTGTTCATTAGTTCTCTAAGTAAGCTGTGTAGAATAGGAAAAAATTGTCATTCATTCTCAGTGGATTGCTAGCTGAATGAGAAAGAACACTACCAGTAGTTTGTTTTAAGATATTATTTATGATCTAAACCATAAACAGACCACGGCAATTTAAAATCAAACTAAAACCGTGTTTCAATGTGAAAGATGGTCATACAAGAAAACTGTCATACACACACTGTACGGTGCTACAACAATGATGAATAAAATTTGCAGTGACTTTTGATAACTAGTTTCAGAATAAAATGGAAAGAAAATGTGGGAGTTTCCCCTTACCTGTATTTCATGCAAATGCGCAATGTGGAACTTGACTGCAAAACAAAACAGAAAGAGAACGTGACGGTTTTCATCTGGTTTTCCCAACGATTTGTACTCAGTTTTTGGTCATTAATTTTGTCAAGTACTACCTTTAACGGGAAGGGCCAGTTTTTTATATTTCAAGGGGGTCGGTTATTAGGTTTGCGTGAGTCAAGCATTGGAGGTGGGTGGAGTATTGGGGTGAGTGGGGTATTATGGGTGAGTGAGTACTGGGTTGGGGTGGGGTAGGGTGGGATGAGGTGGACTAGCGTGCTGGATTTGGGTGGGGTATTGGGGTGGGTTGGGGTGGGGTATAGTGGTTGGTAGAGCTTTGGGGAGGTGTGGTATTGAGCATGTAAACGCCAGCAATCGTGGACCTAGGACAAAAGGGTTAGGGCACAAACAACACGTCCAGGATCGACTGATAGTCCACGATTGAAATTCGTTTACAAAACCAATGAGAGCTGTTGCTAAAAAGTTAGAGTACAAGAAAAGGAATGAGGATTAGGGACACTAGGGGGTCCACAATTGCCAGTGTTTACAAAGATGGGTGGGTTGGAGTGGGTTGGAGTGGAGTTTTGGGTTGGGTTGGGGGTTGGGTTGGGGTGCAGTAGGGTGGGTTGGGGTGCAGTAGGGTGGGTGGGGTGGGGTGGGGTGGAGTGGAGTTTTGGGTTGGGTTGGGGGTTGGGTTGGGTTGGGGTGCAGTAGGGTTGGTTGGGGTGCAGTATGGTGGGGTGGGGTGGAGTGGAGTTTTGGGTTGGGTTGGGGGTTTGGTTGGGGTGCAGTGGGGTGGGGTGGGGTGGAGTGGAATACTGGGTTGGGTGGGGTGGGGTGGGGTTCGGGTGAGGTGGGGTATTGGGGTTGGTTGGAGTGGGGTATTGGGGTCGGTTGGAGTGGGGGTATTGGTGGGGGTGGGGTATTTTGGGCCAATTTTAGCGCATTCGTTGGTGTTACTGGGTCACAGGCAACAAGTCCAAGTCACAAGTGGCAGTCAGTCAGTACACTTAGGCCAGTCAGTCAATCACTCACTCACTCAAATCAGATAAGTACAAGAGGACATTGGGTTGGACCTCACTGCTAAAATCGATTTTCTTCTTCATTACATTTCTTAAAATAAGATAAAATAAAATATCTTGTTTCCAGAAATATTATCTTATCATACTCCCTAGAATTTTTTTCTAGGGAGTGTGACAAAAAAAAATTCTTGAAACAAATTTTTTTTTTAACATGTCTAAGTAAGAAAATTATTTTTAGCAGCCCTCCAGGACCAGAAAACAAAGAAGGAAAGATGCCTTTTTTTATTTGTGGACTTACTTTCAGCTTTGGTGAGTGAGCAAGGTGAGGAATCGATGAGCGCTAGCTGGTAATGCTTCAGGCTGGACTCATAGTCCGAGTTGACCTTGAACATGTGACCCAGACGCAGATGAACCTCATTGGCCCGTTGGAAGCCTGGGTCGATGTAGAGAACCTGCTGAAACGCTCGGATGGCCCTGCAGGGGAGACACAAACAACAACCAAAAATGTAAATATAAACAAACAAACAAACAAATAAAATATAAAGCTATGCGTAATTTGTCTTACTAACTTTTGACATGAAATCACTAAGGTGCCTCTAGCTCACAACATCCAGTGTATACATCGAGGCAAATATCAAGTAAAATACTAATGTTGGCCATTTTACTTTAAAAGTTGTTGATGGTTTGGAAGCAGACTCACTAACACAAATTACAGATAAATCCAAGTTGTGCAGTAATACTGGTTCAGAATTTGGAGCAGCAAAAACTGAAGGTCACAAAATATACATGTAAATAGTCTCTAAGTTACTAGAATAAATGCAAAGGCTCAACATACTAGTTGTGGAATGCACAGTTCTGTTGCTATGCTGTCAGGCGACCGAAGTATGTACACATATTAATCGCAGAAATAGAAGTGACTCCATTCACAACACTCAATCTAATCAGTCAACCACAGCCGGCGTCACAATTGATACTACTCTCTTGAAACCCTAGCACACACTGGTCACTTTGCCAAACCATACACACACTCACTCACATACCACAAGGAAAACCCCCTCAAAATATCACTGGCACACGTACACACAGAAATACTATGATCACACATGGTAGTAAAGTTACATCCTACAGTGTCACTGCCGTATAACGTCACTTCCGCCAGTGAAGTCATTCACATACAGGAACAAGCCAGCTCAAGGGGAAATACTATTAGATTGTTCCTTGGTGTAGATTCCACTGTCTAAATATTTTAACTCTTTTTACGGCTTTACTCTCCTTTCCTGTCCAAACTCCCACGCGCGTCGGACTCCTTAACTAACAAGCGACGAGATCTCTAGTCCACGGAAAGGGGATGTGATCTCAACCTTTTTAAGCTTCTCTTCGAGATCCTCGGGGTATCACGGAGGGTCATTCCAAGTCAGACTGCAGGCTGAACTGACCGGTAGTACAACAGTCCGATCACAATCAACTTACCAAGACAGGATATTGACAGCCTTCTTTTATGTCTTAGCTCCGGCCTTCGGCAGAAGGGGCCGACGGAAGTCACAATTACGTACCTCAGGGTTTACTAAGTAAATTACTCGTCGGGGAGTTGGTGCTCTTTTCAGTTTTTTCGCAGATTTGATACTATGTTCTTAGGTTTCCAAACGTAGAATCGGAAGTGAACTTTTTGTTCTTTGGAGGGGGAAGTCGGAAAAGCAAATAAGTTACTCCGGCTACAGCAGGGGGAATTTCTCGAAAAAGTAACAAGGGAGGACACTGATACACATGAATGTGCATGAAAATATACAAAGTCCACTTTGTTCCAACGGAATTGTATGAAAAAATGAATTTAATCTGGAATCTAAATTACTGGTTTGATATAAGTTGTTGAACACATCTACGGTACATATTTTGATATCCAAACACAAAGTACTGTTTTCATGGGAGACACATTAAATTAACAAGACACTGTTACACAGTGTATAAAAATGTTATAAACACTGTTTACAGTGTATACAACACTGAATACAAATACTGCTGGTATTGACACATGTTTTTTGAATACTCCAAGCAGACTAGGCCAAGGCTTAATTGATGGGGTATTTACAGGTGCAAGACAGAGGTCAAGAACACAATGGGACCATTTACACCTGTCGCTCAAACCGTATAAGGGCTTTGTTGACAAACACACCTGGTCATTCTATTACAATAAAGTTCAGGGCAAGTGTAGTCATGGGACACAGCTGGTTTACAGCAGTCTTTCTGTAAGTACAATGCAAAGGAAATGTTCATTTACACAGCACAGATGCAACATGTAAATTGCTTAATGAGTATATGCGGTGCCTGGTAGGCGGAGTCTAGACAGAGCAAGGAGGAGGGGGCGTTTCATAGATGGTGCCCTTTTATTTCCAAGAAAGCTTTGGACCTTGAATATTTTTTTTTATAGAAATAACCTAGTTTCTGCACACCCAGCAATACACTTGAGCAATATCCTCTTAAACATTGCTACACAATGTTACAACAACATAATCCGATCTTACTGAAATCTTTTCTAAACTCACTTCCAGGCTCAGTTTTCAAGCATTTTGATGGATGGAAAATGAATGTGTATTAAAGAGCATTCCACCAGGTCACTGGAAATAATATCAAGATTTTGGCAAATTTTAGGATGTTAACTTTGGTTTTAATGAACGTGTTGCATTCCGTCCGTGTACTGCACGAGTGGCCGCTACTGTTTATATCTTCCTACAGGCAATCCTTAGGATTCGACTCGAAGAGGTCGGAACGTAAACCCGATACGCACATGCATACAAATGGATGCGTCAAGATGCCGGACGAGCATCCTTGAGACTTAAAGCATGTAAAAAGCGTGCGTCAAGACCGAACCAATTGTGAATATACATAGGGCCTTTCTCCACAGGTTAATGAGGGAATGCTGTCTGTAAAAACAAAGAGTGGGCCTATGACATCACGGAAAACTCATGACTACGTAGGTGTATGTTCAAGTATACACAGTGCACGAGGCAAGGAAATTTTAGAGTTGTATCATGGGTCACTGTAACATTTAATTAAATCAAAACAAAGTGCACATAATTCTTTCCACTTTGACAAACAAAAAATGTTCAATTAATTTATTTGCTCAAACTATTATTAATTTATTTGCATACAAACTCCAATGTAACAATTTGGTCTCAAATTTTTGAGTTTTCGTTTTGATCAAAACTTTTGTAATACGTTACAGCTTATAGTCAATCCCATATCAACAGTACTGCAAACTCAATCTTAGGTAGAAATTTAACATTATCTGAAGCTTCCTTCATTTAATAATGATTTCCTTACAATCCACTTCCCGACAAACAATCGGCGGTAGTCATTACAAATTGTTACTGAAATCTACTTAGTTTAAATTCCGTATATTGTAATGTAGCATTTCTAATGATGACTTTTCCAGTCAAGGGCCGGCCGTACATCAATTTGTAAACGTCTGTAGTGGATGCAAAGTCCATTTCTGGTAATTCGATTTGATGCCAGTCCATTCAATATTCATGTCGATGAATTCTCCCCTCGATGTTAATGGTGGGAAGGTACCATATTATTATTTTTTTTTGAGTAGAGCTAGTGACTGCATTTTTTATCTACCAAAGATTCTATTTCTGAAAAGCCTTTTCTTGACAAATATATCTGATTCCAAAGCCCCCTTTTTAAATAATTCTTTTTGTTGCTTCTTAATTTTTCGGAACAAGAAGCCGCTTAACAAATACTATTGCTTTGCAGGTTTGTGTGCTAACTAAAATTTGGCAGGGAACCAGTGACAACCAATACGCACTGCAGGACATTTTGGCTGGTAAAACTGTTCTAGTAGAAATTAGCAGGGAACCAGTGACAACCAATATGCATGGCATTTTGGCTGGTAACCAATTTTTAAAGCAAACTTTTTCTGTACTTAGCAGAAATTAGCAGGGAACCAATGACAACCAATACGCATTGCATGACATTTTGGCTGGTAACCACTTTTCAAAATTTTTCTGATGTGCTTATTAGAAATGAGCAGGGAACCAGCGACAACCAATACACATTGCAGGACAGTTTGGCTGGTAACCAAATTTTGCGCTGAGAAAATTGCCACGCTTAGCGGTTCGGCGGGATTGGCCCCAGGTAACCAGTGACAGTAGGGTGAACTCTTGACCTTAATCAGCAGGCTCTCTCAGCAACCGACCGCAACCCAACAAGCAAGGCCTGGCATCCCATAGCCCAACCAGCAACACCAGTCTATTTTTTTTGTTGACTAACTGCCTGACCTGATTTTGCCCCTCGTCTGGTCTGGCCTACGTGATCAAAACACAGCCTCTAATGGCCTTTGTACCAAGGACAACTGCTGTGTGTACACAGCACTATGAATGAATGGCTGGTTTTTTGTTTTTTTTAAGAACATGTAGTTGGCGAACTCATATCTATACATATAGGTTTGTGGTTTATGAATGATTGGCAATTAATCATTGGGTGCGCTAAGTACATGTTCAGTTTGGAACTAGAGGGATTTTTTTCACAGCAAGTCTGACTATGGAAATAACAAGATACAATGCGATCAACTACCGATACGACATCAAAAGACACAAAAATTATAGCGTTTGGATCAAAAATGTGTGTGGTATCATTGTAGGTTTTGCATCATTCAATCATGGATTTGTACCGGTACATGTATATGACATTCTTTGCATTTTTGAAGAAAAATGTATCTATCATCAAGAACATTGAAAAGACTTATTGAAAATCATTTTTCCTTCAAATTGACAAAGCAGAAATTGATCAGAACAATAAAGTCTGCTTGCTTGCTTTTACATTTTCACAATCACAGAAAGGAGAATACGAAACGTCCAGATCCATCCAAATTTGCTCTTATTTCCTGAACATGAAGTTGAAAAAAAAATATGCTAGAAATCTAAACAGAAGAAAAGGGGACCCACGACCAGACTTGAATTTCGGCAGTGTCAACATCACAACAAACCCAGATTTGACTTTTAGTATCTATGGTTTTGTCATCAGAATTGTGATAATCTGAACCCTAGTAGGGCAAGTTGTTGTTAGATATCCTTTGAAACTGGTCGACCTACTTGATAACCTATAGTGTACAAAGTAGGGTACGGGTGTAAGCTGGCACAGCAGAGATCCAGGGTCTTGATAAATCCTGCTGTTATTGTTGATTTGCCCTTTCATTTCTAGGCTAGTTTAAACCGTCCAGAAACCAAAACACAGTGTCCAAAACACTGTTCTGGTTTGAAGTTGAACTATGGCATGCATGCATCTGTGTTTGTATTTAGTTTGTTTACCCTGGGTAAAATCAGATCAGTAGCATGTACATGACTACATGTACGTATGTATACTCCACTTTCACACAAGACAAAATTCGGGGTGGACGCGGAGTTGACACAGGGTTGAAAAAGTGCGCTGTTTCACGCTTGACAATTTTCAACCCTGCATCAACCCTGCGTCAACCC